ACTTGATAAGTATTCAGGGAAATAAAAAAGAAGACACAAAGTTGGATGGATAGGGAAGGAGGTAGATATGGTCAAAACACATTGTATAAAATTCTGAAAGGACTAATAAATTTTTTTGTTGGAAGGTCATCACATTCCTGGCCTAAGGAAGGATTCATTATATATAACCGTAACACTTTCCCCTTATACTATCATCCTGTTAGAACAGAGGGTATTTGTGACTTTATAATGATAGAAGTCAAAAGTGTATGGCTGAAGACAGTGTAAGCATAATAAGGATCCCATTGTTTCTGGGTAATTTAGTGCAGTCTGTCCAAGAGTCTTCTTTCCCTATCTTAGAAAGTAAGAACTACCCCAAAGTAAAATTTGGACTCCTGTGCTTGAAACTCCATGTAGAATAGCATCTCTATGTTTTGATAAATGCTGCTGCTAGGATATGTCTTCCTTTTTCTGCCAAAAAGGACCTGGCATCACCTCAAGTAGGCAGCTACATCTTCTAGGAGAAAGTTAGGTTCTGTTTTCCACAGTCTCAAGGGGAAGAAAGTGTTTCCACAGACATCCTTGCTAGTCCTGTCTAGAACAAAGTGTAAATGATGTAGTATTTACACCACTTTACTGAAACTCAAAGCCCCTTACTTTGTGATATGAATAATCTATGCAGAATGGATGTGAATATAAGACAAACCTGACTGTATAACCAAATCTGTGTGGACTATTTCTATCAGGATGGAATTCCAGATAGTCTAGATCGATACAATACTGTCTTATATTGTTGTGAAAAAACACCACGACCACAGCAACTCTTATAAAGAAAACATTTATTTGAGGGGGGCTTGCTTACAGTTCCAGAGGTTCCGTCCATTATGCTCATGGCGACATGGCACTGGATCTGAGAGTCTTTACATCTTGATAGGCAACAGAATGTTGACTAATACACTGGGCAGTATCCTGAGCATAGGAAGCCTCATAGCCCACCCTTACAATTGCACACTTCCTCCAACAAGGCCACACCCCACAAAGTCACACCTCCAAATACTGCCACTCCCTATGAGATTATGGGGGCCAGTCATATTCAAACTGCTACAGATACATGTAACCCAAAACTCCTAAGCAAGGGCAGAGTAAGAAGAGATAATCTTGCTAGCTGAATGTTCTGGTATCTTAATTAGAACTCAGGTTCATAAGGAGACTGCTTGTAGAAGAAAGAATTGCGTCATGGTATGTTGTTTCTTCAATCACTAGAATACACCTTTTGGAAGACTAAACTGTCAAAGTGCTCACCAACCTGCTGTTACCTTCTCAGAGCCCTTCTTTTGTGAGGACCCTAAGGAAGAATTTCAGGCCAATTCCTATCATGATAATGTGGTCTCAGGTTCAAAGCTTTGCTTCCAGAATTTGTTTCTGTAGGCTCACAAGAATCTGGATTTTTTTTTTGTTTTGTTTTTTAAAGCATAGTAGAAGTTATACACACACACACACACACACACACACACACACACACACACACACACACATATATATATATATTCATATATATTTACATATATATGTATGTGAAGCTCATATATATGTGTGTGTGTGTGAAGATATATAAACATTCTAGTCTGTATGTGAAGATATATAAACATTCTAATCTCATGAGCCAAATCCAGCCAGAAATCTGTTTTTGTACTAGTTACTAGCCAAAACTGTTTTTGTCTTTTGAGACAGTATTTCTCTGTATAATATAGGTTGGTCTTGAACTTAGATCCTTCTACCCCAAAATTTTTAATGTGATAAAGGATTGTGAAAACATAATGTGCAGCTAAACCACAATACCTAAAATGCTATCAGATCTGTATAGGAAGCTTCTCTGCCTCTGCCATCTGTTAAGTATCAGTCTCCTGACCTGCTGCTATACTAACAGCTGATACTGGTTATTATAAAAGCTGTGAAAGAGGAGGAGACAATTTATTCTGAGGCATTCTTACAAGAATTAACCCAATTAATCCATCTCCAAGAAAGAAACACTGTTGTGTGGCACCCAAACACTAAGCTTGGGTGACTTTATATAAAATGTAACGTCCTCTGCCATCATTAGAAAACTGAATACCCAACAAAGAGAGGCAGGGATGCTCATCTCCCTTCCTAAATTAAGACAGCCCATTAGCAGGACAATGCTCAGTAATGCCCTCCCAGCACTTCTCCAGACTGCCTGCCTAAGGGCTGCCCAAGTTTTTACTCTGCAGCAAACATTATCAACTGCCCTCTTAGCAAGCCTCCATGATATAAACTAGGAAGAATAACAGAATCACCTAGTGATGTTAAATATATGTACACATGACCCACTATAATCCCAATAGGTAGATACTAGAAATCCATCTTTAACATGATGTCTGGGTCATTAAAATATTATCAGCCAGGCATTAACATACAAACCTTCCAAACCAGTATGTAAGTCCTCTCTTAGCCATCTTCATTACAAAGTGCCTGTTATCTTCCCTCATTGGCTAGTAGCCCCTGGCAATGAATGTTAATGTGTTAATGCTTTTCCTGAAGACAGTGTCTTAACCTTGAGGCATGATTCCATTGATGGGTTTGGGGTACATATAATGTGGATTGGGGAACAATTGAAGAGTGGGAAAACCCTGGGAGACTACCTATAAGGTGCACTTAGGCTGTTCACACTTGCTTTTTAGTTTTTTTTTTTTTTTTCCTAATTCCAGGACAATTAGTGAAGAGTGTGATTTTAGTAATATCACCGGGACCTTTTGATAAGGAACCTGGCATCACCTCAAGTAACATTAATCTTCATAAAGTATCTTTTAAAAAAAAGAAAGACAAATTTGCAAAATTACAGCAGTCTAATAGGCAGTCTAATACTTGTTCTGGGATTATCTCTGTTCTAGGCAGATCTACTGTCTAAATAAGGAACAACCAGGGACGTGGTAAAATCAAGCTGCTTCAGTCTGTACCTTGGAGGGTAATACTTGTGTTAAATCTTTTGAAGGGTATCACTAAGTCACTCTCTTTCAAAAAGAGTAAAAACAGAAGGAATATCTATCTTAGCCCTTTTATTTTAAAATTGGCACTTTCACTTAAAATATCCTGCTCAAAAAACTTCATTAATGAAGCAACACAGATAAAATTTTGTCATTAACAGTCTGCAAGATGAAGACTCAGTTTTGTGTTACTATTCAGTATTGTTATTGCTAAGAAAAGTTTGAAAAATTTCATTTCAAGGGTATGTTTATTGTTGGCCTACACATAAAGCCATAGAAATAAAAAGTTTGTATGCTTACTTTTAAAAGCCACATGGACTATCTCTAAAGTAACTCACAGAAACTGAAAACCAAGGTAAACCAAGTACCTAGTCTTTAGATTAGATATGAAAATTGAACTGGAGAGATAGTTCAGGAGCCGAAAGCACTTGCTGTTCTTGCAGAGGATCCAGGTTCAATTCCAAGCACTCATATGATGGTTTACAAACCATCTCAAACTCCAGTTCCAAGGACTTTGACACCCTCTTCTGGTAGGCACACATGTGGTATGCAGACAAAATGCCATACATATAAAATAAAATAGGCATTAAAATTATCTTAGTTCATTTATTCACTTACTGTTAGAAATCATTCTAGAAACTGAATAATTACTTAAATTTCACAGGAAAGCTAATGTGCAGCTTTTATTGGAAGAGGCAGCTTCAGTTGTTAAAGGTCCCACATGTCATCAACTGTGATTCATCTAATTATAATGACAATAGTCAATAGTAAATTTCCCTGTCAAATTTGGAGTTTAGACTTTAGGGGCTTTCAGTAATACATACAGGAATAATTTTATTCAGCCTGTTATGAGACAGTGACAAAGTGATGAATTGGAATTTCTTTTTTCTGTCTGCCTTTCCCCGTCACAGCTGTACATATCAGTACTATTAATGTACGTAAGGAAGGCCAAAACAAAGGAAGCAGATTAAGGTTCTAAACTTACCAGACTTTAAAGCACAGACCACCCAAACAAAGAGAAAAGTTTGAGAAGGCTACAGAAATGGACACTTTCAAACCTGCCTACATATCCAATAGGAATATTCATGTATGATCTTTAGAATGCATTTTCTTTTTCCTTTCATGAAAGCCTATGGAAACAAGATGGCTTTCAATATTAGAGAAAGTTTTCTAGGCTCCTGAAAAATATTTGTCATGGACTGCTCTTTTCTACTTGAGCCAAGTTATTTCAAAAACTTTATATTTCAAAAGCCTTATAATTGTGATTGTTAGGCTACACACCTAAACTGGGATGGTATGCCCTGAAGAATGACAGGAAGGGTCATGAAGACCTCATGAGAATTCTCTGCATATAGGCCAGACCTATTCAGAGTTGATGCTAAGACACTTTCCAAAGTAGAGAGGAGAGACAGTTGGTACAAGAAAGATGCATGCTACATATATTTGAACAAACCAGGAAGCTTCCTTGCTAATCAAAACCAAATGGCATTTCTCACATTGTGACTCTAGGTGATAAACATATTTTGATAAGTCTCCAGAAAGAAGTAGTATGTTCTTTATTCAGATTCCAGTGTTTTGAGAGTTGAAAAGGAAAACTATGAAAGAAAAGAAAAATCTCATAAAACTAAAAAAAAAAAAAAAAAAAAAAAAAAAAGAATTTCCTAAATTTCCTAAAGGAAAGATAAGGGACTGGTAGTACGACAGACATGACTAAAATAATTTCTAAAATATTCCTTCTATGAGGGGTTTATACTGCAGCCATCTTGGAGAGGAGAGTGTGAGAAGTCTGAACACCAATAACCCAATAAGATTCTCTAAGTGTAGTGAACACCTTTAGAATACATTTAGAAAATATGTAACTAACCTTCTGATACTGCTTCACTGGTGTTGGCGGAAGTCCACTACTATTAACCAGGTTTGGAATGCCCCTAGGATTCAAATGCTAGTCTGATCCTCCATGCAAACAGGGCATTGTGATGTCTATGGTCATGAATATATTGCATTTCCCCCCCTCAACAGGTGATATCCGAAATGATTTGTACCTAACCCTGGAGAAGGGGGATTTTGAAAGAGGGGGAAAGAGTGTACAAAAGAATATTGAAGTGACCATGTATGTACTTTATGCAGATGGAGAAATCTTGAAGGTAAGGCGTGTTTCCGTGAACTGTCTTTGTCCAGAAGCTCATTCCCTTTAAGTAGGACCAAATTCAAATGGCCCCTGGTGTGTGTTTGTTTGTTTGTTTTTCTTTTTCTTTTTCCTGCCTTCATTTTTCATCCAGGAAATCCACAGTGCTGTTTGAAAAGGATTCCTAATGTCCTATAGCCCTTGCACTAATTCTTCCTACAGTCTAACCTGCAGGCCTCTTACTCCATTCTAGACCTAATCCTTTAGTACTGCCCTTCATGCTACCTGTTTCCATTCCACCCAGCACAGAGCTGCCTGGTTTTTGTAGTGATTACTAGGTCTTCCTTTGTCTTTTTGCTCTTAAAGACAGAATAGGATTTGCACAGCCTCTTCCTGGCACCAAGTTTTGGGACAGAGAACAACAGATCCAGCCTAGGAAATTATTTCCATCAATGTAGTACAAGAACTCTTTGTCATTCTTCATTGAATATAGACACCTAAAGAGCTGATTATTTTTTTAAGTTTGCCTGTTTTTTCTTCAGTCCTGTCAGGGCAAAGACCCTGGGGAACAACAGCTAGGCTCCATCCATTTCCAATGCTCTTGGCAAGCCAGCCATTTACAAGTCTCACTTTGGTGTACTGACTAAAACCCCATGAGGAAGTCAGAACAGGAATTATTAGCTTTACTGTACAGAGGGAAAGGTCAAAATTAGTCAAAATAGTCCCCCAAAGCAGATAGAAATAGAGGAGAATGTTTAAACAAGAATACAGTAGTGATTTGTGTGTCACTGTAAAACATTAAATAAAATTTTTTCGTATTTATTTTTCTTATTTTACATATCAATCCCAGTTCCCTCTCCCTCCCTCCCTCCCAACTCAAGGACCCTAGATAGTCATCATAGAGGCAGAGAGCTATTAGGCACTCATATGTGGGAACTGTCCTTAATTTTGTTTTTTATTTTTATTTTATTTTTGTTTTTTGAGACAGGGTTTCTCTGTATTGCTTTGGAGCCTGTCCTGGAACTAGCTCTGTAGACCAGGCCAGCCTCGAACTCACAGAGATCCGCCTGCCTCTGCCTCCCGGGTGATGGGGCTAAAGGTATGCGTCACCAACGCCTGTCTTGCTGGCCTTAATTTTGTTACCCAAAATTCCATCTTCCAGGGCAAGGGACAGAATAGTACTAAGTCTGTATCTTTGTAGTAATGTTTCAAAGCTGGAGTCAGATTAAATCTGATATGTCTTGTTTATGGAAAGCTAATAAAGGTAACCTAAAATAGTTCAATATAGCATTAAGGAAAATTAGAAAATAGTCTTTATCTTATAATTTAGAATTTCTTCTTGGTCTGATAAAATGTCAGGTATAATTGACTTCTCTCATGGAACTGCTTGTGTCCTGTCTCAGAAAGAGTGAAAAACCTGTTTCAGAAAGGTGCACCAACCAGCTTCTTTCTGCTTGTCACAGCTTGTGTGGTTACTTCTGACCCAAAGAAGATAAGAAGCATTATCACTGCTGCCAGGAATGTCTGGTTGTTTGACACTTCAGCACATTGTCATCTACAACGTGTTGGGCAGCATTTATAGCTATCCTAGGATGCATGTGGTCCGTGGACCTCAGATTGGGCATTCCTATAATAATTACACTGCCTATGTAGTTACTTCCAAAAATAATGAATTTAAGTCAAATATATTATCATCTGATCAGCTGCAAAAATAAGGTCTTCACATAGGATAAAATGACGGAAAGTGAGGTTCCTCCATTAAAATAACATCTTATTTTGCTTCTCTTTTCTAGGACTGTATCAGCTTGGGTTCTGGAGAGCCAAATAGAAGTTCTTATCACTCCTTTGTTCTCTACCATAGTAATAGTCCTCGTTGGGGAGAAATTATCAAATTACCTATTCCCATTGACAGATTCCGGGGCTCCCATCTACGCTTTGAGTTCAGACATTGTTCCAGTGAGTGAGACTTCCATTCATATTCCCTCAATGATAAAAATGTAACTCTACTTGTGAAGTAAAATTGTGAAGATTCTTGTTTGTGGGAACTAGAAATAAACAGAAATAGGATGTCACCAGAGACTGTGTCTTAGACTATAAAAACAAGGTTTAAAACCATGGAATTTGGGGCTGGAGAGATGGCTCAGCAGTTAAGAGCCATCTGCTCTTCTAGAGGGCATGAATTCAATTCCCAGCACTGACATCAGATGACTCACAACCATCTGTAACTCCAGCACCAGGGGATCAGCCCTCTCCTAGCCTCATGTACACATGTGGTGCACACATACACATAAACACATACACACACAAACACACACACAAACCAAAAAAATTGTTTTTAATCCTTGGGATCTGATAATTGCCTTTTTCCTAGTATCTGAAATGCCCTGTGTTATTTGGAATGTTTTCTTTGTACTTACTAAACTACTTTTAAAGAACCCTCTTCCCTGTTTTATCAAGACCAGAAATTTAGTTTCTCCTGTGGTCATGGTAGCCTTGTATACCTTGAGATAAATGGAAATTCAGACCAGCATATTTCTCATCATCCTGCAATCAGGTTGCTACCTAGCTAATGAAGTAAAATTCAAAAGAGTGTGGGTGACAAATACAAGGGGATTTCTAATAATTGGCTCTGCTTTCAGCAAAGGACAAAGGGGAAAAGAAACTCTTTGGTTTTGCATTCTCTCCCCTGATGCGTGATGATGGCACCACACTCTCAGATGATATTCATGAGCTTTATGTGTATAAGGTACGGACCTGGCTTTCTTTCATCTCCATTCCATACCTCCGTTATGGCCATTCTCAAATATGATTCTCACTTAAATGGTTTTCATTGGTCAAGCCAGAGGATTGTGTGTGACAGTAAGACAACTGTGGTCAGGCCTTAGTTTTCTAAGTGCCTTTCTAGGTGGCCCTTCTCCCACAACTAAACCAGCATGCCCTTTGTTTCTCACCTCTCACTGCAGTAGAGAGAAATCATTACCAACTCTTTTATGCCATTATCATTTTAATATGTTCCAAGTTCTGCTATTTGAGATCATAGTGTTGTTAGTTACGACAGCATAGCTGCTAACCAAGGTTGCTTATATATCAGAGGCCACAGATCCTATCATGTTCTAGGAAATTCATGAACAGAAAGCACTCCTGTAACAGAACCTGCAACCCAGGGTCCAATATTAGGAAAATGGTTATAGTATTAACTCAGAAGCTCCTTGGGGCCTGGCTTTACATGTTGAGTGGCTTAGGAGACACCCTGTGTTCTCTGTTGACCTGCAGTGTGATGAGAATAGCACATTTAACAACCATGCCCTGTACCTGGGCCTGCCCTGCTGCAAAGAAGACTACAATGGCTGCCCTAATATTCCCTCCAGCCTCATCTTCCAGCGTAGCACCAAAGAGTCTTTCTTCATTTCTACACAGCTTTCTTCTACCAAACTCACACAAAATGGTAGGTAATGGTGCCTGCAAGGTGGTTCTCTCTTTTGTGGGTTCCACATTGCTGAGTGTGTTGAGATGAAGAATGATTCTCAATGACAAAGTAGAGACCTTTATTTCCATTTGAAATTGAAGGGATTGTGCAACAGTAGTAGCCCACAAAGTTGTCCATAGTTTTTGTAGTTCCTAGGGTTCACATCCATAAATATATCTTTGTCCTTTTTTTCCAGCACTTAAAAAATCTGATATAGTCACAATCAATCCTATTACCCTAGATTCTATTTTTCTTTGCCTGAAAGAATCAGAGCCTTACTTAACTTTATATGGTTCGATGTCTTCTGGATTTCCATTCTAGTGGACCTCCTTGCTCTGCTGAAATGGAAAGCCTTCCCAGATCGGATCATGGACATACTAGGGCGATTGCGGCATGTCAGTGGGGAAGAAATTGTTAAGGTATGTTTCTCACTCACTCTAAGCACACTGTCTGAAGAATATGGGCAGAAATTCCCTGTGATTTCTGCCAATAAGCCTCGAAGACCATTTCTCCAAATACATAATAGATGAATGGGAATAGTTTGGGAAAGTTTTTTTGTTTTGTTTTGTTTTTTATTTTGTTTTCTCCAGTTTCTTTGCTAGCTATTTTTTTTCAAGAATTACATTTAAATTTTAAACCCTATTTCATGGTTTGTTTTACTTCCCACAGAAAAAAATATTAAAGAGTAGTGGTAAAAAGTATCTGCTCAGAGTCAATCCCAGTGATTGTATTGTCTGATTGCTTTTGTTTTCTTCCTTCTTTAGGTCTTTCTCATTTTCCTTCCTTTATAGGCCTTTAACACACAAGCTCTGTCTCTTCATTATAAACACTCTGAATACTGTCCATTAGCATGTAGCTGTTACTTTTGACCCTATTTCTTACCTGGGGTCCGTCCATGTGAGGGAACTCTTTTTTACCCTTTATCTTCTTTCTTGGGTATCTTTGTGATATTTCCCATCCAACAAAACACTTTCTCTTCCAATTGAATTTTTAGGAATTCTCTGGGTAGCATTTTGCCAGGTTGGTTTTTAGCTTGAAATTGTACCAGGCACTTCAGCAGGAAATACTACACAGCAGACTATGCTCTGCTGAAGAAAGTGGAGGAACAAACCTATGTTACCTCATATTGTTTTGAAATAAATTATAAATGTATAATTTATATGCTATGATTGCAAGATAATAGATTTTATTTTTCAAGGCTCCAAGTACCCATTGTTATTTACTATTATCTTCCTTAGTTTTGCTGCTTCAAAAAAAAAGGCATATACTTAAAACAAAACAAAAACAAGCAACAAATAACACTGCCAGATTTTTATCCATGTTGAGAACCTTATTGGCTGCATTTTCCTTTCTCCCGAGACATTTTGGTAATTATTCTTTCCTTAGCAGTTTAGCATTTGCCCAATAGGGAAAGCTCCTTTATATCTTTTGCAAGATTCTTAAGCTATATGAAACCCCAAGAGCCCCATAGTTATCCCTTATCTAGGTAGAGGCAGGTATTGGATGCCTTTTGTCATCCTTTTAAGATTCTTGGAGATTCTTGTTGTTGTTTACTGGGAGCTAAAAATCATTGTTACATGAAAATTTGATCATGCATCCACAGTCCGAAGACATGAACCCTTTGTTTCTTTAATTGTTTCAGTTTCTGCAGGATATATTAGATACACTCTTTGTGATTTTGGATGATAATACAGAGAAATATGGCCTTTTGGTTTTTCAGTCTCTGGTAAGTCATTTCCTGAATTTTGATTTTTTAAAAAAAATTTGTATTCTTCTCTCAAACATTACATCCTGATTGAAGCTTCCCCTCCCTCCACTCCTCCCAGATCTCCTTACCTCCAGTCTCCCTCAGATCTATACCCCTCTCCTCCAGGTCCATTTCCCCTACCTACATTGCACCCCAGAAAAGAGCAGGCCTCCCAGGGACATCAACCAAATATGCCACAACAAGGTACAATAAGATCAAGCACAAACCCTAATCAAGATTTAGCAAGGCAACCCAGTAGGAGGAAAAGGGTCCCAAGATCAGGCAAAAGAGTCAACCCCCCCAATCCCAGTGTCAGGAGTCCCCCCAAAACATCAGGCCAACAACCATAACATGTATGCAGAGGACTTAGTCCAAACCCAAGCAGGCTCCATGATTACCACTTCAGTCTCTGTCAGCACCATGACTCCTGCTTAATTGATACTGCAGGTGTGCTCTCCCAGTGTCCTCAATCCCTCTGGACCCCACAATTCTTCCTCCCCCCCTTCTGGAGGGTTTCCTGAGCTTTGAGGGGAGGGACATGATGGAGACCTCTGATCTGGGTGCTCTCTCCACCTCATGTTTGGGTATGGGTCTCTACATCTACTCCTATCAGCTGCCAAAGGCAGCCTCTCTGGTGTTGACAGGACTAGATTCTGACCTATAAGTATAGCAGAACATCATTAGGAATCATGCAATTATTTGTTTGTTTATTTGTTTGTTTGTTTGCCAGTCCTGATTGGTTCTACTCTAAGCTCTGGGCTGTCCAGCCTCCAGTTCCTAGTCATCCAGGAGTGCCAGGCATGTGCTTATTATTATTACCATCATGATTCAAAAAAATATCTGAAGGCAGCAACTTACTAGACTGAGTTAGCAGAAGGTTTGTTTTTAATAAAAAATAAAAGGGGGGGTTCCTGAGGATTATCTTCCCAAGGAAGACCAACCAACCTACCCACAGACCCCTCCAAGATCAAATTTGAAGAATTGGATTGCTGAGCAATTAAGAGCAAGTTCTACTTTTACAGGGGACCCAAGTTCAGTTGCATTTGATCTTAACTGAGAGTTAAGTCAGTGTTTGACACACTTTAATACATGCAGTCTCACAGAAGAGTTGTATATTCAAGATGAATTGGTCCTCCAATCTAGGGGACAGGGAGCTGAAGCTAACGCTAGAATGGTCCTTTTTTTTTTTAATTAATTAATTAATTAATTAATTATCTTTAACTTGCTCCCTGGTCATGAGAGCCTTTTTGGAAGAATACAGCCTTCCACATGCTTAAATTACCCCCTTTTCCAAGTTTTGGAGGACACCTGAGTGTTTATGCCACTTATACAGGTATTGCTTTATCTGTCCTTGATCCATATTGTACTACTCATCATTGTGGCAAATGGAGAGACTCCAGGTAACATAGGCACAAACTGATAAGGTACAGATGTGTATTGGAAAGTCAATGGAAGAAACAAAAAGCAAGACATAAATACAGACTGGAAATCTTACGTTTAGTTCCCATAGGGAACACTAACAGTTTGCTCTTTTAAGAACAAGAGTCTGATCCCTCCTTGGTATTTTTATGAGGCCTCTAATTAAGCCATGGTGGCCTTCTTTTTGTCTTGTCAGGTTTTCATCATCAATCTGCTTCGAGACATAAAATATTTCCACTTCCGACCTGTGATGGACACATATATCCAAAAGCACTTTGCTGGAGCCCTGGCATATAAGTAAGTTGTATGTGGTATTATTACAACTTGTATTTGAGTAGAAAATCAGAAATTTAAGAAGTTTAGTTGTAGCCAGCATTCATTTAGCTGACTTTTTAAACTTTACTTTTATAATTGTTGCTAAAAATATGTAATATAAAATGTATTGTCATAACCTTTTTCAAGTTTATGATTTCATGTAATTAAATAATTTTTTCATATTGTTATAGAGCCATCATCAGAACTCCATCCATCTCTAAAACTCTTTTTATCCCACAAGCCAAAACTCCATAACATTCAACGGTTATACTTGTCAGTCTCCCCAGCTTCTGAAAAACATGGTGGCTTTTGTCTTTGAATTTTGACTGCTCTTAAATACCTCATGTAAGAGTCAAGTATTTGTCCTTTATAAGTAGCTTGTTTCATTTACCATGTCATCAGAGTTCCTCCATGTTGTAGCATATAACAGAATCTCCTTTTTTAAGATTGAACAGTAGGAAGCTGGAGAAATGATTCAATGGTTAAGAACATTGGCTGTTCTTCTGGAGGACTAAGGCTCAATTCCAAGCACTCACATGACTTCCCTTTTCCCAGCATCCATCAATAGCCATTCCTGACCAACAACTCACAGCCACTGGGATATTTGTTTGATTGCCTGTTACTTCTGGGATTGACAGCTACTTGTATAGGTTACTTCCATTCTATTTATTTTTCAAAATGTTTTTAAATTATCTTATAGAATAGTAGGTTCCCATATAATTTATTTTTTCCAATTTAATTTTTTAATGATTCTTTGTGTATTTCACATCATGCATTTCAATCCATCTCATTTCCCTGTCCCTTCACATCTGCCCTCTACCTTTGCAAACCCCCCCCCCACAAGGACAAAGCAAATTAAAACTTAAAAGAAAAGAGATGTAAAAGAAAAGAAAAATCTCATTGTGTAAGTGTAGTGTGACACAGTGAATCACACAATAGACCCTTTAGTCCATATATCATTAAGTATTCATTGCATTGAGTCATTGGCCTGGTTTGAGGTTTTTGCTAAACCATCGATACTGGGGCTCCTCTTGGATATCCTGTTGTTGCCTTGTATCCTGAAACTTTGGGTCTGCAGAACTGGCCCCTTCACCTGCCCCAGCAGATCACAGATGGGATAGATGCTGGGATGGACAAACTCATAGCCCTGGTTTTGAGTCTTGGTGGTTGCTGTGTTGGTTGGCCTGCCAGCTCTCCCTCATCCTCAATTCCAGGATGAGCTCTCCAGCACTGTCCGGGCTAGTTTGGCCCTTGCAGTGGTGAACAAGGGGTGGGACCTGTTCTCCTACTCTCATGTCCTTGAGGCTGATTTGGCAACATCTATGCCACCAGGGCCAGCTCAACCATGTTGCCTAAGCAAGGTGTAGCTGGTGACAGGCAGGGCTAGCTCTTTTGCTTTCATGATGTCATGGACAGCTCTCCCACCTGCCACAAGGCTTTGAGGAGTGAGGATGGAGGGTGCTTCTCTCCCTTGCCCATGCCATCATATGGCAGAGGAGGAGCAGGGCCAGATTACCTGTGTTCCCATCAACGGGACCAACTCTACTGTGCTGCCCAGACAAAGTGCAGGGGCAGTTTTCTTGCCTGCCACAACCTCAGGGCAAGCTCACCCATGCCCTCACCCGCAGGGACAGCTCTTCCGCTCTCATGACCCAGGGCCCAGATCTCTACTGCCCACACAGCTGCATGACAGATGTAGTGGGCTACATCTTCCATGTTCACATCCTTGAGGTTGGCTCACCTACACCATCATGCCCACACTGCTGCATTACAGATAGTAGTGGGGCTAGGTTTCCCACACTCACACCCTTAGGGTTGGCTCACCTACACCATTGCTAGCAGGGTCATTTCTAATGTGTTGTCCAGGCGAGGTGCAGGGCCTGCTCTCCCTAGTGCTTCAGTTGGTGAGGGACTGGGTCAGCTTCCCTGCATGCCACGGATGGCAAGGGGCAGGGAGGGCACCTTTCCCTCACCCACACTACCACATGGTAGGCAGGACCAGCTTTCCTACTCTTACACCCTCAGGACCAGATTGTCCTTGACATGGTCAGCTGTATCATGCTGCCCAGGCAAGGTGCAGGACCCACTCTCTCAAGTGCTGTAGTCAGTGAGAGTTAGGACCAGTTCTCCATAGAGTTGCAGCCAATGAGGGGCAGGGCCTACTCTGTGCAGCCCTATGCCCTCTGCCTTTGGTAGTAACAGCAGCCACTGTCATGAATACAGGCTTGTCACCAATCTCAGCCAGGTCCTCACTGCCCTCGCCTCTTTGGATCTGCCTTTCTCCACAGGATATGAACCATTCTATCTCTCCCTCCAGACCCCACAATATATTTGTTCACCACAATAGAGCCCGTCTACCAGGCACCTTGAGGCATTGGGTAGGCTCCTGTTTTCTCCTGTGGGCCAGGGTGGCCCCAGACTGGCATGTGGATTTTTGTTTCCCACTCAGTCTTACTCTCCATATAATTTCTTATGTCCTTACTCTCAGTTAACCTTCCTCCAAACCCCCTCTTTGTTTAACCCTTACCAACCTAGCGTTCTTCCTCTCTACTCCCATTTCCCAGTGTTCCACTATCTGTTTCCCTCCAGGCCTCTTTCCGGATATTCACCTAGTTCTAACAATTTCCTGGATCTTCAGTGACCCACACAAACTCTCACAATCATGATGACTAGTAGAACAATAAGAAATGAACATATATGAGATCTAAGCAGAGATATTTTTGCTTCTGCAAATTTGAATGCCTTTAAATTCTTTTTCTTACCTTATTGCTCTAGGTAGAATTTCTTATAAAAATAAGTGGTTAAAAACAAGTGTCCTACCTTGGGGGGGGGTGCACACCTTTAATCCCAGCACTCAGAAGGCAGAGAAGCAAATGGATCTGTGAGTTCCAGGCCAACCTGGTCTACAGAGCGAGTTCCAGGACAGGCTCCAAAGCTACAGAGAGACCCTGTCTCAGAAAAAAACAAAAACTAACAACAACAAAACCAACCGAGTATCCTTTCCTTTCCTTATCTTAAAATAGCTGTTAGTCACAACAAATAGGATATGAACTACAGGTTTCTGCTGGGAATTTAAAATAAAATTTATTACATAATTACTGTAGATTTTCTTATAAGAACTGATGATAAGCCTCCTGAAATTCAGTCTTGTTTGCATGAGAAACATGAGAAGCCAACATTATAGCACCCCAAGTAAAGATCAAATAAAACAAAAGGATTCTTCATGTGAAGTGAATTAGCTAAGACCATTGGGTAAACAAGATGTTGCCATTTTTATGATTTTTACTGCCATAAATAAAGTCTAACAGTGGCAAAACTGCAGAGTTCTTAGACTTTGACACTTTGGAGAGTAGACACTATGTGATTTATATACTGTTATTTCCTCCATATGTCCAGTGAATAGAATGAGACACATTGGGATTAAATAATGTGCCTAAGAACACAAAATTGCATACTAGTAGACCCCACAGCTTGTACCCTTTACCTCTGTTAATCTCTTGCCATGTAAATGTGTTTATCTTCTTGTTAGATCATGGACCTGCCACTTTAAAATAAGGTCCCTTAAGAGATTAAAAGTGGCTGGGTGGTGGTTGTGCATGCATTTAATTCCAAGACTCCCAGAAGGCAAATGTAGGTGGGTCTCTGAGTTTGAGGTCACTCTGGTCTGAAGAGTGAGTTCCAGGACAGCCAGGGATACACAGAGAAATCCTTTCTCAAAAAGCTGAAAGAGACAGAGATGGGGAAAGGAGAGATTGAGAGATATTAAATATGGCAGCCCAGGAGAAATCAGGCCACATGTCTTCTGTAGCCTATCCCTAAGAACAAAGAACCAACAGGCACTTTCTGTGGCTGTTATAGGAAGCCCAGCTTCTCTCTGCTGCTAAGGACAAGACATCTTTAAACTATGGTCTCATCTAGTGCCTACCTCCATGTCAGAAGTCACATAGGCTAGGCCAAGAATATGAAGCTTCTCCACTTACTTTGGAAACCTGTAAGACTCAGAAACCCTGTCCACTCCATGAATTTGAAGGCTCTTTCCTCCAAGACCTCCTCATAGTGTACCTAGAATTTGTCTCCTAATGCTTTCCCATTTCAAAGCTTGATCATGTCTCCTTTAGTTGTGTCATTCTCTCACCTACTAAAGCCTAATTTGAAGGGTAATTTGTTTCAGTTCTTTTATACAAACCTGCTAAACCTTCTCTTTTAAATTGTAATACTTTTGACCCAGTAAACTCACTGCTTGGTTCTTTGGAAAATGGGGGCGGGTAGAATGGAGTGGCATTTAGAAATATATACTTTTATTCATTGTATGTACTGGAGATATTGCAACTTAAGTCAAAATACATAATACAACCTAAGTTTAGGGGGAAAGTGAGAGTGGGAAAGAGTGCTTGTGACTGCTGATAAAAAAATTCTGTAGCTTCTTATGGACAGAGAATGTCTATCTATCTCAGATAATGTGAGAATTCCACAGCTGTGGTGGATCCATCAGCAGAATATTATTTCCTACTTTAGTTCCTACTTTCAGTTCTTTACTATTTTTCTTTTTGACTAAATGTACATTTGAGACTTATTTGCCTTTTGATTAAAATTGAATTTCAGTAAATGTTTTCTTTGCAGGGAACTCATCCGCTGTTTGAAGTGGTACATGGACTGCTCAGCAGAACTGATTCGGCAGGACCACATTCAGGAAGCCATGCGGGTAATGTCCAGAGCTTGTCATTCAGAAGGGGGACACTCCTGAAATTATTTGTATGTAATATGATTGCTATGGTGCTCAAAACAACTGAAGTGTGCTGACCTCCTTTCAGGAATGAAGGCCTTGATCCATGTAATCTCCTGTCTTCACCTCAGCTGTGCTCCATAAGAGCTTTACACCTGATCATTTTACCTTGAAGCAAGACGTGAGCATGGATCCTGGCCATCCTCCTCTGCCTAATTTTTACCAGTAAATCACTTTGCCCTCCCACTGGATACTAAATGCTGGTTTTGGGGACTGTGTTACATAAAGAGAGAGAATTGGATAGATATCCATATGAAGATGTTTGAAGACAATAACCTTAGAACCTTGGCCTTAAGGAGAATCTGGAGTCTTCTGTGGGATGATCAACACACTGGCTTAAATAGGTTCCCTGACAGTGCAGCTTGCCTTTCATTGCTGGGTAGCTCCAGATACCGAGAGGCTCCCTCCACTGTGAGTTAACTTCAGTCTATTAACTTCTTCTCATGGCGCCTCTCTGAACAATAGAAGGCTATGTAAGAACAATTAAGTCCTTTTTATTTTTCAAATGCTTTTAAGAAAGCTTTCATGTCTTCTAGAAACACCTTTAAAGCAAGATCATACTTTCTGTGTCTGTCCCTGTCTTATCTTGTACTTGGGTTATCTTTCCTTAAAGCTACTTTTTAATTATGTTTCTCCCACTTTCTACATAGTAATTAAAAGGAGAATGGCATCAAAGTTGTTCTTTTTTTCTGTCTTCTTTTAATATCACATCATCCATACTAAATATAGGCCCTGTGCTGTGTGTTGTTCTTCTTGCTTACATAGCACAATGTGTCAGATAGCATGGGTAAAATTAAGTCACAGATCTCTTTACTTTTCCTTGACTCTCTGAAAATACTTTAAATACCTGAGGCTGTAAGAGTTTTTTTCTCAATCCCTTCATACATATGTTCATTAAATGGTTACTGTCTGTTCTGGGTGCTAAGAAGCATACATTAGACCAGCCCATCTCCTAAAAAATAAATACAAAAGATTCTGTGTGATCCCATTAATTATTTAAGGGTACTATAGAAAATTTGAAAACTTTCCCCATCAATGGTATGTCATTATTCAGGTCTTGTTTAGAAAGCCATATTGTTAAAATTTCATGGGTCGTCTTTCCTGCCATGGAAAGGAGACACTGTCTCACAACACACACCCTAGTCCTCTGGCTCTTACAATTTTTCTGCCCCTCTTCTGTGATGTTCCTTGAGTCTTAGCTGTAGGGACTGTATTGTAGATGTGTCAGTTAGGATTGGGCACCCCACAGTCTGTTCTTTGCATTTCTGTAATAACCCCTATCTGTTGCAAAAAGTAGCTTCTTTTATGAAGGGTGAAGGCTACACTTACCTGTAGGAATAAGTATGTAGAATACAGTTAGAAATTATACTGGTTAAAAAGTGACAGTTCTTCTCTAGTTCTTCCATGACTTCTTCAGCTATGAGTAGTTAGCTTGGTTTGTAATACCAAGCATGAATTCCCTATTAAGTGGGCCAAAGTCTAGTTAGACAGCTGTTGATTACATCCCAGATAGAAGTGCTACTATTACACTAGTGGGAATATCTTGCTAGACTGGTTATGGTTGTGGTTCATAGGCATTAAACATGGGCAGGACTATTGATTCTTTTTCTCCTTTGATAGTTTGCAAAGCACCTATGAGAATTAACCCTCAGGGAGGTGGCTTCCAGGCCAGTTCCAGCTTGTTCCCTCAAGTCTGTTGTCTAAAGTGTGTGGTGTCTTCAGCGCTAGTCTTACCTTCAAGTTCTGGGAGGCAGTCAAGGTCAATGGCAATAGCTTATATGGTTTTGGGAATCTCTTGAACTCCCTTACCAATAACTTTTAAGAGAAATTTCTCATGATTAGCACTGAGGGTTTTTTAGATAGTCTATGGCTGATGGGGAGAACATTGTCACCCTGTGTGACATATCTTAGTCTTTATTGTTATGAAAAAAATGTCTTGACCAAGGCAATTTATTTTTTTCCAATTTAAAATTTTCTATTTGTTTTACATACCAACTACAGTTCCCTCTCCCTCCCCTCCTTCCACTCTCTCTCACCTCTCCCTTACCTCAGGCACCCCCATCCACTCCTCAGAAAGGGCAAGGCCTCTCCTGAGGAGTCAACAAAGCCTGGCACATCAAGTTGAGGCAGGATCATCACCTCCCCACCAGCATCAAGGCTAAGCAAAGCATCCCACCATAGGGAATAGGCTCCAAAATCCATCTCATGAACCAGTGATAGCTCCTGGCCCCATTGCCAGGGGCCCCACAAACAGAGCAAGCCACACACCACCCACAGGCAGAGGACCTAGTTCGGTCCCATACAAACTCCCCAGCCGTCAGTCCAGAGTCTATGAGCCCCCACAAGCTCAGGGGTTTGTAATCATGATCCTAACACCCCTTGTTCATACAATCCCTCCTCCCTTTCTCCAGCTGAACTCCCCCAGCTCAGCCCAGTGTGTGGCTGTGGATCTCTGCATCTGCTTCCATCAGTCACTGGATAAAAGTTCTATGATGACAATTACGGTAGTCACCAATCTACTTACAGGAGAAGGCAGCTCAGGCATCCTCTCCACTATTGCTAGGAGTTTTAGCTGAGGTCATCCTTGTGGGATCCTTGGAATTTCTCTAGCACCAGGTTTCTCCCAACCTCACAATGGCTCCCTCCATCAAGATCTTTTTCATTGCTCTTCCTCTCTGTCCCTCCCCCAACTTGATTATCCTGTTCCATATGTTCTCATCCCCCCTCCCCTCTATCTCTTCCTTCACCCTAAGCTTACCTAGGAAATCTCATCACCCTTTCCTAGGGTGATCCCTGTGTCCTTCTTTTGGGTCCTTCTTATTACCTACCTTCTCTGGAGCTGTGGATTGTAGCCTGGTTATCTTTTGCTTTACATCTAATATCTACTTATGAGTGAGTAACTACCATGTTTGTCTTTCAGGGTATGGGTTTCCTCACTCTGGATGGTTTTTTCTAGTTCCATCCATTTGCCTGCAAATTTCAAGACACCATTGTTTTTTAGTCCATCGTGTAAATGTACCACATTTTCCTTATCCATTCTTTGGTTAAGGGGCATCTAGGTTGATTCCAGGTTCTGGCTATTATGAATAATGCTACTATGAACATAGTTGAGCAAGTGTCCTTGTGATATGATTGAGCATCCTTTGTGTATATGCCCAGGAGTGGTAATGCTGGGTCTTAAGGTAGATTGATTCCCAATTTTCTGAGAAACCACTTTACTGATTTCTAAAGTGGCTGTACAAGTCTGCACTTCTACAAGCAATGGAAGAGTGTTCCCCTTGCTCCATATCCTTTCCAGCATAAGCTGTCCTCAGTGTTTTTTATCTTAACTGTTCTGACCAGTATAAGATGGTATCTCAGTCATTTTTATTTGCCTTTGCCTGATGACTAAGGATGTTGAGCATTTCCTTAAATGTCTTTTGGCTAGTTGGTATTCTTCTGTTGAAAATTCTCTGTTTAGATCTGTACCCCATTTTTTAATTGATTTGGTATTTTGATGTCTAATTTCTTGAGTTCTTTGAATATTTTGGAGATCAACCCTCTGTCAGATGTGGGGTTGGTGAAGATCTTTTCCCATTCTGTAGGCTGTCGTTTTGTCTTATTGACAATGTCCTTTGCCTTACAGAAGCTTTTCCATTTCAGGAGGTCCTATTTGTTGATTGTTGTTCTCAGTGTCTGTCCTACTGGTGTTATATTTCAGAAGTGGTCTCCTGTGCCAATGCATTCAAGGCTACTTCCCACTTTCTCGTCTATCAGGTTCAGTGTAATTGGATTTATGTTGAAGTCTTTGGTTCACTTGGACTTGAGTGCATGGCAATAGATATGGATATATTTGCATTCTTCTACATGTTGAATTCCAGTTATGATAGCACCATTTGTTGAAGATGCTTTCTTTTTTCCGTTGTATAATTTTGGCTTCTTTGTCAAAAATCAGGTGTTCATAGGTATGAATTAATGGCAGGGTCTTCGGTTCAATTCCATTGGTCCACATGTCTGTGTTTATGCCAGTACCAAGCTGTTTTTATTACTATAGCTCTATAGTAGATCTTGAAATCAGGGATGGTGATACTTCCAGAAGTTCCTTTATTGTACAGGGTTGTTTTGGCTATCCTGGTGTTTGTTTGTTTGTCCACATGAGTATTGTTCTTTCAAAGTCTGTGAAGATTTTTTATTGGGATTGCATTGAATCTGTAGATTGCTTTTGGTCAGATTGCCATTTTTACTGTGTTGATCCTTCCTATCCAAGAGCATGGGAGATCTTTTTATTTTCTGATATCTTCTTCAGTTTCTTTCCTCAAAGACTTAAAAGTTCTTGTCATACAGGTCTTTAACTTGTTTGATTAGAGTTACTCCAAGATATTTTATATTATTTGTGGCTATTGTAAAGGGATATAGGAGGGATACTGGTTTATTGGGTTAATCTTGTACCCTGTCACATTACTGAAGGTGTTTATCAGCTGTAGGAGTTCCCTGGTAGAATTTTTGGAATCACTTATGTATACTATCATATCATCTGCACATAGCAAAAGTGTGACTTCTGCCTTTCCAATTTGTATTCTCTTGATCTCCTTTTGTTGTCTTATTGCTCTAGCTAGAATTTTGAGTACTACGTTGAATAGATACAGAGAGAGTAGACAGTCTTGTCTTGATCCTGATTTTAGTGAGATTGCTTTGCATTTCTCTCCATTTAATTTGGCTGTTGGCTTGCTATAATTTGTCTTTACTATGTTTAAATATGTTCCTTGTATCCCTGATCTCTCCAAGAGATCAGGGGGTGTTGGATTTTGTCAAAGGCTTTTTCAGCATCTAATGAGATGATCATGTGGGCTTTTTTAAAGTTTGTATACATGATGGATTACATTGACAGATTTCATGTAAGGAGTAAGGTTTTTCGTCCCGCCGCTGGGTGTCCCGCCGCTATGCCAGCCCCAATTAACACACAGAGACTCTGTATTTGATACAATGCTATTGGCCAGGTACTAGTTTCTTATCGGCTAGCTCCGTCTAAATTATTAACCCATTTCTATGTATATCCACGTGGTCTTACCAGCGAGAGGTGGCTGGCGGTTCTACCTTCTCCAGACTCTCCATCTTGACTCCTCATTACTACTTCCTCTTTCCTCCTTGTCTCCTAGTCCCTCTTATCTTCCTTTCCTATTGGCCAACAGTGCTTTATTCATTAACCAGTATGAGAAACATACACAGAATGACATCTCCCATCAATTTCATATGTTGGACCATTCTTGCATCTCTGGAATTAAGACTACTTGATCATGGTGGATGATTTTCTTTTAAATATGTTCTTAAATGAGTTCAATTTGCCAGTATTTTATTGAGTATTTTTGCATCAATGTTTATGAGGGAAACTAGTCTGTAATTTTCTTTGTTGCATCTTTGTATGGTTTGAGTGTCAGGGTAACCAACCTCATAAAAAGAGTTTGGAAACATTCCTTCTTTTTCATTTGTATAGAACAATTTGAGAAGTAAACCAAGGTAATTCTTATAAAAGAAAACATTTAATTGGAAGCTTGCTTATAGTCCACAATCATCATGGTGAGAAGCATGGCAAGCCGGCGTGGCAAGCATTGTACTGAAAAGCAGTTGAGAGCAACATCCTGCTCTACTAGCAGAGAGATAGTCGGAAAGACAGACACCTTGATGCCTACCCCCAGTGACACACTTCCTGTAACAAGGCCATACCTCCTAGTCCTTTTAATCCATTCAAATGGTGCCCCTCTCTGCTGACTAAGCACTCAAATATCCAAGCCAATAGGGGCCATTCTTACATTCCTATTCAAACCACCACATGGCATAACTCTGTTAAACACACACACACACACACACACACACACAGAGGCATGCATGAATTGTGAGTGTGTGTGTGTGTGTGTGTGTGTAAGCCAACACAAAATAATGTGTTTTTTTGGCTTTCTCAAATACCTTTCATGTATTTCTCTTTCCTTCCTGCCCCTCCCCAGATAAAGTTCCCCTCCCTAGTTTTCCCATTTCCCCCTTCACAGCAAGTGTTCTGTTACCCTGTCTTTTTCTTCAGCCATCCCCTTCTTGGTCCTTTTTTATTTTTCCTGGTTTCTGTGGTTACTGCCAAGTTATATACTAACATCTAAAAATTCAGAACTAGGATCCTCAAATGAGAGATAATAACATGGTGTTTGTCTGAGTCTGAGTTACCTCACTCAATATATTTTCCAGTTCCATCCATGTGCCTGAAAATTTCATTATTTCATTTTTCTTTACAGCTGAATAGAATTCCACTGTGTATGTGTACCACATTTTCATTATCCATTCATCAGATGAATATCCTTTAAGTTGTTTCTATTCCTTGGTTATTGTGAATAGAAGTGGCAATAAGCATGGCTGAGCAAGTGTGTGTGGACCATGATGTGAAGTGGCTTTTGAGAAAGGGTTTCACAAGGACAGCATGCTTTTCACTGCTGAGCCGTATCACTCCCTCAGCAGGCAGCAGATGGGTACAGTGGATCTTCATGGTGATAGAAAAGTAATAATAGGGATAGAGAGATTACTCAGTTGACAAGAGCACCTTCTGTGCAAGCATGAAGACCTGAGTTTGAATCCAAGTACCCAAGAAGCCTGGCATGGCCACAAGCATGCCTGTAACCCCAACTCTATAGGAGTCAGAAATGAGGACCACTGGGGCTTTCCTGCTGCTAGTAAAGCTCCAAATTCTGTGAAAGACCTCATCTCAAAAGAATAATTGAGACACTTGAAGTCTTCTTTAGCCTCTACACATGCACACAGGTGTGTATACATACAAGTAATACATCACACACTCACATACATACCTCTTCTCCCTCCCAGACACACACACATACACACACACACACACACAAACACACACAGAGAGAGAGAAAGAGAAAGACAGAGAGAGACAGAGAGACAGAGACAGAGAGTTGTAATAACTTTCACAGTTTCCTCTCCTTTCAGATTTATTGAGTAGAAAAGGACAGGGTAGCTGCTTTAGCCTCAATTAAAAGCTTCAATATCTCCAAATAGGGTTGAGGGCAACTCCTTGAGTCTTGAACAGATACTCTAAAATGTACCCTTCACTTTCTACCACACTCTGTGGTGGGGTCTCAGAGGTAGCAAGCTGGTTATCAGGAGAAGGGGGAAATAGGCAGTAATGGAAGATTTAAGGTGTTTTTCTTTCCTCCATCCACATTGTACAGGACTTTCTTTGACACCACCCTATGTTCCTTTGCACACTATTTTATATCATAAAACCTAGAAAGAGAACTTAATCATCGTGTGAAAATTATGAACAACTTTGTTATCAGATTCTGCCCTTTTTAAACTAGTAAATATTTCCTAGTGCATCTCTTATAGTAGTCATTTCTGACTGAAAAGCAAAACAATTGGGTGGAACTGGTAAGACAATATTTTTTAGTTCAAGATGTGTACAGTATATACCTAGATATAATAGATATCCTAGGCTTTCATATTTAAAAAATACAACTTTTTCTGTTTCCTATATTCTGCATAACCACTGATCCTTTGCCTTCTGAGGTTAAGCATCTGATATTTAACAGGCTCACATTCTATCCTAAGCATGTGAAAGTTTTGAGAAATTTTTCTGGGACTGAGAATATCTGTGTCATAGTAGAGGAAGTAATTTCTACTTGAGTGACTGGCATAACCTAATTGTAAACTGAGATGGTGCTTTCATTTCCCAGCCACCCCAGTCCCAAATAATCACTCAGAAGCTTAATGTTAATTACAGACAGTATAGCCTATTGCCCAGACTTATTGCTAACTAGCTCCTACTTTTAACTAGCTCCCATTTCTATTAATCTATATATTGCCATTTGGCTCTTGGCTTTACCTGTGGTCTAGTACATTTTGCTGTTCTGGCAGCTGGCTGGCATCTCCACTCCACCCTTCTTTTTCCCTGTATTCAGTTTGGCTTTCCCACTTAGCTTTATTCTGTCTTGCTACAGGCCAAAGCACCTTTTATTATCAATGAGAGCAACATATGTGTTGCAACAACAGTGTACAGAAGGGTTATCCCACAGCACCTAATAAATGAGACTGGGTCTTGGTATTTTCTGTTTCCTGCAGCAGTCATGAAGAATCGCTGAAATACAGATAGAGAGGAATGATTGCAGCACATAGCTTGCAAGTATCTATCTAGACTTATAAAGTAATAGGCTTTTCAGATTCTTGATTTCCTAGATGTTAAAAGGCTTTCTGCACAGAGCTCTAACATTTTATGAGGTCACTTTATTCATTACTTTTTTCATTGCTGTGATCAAATACCCAATAAAAACATGGCAGGCAAGACATGACTTCAGGAGTGACCTAGTCTGTGGCACAGAGCAGTAAACAAAGGAAAACACAAGTCCTTATCTGGCTTTCTCCTTTCCCAACATTAAAAAAAAATTGAATTACATTTGTTTGTTTATTTGTTTTGGGATGTGGAATGTGCATGTAGAGGTTAGAGAACAACTTACCAGACACATTTTCCTAAACTAACCATCACCCATGGGAACTGAATTTCCTAAGCCAAACCTAACAGGCAGATGCTAAAAAGAGACTAAGAATTGTTTTTGCTATGTATTTCAAGTAACTGGGTTTTATTTGTCTTAATCCAGTGTTTTTTGTCTTTCCATTATGTGAGATAATGTAACAGTCTTGGGGCTTGAATCAGTTCTCTTAAAGGAGAATTACTATGTTTATAAGTATCAGCCAAATTCCAATAATCCATCAGAATCACATTCTGCTCTTAAGTCATTTTTTGAGGACATTGCCTTCTATCTTGCTCTTAAACTGTTAATGGTAGGTGCCATTGGTGGAAGGAACTGGAGAGTGAATGTGTCAGGTACACAAGCTGCTGTATAATCTAGGACTAGTTTTCCAGACTTGTGACCTTCTATAAGAAGGCAGAAGTCCCTATTCTAGACCTCACCTGTAATATAAAGTTACAGGAGACTCCTTTAAAGACTTTTCCCTTCATACAACAAACTCAAGAGTAGTTAGACCAGGTATGGTGGCGTATGCTTATAATCCTAGCACTCCAGAGGATGTGCATGAAGGTGGATAGTGAGTTTGAGGTCGGCCTGGAATTTTCTCTCCAAAAGAAAAAGAAACAAGCTGAATTTTCTTTGAATTCTAAATGCTTAATTTAACTCTTTGAATAACTGTCTGTGACTTAATTCCAGAACCTAGAGAATAATTATAAAAGCATTGATTATTCTGTCAGTAGCCAGACAGCTTTTGCTTGTCAACAATTTTTATCTTTGAGAAAAGAATTTAAGAATAAAGTGGGCATTGAAATCACCTGTCACTTTTTGGTTTTTTTTTTTTTTTTTTTTTTTTTTTGCTGTTTCTTTGCTGTTTCTTGTTATATGAGCTCCTAACCATCTTAAGTGTCTCCCCACAACTTTTCCTCCTACATATCTAGGCCCTGGAGTACCTTTTCAAGTTTATTGTGCAGTCACGAATCCTGTATTCAAGAGCCACATGTGGGATGGAAGAGGAACAATTCCGGTCTAGCATTCAGGAGCTCTTCCAGTCCATCCGGTTTGTGCTGAGTCTGGACAGTAGAAACTCAGAAACACTCCTCTTCACTCAGGTCTGTGAACTGTGGGGAAATAGTGTGGGGTTTCTTGTTGCTATTGTTGTTTGGGAGGTTTCCAAATTAAATTACTTCTTTGACAGTTTATCGTAGTAACTTCGGATTACTCTTTTCCCAATCCTCTTTTATCCCCTTCCCTCCTTAACAACTTTCTGCTCTTCCCTACCAGTCCCTTTCTGAGATTCCTGACTCTTGGCTTGGTTTTATGGCCATTTAGTTTAATCATGGCTGACTGTGTAACCATTGGATTGGAACCGCCGATCAGAGCCAGGTGGACTATCCAATGGATGCTCAGCTGAAGGCAGTGACTTTCCCTCTTCTCTGAGCCTATTAGTAGCAAGAAGTTTAGTAGTGAGGGGTAGGATCCCCAAGACCCTCTTCCACACATGCCTTAGTATGGACCACCCTATTTCAGGACAGACGTCTACAGTTATTGTGTCAGAGGTATTGCTGCTAGGATTCTCTGCCTTAGAAAGTGGTTTTTGGTTTTTTGTTTTGTTTTGTTTTGTTTTGTTTTTTTGTTTTTTGGTTTTTTTGTTTTGTTTTGTTTTGTTTTTTTTTTTTTTTTTGTCTGATTTGGGGAAAGAGGTGATTTACAAGTAAATACTTGGTAGAACAGCCAATTTTGCTTCAGCTATGAGGCATGAAAGGATCTAGTGACTTCATATTAGAAAAACAGGACTTTGCTATTATGAATTCTCTTTAGACAAAATTTGCAAGACAAGGTTTCTCGATATAAAAGTCCTAGCTGTTCTGGAACTCGCTCTGTAGACAAGTTTGGCCTAGAAGTCGCAGAGATCTGCCTACTTCTACCTGCCGACACCACCACCCAGCCATATTATAATTGTTATGACCATCATATTCATAGTGGCTATTTAAAATATATAGGGAATTTCCTAGTTAATTTTATTACAACTTGCCCATTATAAAGTTAAGCATGACATAAAATGAAACCTAAGAGGAATAACTGAATGAACTAAGAATTAGAGCTAGATTCTATTAGAAGTACCAGTGTTAGAAATTTTCTTTCTTATACCAAAGTCTTTCTTATACCAGCTAGTCTATTACCTTTACCAAGCAGACTGTGCCATAATAAATCAAACATTCATTACTCCATCAACATAGAGGCTGGATTTATTTTTTCTTATCAAATTAGTAGGCTTTTACCTAGTGGAGGTCTCCTCCTTGAAATCAAAAAAGCTGTCAGATAGTTTCTCTGTCTCCCCATTCCATGACTACATGACTACATGTGTTATCAGTGAAAATGTATGTTTTAAACCCTGTCTTACTTTTAGAATAGGTTTTTTTTTTTGTCTTCCACTTGCCTCTATATTGTCCCTTGATGCCCATGAATTGTCTGTAGGTTCTTTGGCCCAAGAGCAGGTGATCATCTGGGAGCTACTTATGATAAAGGAATCCTCAAGGTTTTAGGAGCCTCTAAGGAACCCAAAACACTCATTTTTCTCCTTGACTTACCGCAATCTATCTGTTCCTTTTAACAGGGGTCAAGGGTACCTGCTGCTTCTCTCCCCCAAAAGAGTTACAGAGAGGTGGAAGGTAGCTAACAGAGCAGGGTAGACATGTTTTCTGGGTATTTGTCAATGCTGTGTACAAACAGTGGTGATCTTGGCTCAGGTACATGCTCTTACCAAAATGTTCTTGTGGAACCACCTTTTGTTCCTAGTTGAACACTGTGTTTCATTTGCTGCCTCCTTGGATCATTGTGAGGAATATCAGGGCAGATAGCTTAGACCTGGTATCAGTTTAAATACATTTAGGGTTCAAATCTGATACTTTGCTACCAAGCTTATGTTTCATGAGTTTCAGAACTCTTGGAAAATTTACTGTTCAATTAGACTTTCTATCATTGATCGTGACTATCAGAAGTTTCACCATTTGATGGAAGAAACCAGCTATAGTGTTATTACTGAGTATGACACAGTTAACTACACCCCCCCACACACACACACACAATTGCTTATATGCTGGTCTTAACTGTTGTAAAACAATTTCATGGAGTTATTAACCTGAAGACAGAATTCATATGAATTTCACACTTCAGTCTGGCCTTAACATAAAGGACAGTAGTAATATAGGCTTTCCATGGCATAAATTTTCAGCCACTCTACACAATTATCTACTGCTGGATGAATCATTTAAGAAAACCATCCTCAAAAAGAAAAGAAAAGGAAAGGAAAGAAAAGAAAGCCATCCTCCCCCCAACCCCAGCTCACTTCCTAAAAATGAGCTGTTACCTTCTGCTCTTAAGGTGCCGCTTCTATTCCCTTTGTAAATCTTGTTTGGATTAGTGGTGTGAGAAGACTAAGAAATGCAAAAAGCTTCCTTCATGGAGCTTTCAATAGATACAGGTAGGAAATAAAAACCAGCTCATCTTCGCTTCTCTTGGTGCTGTGGTAAAATATTGTCACAAAAGCAACTTAAGGAAGAAGGCGATTGTTTGTTCTGCTTTGCAGTTGATCATAGTGGAAGTCAAGCTCATCACTGCATCCCCAGTCAGGGAGCAGAGAGCAGTGACTGCATGTGCTGCTGCTCAGTCCTGTTGTTTATGCAGCTCAGGGCCCCTGCCCTGGAAGTCCTTCCTACAATAGTTAACATAATCAAGGTAATCTCTCAAAGGTGTGCTCAGGGACCCATCTCCCAGGTGATCCTAGACTTTGACAAATTGACAATTAACAGAGCACATAGCATTTATTGAAGACCTGTTGCACTCTAGGCACTCTGCTGAAAAGAGCTCACCTAATTTTTCCATATACCAATAATAGCATCAACCCCATTTTATAAATGAGAAAGTTAAGGATTGGGCCAATTCATCAAACATAAAGCAGGCAAATGATAAAACTGAAAATATATTTATTTATCCAGGCTGGTCTTAAACTTGCAACCTCCTGCCTCAGTTTTCTGAATAGCTAAAATTACAGACATGAAACATCACACCTGGCAAAAAGCTAGAATTTGAACTCATATGTTTCTATTTTCAAAATCTATTATTTTTCCCCTATCGTGTTCTGCCTCTCAAAAATTATGGATCAGTGTTATCAAGTTGGGGCAGCAAGATGGCTCACCTGGTAAAGGCTCATGATACCCACCCTGATGACCTGGGTTTTGTCTCCAGGTCCCACATGGTAAAATGAGAAAACCAACTCCCTAAGTTGTCCTCTGACCTCTGCATGAACATGTGCTCCTCAACTAAAGAAATAAGTGAATAAATAAATAAATAAAATAAATAAATAAAATTTTAAAAATGCCATCATGCTTTCCCCACCTCATTAAAATAAATTATTACAAGTTTCTCAAGAGACCACATAGTGTTTCCAGAGTTAAGATCCTAGAAGCCCCTGTGTACATTTTCTCTCTTCTTCTCTGTCCCCTTACTCTCCCCCTTCCTACTCCCCTGCTTGTTTGGGCCATCTGAATCACTGAATTCTAAGTCAACATTATCAGTAGTCCTGAAGAGTTTATAACTGAATAGATCCATGTGTTTCCCATACTTTTGAATTTATGTTTGAGACTGCCAGAGGATCACATGTGAGAAAATAATTTATGTGTTTTTCAGATTACATGATTATAGACAACCATCACTATCCCTGGAAAATCCTTTAGTTCTTAAAGCTGGGTTACTGCTATTACTGGAGTCCAGCTGGTACTGCTGGAAGGCACTCAGCTTTTAATTACTTTTCCCTTTCTTAGAGGTTTCTGGCTTGTGTTGGAAACCAAAAGTGAAAAGTCCAAAGTTTAATCATAAAGAATAAAAGTTTAAATCTATTTATGATGAAAAATAGCTGTTTTAAGCTACATTGTGCAAAGTTCTCTTTATACTTCCTTCTCTTGTCTGCAAATGCTTGGCAAGTTATGAAAGCTTCAAATGGCTTGAGCCTTAGTAAAAATCCTAGTTTCATTTTTGGATTTCCTTTCTGTGCTCCAAGAGTGCTACAGGGCTGAGTAGAGTCAAAGGCCAGGGAAGAACCCTCTCAAGGCAGGGGTACTATAGTGCCTTCTGAAACTCTTTCAACCCCATACCTTTGAACGTACAAGATAAACAGAAACCAGACTTTGAGCTAACCACAGCTTTACTTACTCCCACAGGCTGCACTGCTTAATTCTTTCCCCACCATCTTTGACGAGCTGCTGCAAATGTTTACTGTGCAAGAGGTAGCAGAGTTTGTGAGAGGTACACTGGGGAGCATGCCGAGCACTGTGCACATCGGGCAGTCAATGGATGTGGTGAAGCTGCAGTCCATCGCCAGGACGGTGGATAGTCGCCTGTTTTCTTTCTCAGGTAAATTAGGTTGAGAGTCAGATTTTATTTCTTCCCTTCCAGGATGGTAGCCAAATTTAAATTAATCAAGGCATCAGTTTAACAATCATGATGTAAGAAATCAATGAGCCTTAAAGTGTAGAGATTTTAGTAAACTATGTGAGAAATTTGTCCAAGACCTAGACCTACAGCCTCTTTCACAATTTACTCTTAGGAACCCATACCTTAGGGCGTGCTCAAAGGAGCTGTATTAGTCTGTGCATGTTGTGACAGTAAAATTTCATAAACTAGGTGGCTTACAAACAGTAGTGCTGGGTATGATGCCAGGTAGATCTCTATGAGTTTGAGACCAGCCTGAGCTACATTGGAAGTGTGTGCGTGTGTGTGTGTGTGTGTGTGTGTGTGTGTGTGTGTGGACATGAGGACACATGCCTGTACTCAGCACATGAAAAGTAGAGGTCACCAGGCGGTAGTGGCATAAGGCTTTAATCCCAGCACTTGTGAGGCAGAGGGAGGTGGCTCTCTGTGAGTTTGAGACCAGCCTGGTCTACAGAGTGAGTTCCAGGACAGGCCCCAAAGCTACAGAGAAACCCTGTCCAAAAAAAAAAAAAAAAAAAAAAAAAGAGGAAAAGGTCATGGGTGAGCCAGCCCCAAAGTTGTGAGCATGGGAGAGCTGTCCCATTACTGTCTGTCCTGTGGCAGCATGGGCAGGGGAAAGATGTTCCTCCCCACCCCCTGCCCCACCCATCAACACCTGAGGCGTGTGGGAGAGTTGGCCCTGCCCCTCATCAGCTGCAGCAGTCTTGAGAGTGACCCCTATGCACGTCGCCTGGGCAGCACACTAGAGCAGGTCCTGAAGGTTTAGGTTGGGAGAACCAACCCTGAGGACATGAAAGCAGGAGAACTGGCCCCACCCTCTCCTCATCAGTACAAGGGGTGAACTTGCCAGAGGATTGCAGGAGGGCTCACTCTGGTGGTGAGGACAAGGGAAAGCTGGTGAGCTGACCAACCCTGCAACTACCCAGGTCCAGAACCAGAATTATGAGTTGGCCTACCCCAACATCCACCCTGTCTGTGATCTGCTGGAGCTTGTGAAGGGACTGGTCCTGCAGACCCAAAGTTGCAGGATATTTACAACCCAGGGCAACAGCAGGAACAGAGGAGTTCCAGTGAGGGCCCAGCATCAACAGTGTAGCAGAAACCATAGGCCTCAAACCAGACCGATGACTTTGCAATGAACACTTGCAAATAAAGATATACTGTGTCACACTGCAGCTTCCATGCTGAGATTGATTTGTCCTTCTCTGTTTCTCCTTTTTTTTCTTTTTATTTTCTCTTAAATGTTATTTTATTTGGGAGGGGAAGATTGCAAGGCAGGGGGTAGATACAGTGGGACAGGGAAATGAATGGAATGGAGATGCATGACACAAAGAATAAATAAACAAAGTAAAGAGAAAGGTATAGAAACGAAAACTAAAAGTTAAGGTCATCCTTGGCCCCATAGTAAACTCGAAGTCAGCCTGAGTTAAATGGAACTCTGTCTCAAAAAAAAAAAAAAAAAAGGCACAGATACTTAATTTTTATAGTTCTGAAGATGAGAAAGCCCAGGATCAAGACACCAGTAGACTTGATGTCTAGTTAAGCCCACTTCCTGCTTCATAGGCTACTCTCTTCTCTGTTGTATCACCTTGCAGGAGAAACAAGAAAGCTTTCTGAGTATCTTTGTAAGAAATACTAGTCTCATCCAGGAATGGTAGCACATACTTACAATCTCAGTACATGGGGGCAGAGACAGGCATATCTCTGTGTTTCAAAGCCACTCCGATCTACATATCAAGTTCCAGGCCAGGTAGGCCTGTATGAGACCCTGTCTCAAAGGGGAGATGAGGCACTAATTTCATTCATGAGGGTAAGGTCCTGATGGCCTTATCACTAGGAAGTATCCCACTTCCAATACTGTCACACTAGAGATTAGGTTTTGACAATATGAATTTGATAGGGACAGAAACACTCAATGTGTAGTAGGAGGCCCTTTGTCTCCAGGCCACAGGCACAGCTATATCCTGGCTATGGGATCCTGTCACAACAGCAATCATATGGATGTACAGAGGCGAAGAAGAGAGAACTAAAGAAGAGGGTCCAAGAAGACAAGGACATCCAAGAAAATTAAAAAGTCCCTGGAAGAGGACCTGGGAAAAGCTGTACTTACTTGTTTCTTTGGCTCACCAGTCAGATAGATTCTCATATTCTCTCTCTCTCTCTCTCTCTCTCTCTCTCTCTCTCTCTCTCTCTCTCTCTCTCTCTCTCTCTCTCTCTCTCTGCCTCCCCTTCTCCCTCCTTCCTTCCTCTTCAAGATAGAAATGGACAGAAAGCCTTTCATACTCCCTAGAAGGTCAGCACAGCCTCACTGATAAATCAGGAGTCTAGGATACCTTTCAGAAAGAATCTTTGGATTTATCCTTGAAAACATATTGCTTGTGATCAAGTTCAACCTTTCAGCTGCATACAACATGAAACTGATTAAGTAGGATGCCACTGTTCTAGAATAAACCTCCAAGCACAAGAATAAATCTGAAGCATCAGCAAAACAGCTACCTGAATTTTCATAATTAGAATTTTATGTTAATTTTTAATGTTTTACTTCAAAGTATAAGAACAACTTATTAATTCAGTGCTATATACACGTAGAATACTAAGGAGATGTTTCCATTAACTCAGCTCTACTAGTACAGAGCAGTAACAGTGACACTACCATTGAAGAAATGAACCCTCCTCAAGTAGCTGTTGAGAAACTTCTTTTTTCTACCTCATTGAATGTCACTAAATCCAGTGCTTACAACTCATGCTTTATCAAAAAATGCAGAAAATGCAGCATGATAAGTATCTGACAAAACAATGTCAAAATGTCTTATATGTCATATAATTTATCTTTGGCTTAAATTTTTGTTTTATTTCTTGGGGCTGGAGAGATGTTTTGGTGGTTAAGAACACTGCTTTTCTAGATGATCTAGGTTCAGTTTCCAGCATCAACCATCTGTAATTCCAATACCAACAAATCCAGTGCCCTCTTCTGACCTCTGTGGGGCACTGCATATATGTGGAATGCAGACAAAACCTCTATACATAAAATAAAAATGAAAGAAATAATTTTTGAAGTTAATGTGGAGCTCTTAACTATGGTCAAATAAAAACAATAAATTATATTTTCCATGGCTCATGTTATTGATAATCCAACTGAATCATTATGGACAGGCAGGACAGTGTCTGCAGGGGTGCATAATCACTACCACACAAAACTTTAGGATGCCAGAAATATGTTCACACTTGCATTTTATTTAGTAGAAGATTACTTTAACACCCCATTCTACAGAGGGGAAAATCAAGCCTGTGGAAGAAGTCAGTCTGCTTTAGAACTCAAATCGGTAAGGGAGCTTGAATATCATCCACCCTGTCTGAATTAGGGGTTGCAAACATGGTTTCTTCCTAATGATATGCTATTCTGGTAACATGAAGAGGAAATGAAAGATATTTAAATGTGAAGTAGGATTGGAATAAGAGCTCACTAGTTATCAAAGACTATGACAGACTAAGCTTATACTCCTGTTCCATTTGTTGTTGTGAACATTACCAATAGCAGTCTAACAAGGCAGTGACAGAAAAGAAATAGACTAGGTGAATGCATACCAGAATAGGAGTGACAGACTACTTATCCATAGCATGAAAAGGAGCAATTCCTAGTAAGCCTACAAATCTAGTCATTGTAGTTCATGATAAGCTTGACATTTACATGGATTTTCCCTATAAACTATTTTGGTTTTGTTGGGTGGTTTTGATTTTTTGAGTCAGGGTTTCTCTGTAACAGCCCTGGCTGTTCTAGAACTTGCTTTGTAAACCAAGCTAGCCTGACAGAGATCCTCCTGCCTCTGCTTCCCAGAAAAATCTTAGGCTATTTGCAACTGTGAAAAGGTCGTAGGACCATATGGAATTCTTCAACCAGTCGCTGATGCAATAAAACTACCCATTAAAGAACCATTGTACCCACTAGCCACCTCAACATCTCTATTTATTATTGCACCAACACTATCACTAACACTAGCATTTAACCTGTGAATCCCTCTTCCCATACCCCATCCACTAATCAGTATAAACATAGGAATTCTGTTTATTTTAACCACTTCAAGTCTATCAGTTTACTCAATTCTTTGGTCTTACTGAGCATCAAACTCAGTATTCCATATTTGGAGCCTTACGAGCAATTGCCCAAACAATCTTATATGAAGTAACCATAGTAATTATCCTACTTTCAGTTCTCCTAAATGGCTCATTTTCACTTCAATCCCTTATCACCACACAAGAACCAATATGACTACTATTAGGATCATGACTGTTAGCCATAATATGATTTATTTCAACTGTCATAGAATCTAACCAAGCCCCATTTGATCTAACAGAAGGTGAATCAGAATTAGGGTGCTGGGATTAAAGGCATACACCACCACTGTCCAGCTAAAACTAATTTAGAGCTTAATCCTTAAAAAGGTTTCATTTGGAAGCAGACTTCTACTTACATCTTATCTCAAATGCCATTAGTGTAGGGGTCTAAAATAATAATGAAGAAAGTAGAGAACCATATCATAGTATGGCTTAAAATTTCTAGGCTTTAGACTTTTAGAAGAGGGTAACCTCTACTAAGACATCCTTATCCCATCCCCACAATGCCACTATCTTCTAGCAATAGTTAGCTGTCCTCCAGTGGACAACCTCATCTCTGTTTTCTTTCCTAGAATCCCGCCGCATCCTGCTTCCTGTGGTTCTTCATCACATTCATCTTCACCTGAGGCAGCAGAAAGAGCTGCTAATCTGCTCAGGGATTCTGGGCAGTATCTTCTCCATCGTCAAGACGAGCTCTCTGGTAGTGACCCAAACCCCCGCCTCCAGTTATCTCTGCCCTGATTTTATGTTATTATAGTCAGGAGCAGAGTAACAAAGATAACGTTGTTCCTTCTCAGTCAGAGATGCTTTAATAGGTGAAAAAGAAAGTGCTCAAATGAATGGACGTCTGTGTGTGCCCATGGGTTTCTCAATACAATACATTCTTGGCACATTAATTGTTATACTACTATAAATGTACACAATTATATAATTTCCCTTAGATCAGAAAGCCCAGTCATGGTGCATCTTCTGTTTCTATCAAAAGGTATTAATTCTGGAATCTTCAGAATTTTCTTGGATTGTAAGTGCAAATATCAGGAGGCACATCCAGTCTAGGAGGCAGAGGAAGGTTGCTTATTCATACTTTTCTCTCAGCTTCCACACAGCTTGATTCCACTCGTGGCATCCTTACATCTTGCCAAATGAGGTCAGGATATGCAATAGCTGTGTGTTACCCATAAAGTGGTTAACCCTGTGGGATGTAGAATCATTCTTTAGAGGTCACATTTCAACCAATAATGTTTTTATATTCTTTTCTAAGGAAATGTGTGGTAGAAGGAGAGAAATTGAAGTAGGGGAAAAGTAAAGGCATGGGGGAGAGTAGGATTTATTTTCGTGCTATTTATTTTATATACTTACAATAGAAGAAATGGGTATTATAAAAAAATTAGGAGAGTTAGGAAAGCTATAAAGAGAATGAAGAATAAGCATGGGCTTAATACATACTTTTTTTTTTTTAAAGTTAATGCTCCTAGAATGAAATTTGAATTACATTTAAAATGAAGGTCATGGTCCAGGTAATAACATGCAAAGCTAGACTACTTAGATGGAGCAAAAGAGGCCCCTAAAACAAAGATACGCCTCATTTGAGCAAAAGACAGAAACCCAAAAGGGAGGTCTACTATCCTGAATTAAAGTATCATCTAACAATAGAGGTCCAACTTGTCATAAAGTAATTGTAATGGTTGTAGGGACCCTATTGTTTGCTTTTTGCTCCAGGCAAGACCTGGCAACTCTCTTTTCCATCAGGCCTCATGGAAGCCACACCAAGCACATAAAATCTATAGTGGCCCAAGATCACATAGGAGGTAGCGTATTGCTAATGGGGGAGGGGGTGAAGTTTCTTAAGGAAAAAAAAAAAAAAGGAAACCAGTGAAAAACCTGAAAAATGTAGTTCGGTTGTATTTGGAGGAATAGATAGCTGAATATAATTATCGACTACAGGAATGAGTGTTATAATCACTTTGATAGATGGGAAAGATGACTTTAGTCCCAAGAGCTAATTCCTCATGTGAAATAGGACAGAATATAATTATATTTGGTGAATGGGTAAACTTAAGTTCTGTGAGATCAGAGATAGTCTCTCTCTAGTTCATCTTAGTATAGTCAGGTTCTCAAACAGTGAATAGCACATAGTAAATATTTGATGATGCTGCATGGACAGAAGCTGAGCATTCTGACCAGTAGTAGTACAAATATTTTGAAACTCTGGGGAGATGGATCAATGTTTAAAGTGCTTGCTTTGCAGACACAAAAGCATGAATTTGGATCTCTACCACCCATGTAAAAAATGGTACAGTGGTGCATATGTCTATAACCCTAACTCTGTGGGGAGGGAATGAATGGAAGAACAGGAAGATCTAGGAGGCTTGATAGCCAGCCATTCTGGATGAAATGGCAAACTCTAGGTTTAGTTGAAGACTAAACCTAGTTTCGATGATGATGATGATGATAGTAATGGTGAAGAAAAATAGAAGACATCTGGTGTCAACTTCTAACCTCCATATGTGTGCACACAGCTGCATGCACCAGCATACATATACACAACACACAAACCACATAGACACTCAAAATACAATTTTAAAATATATTTTGGAGGATGGACAATGGGAATTTCTTTGAGAGATATTAAAGCTACTCTAAAAAATTTGAAGTGAATATGTGATGTCTATGAAAAGATAATACAAACTTTTCTAAAATTCTAATAACTGGGAAGTAGCCTATAATGAGATGCCATGTTCTATTTTTATAAAGCTGTCAGAGAAAGATGGATTGAGAATAGATTCTAGAAGAGCTGGGAACAGCAACAGACTGAGAAGCTAGAAATGGCCACGGAAGAGGTTTGCAGAAATTGAGAGTAGTGATTTAAAAAAAAAAAAAAAAAAAAAAGGAAAAAAGAAAGGAAAGGACTTATAAAAAGATGCCTGCACTAGTGAAAAGGTCCCTGCCACACTCTGGGGTACAACTTTATCATTTCTCAAAGTATCAATAGAGGCATGCTTTCTTTTCACTATACTAGGGAAATCAAAGAAAACTTTTCACTTAGGGCATTCATCTCTGTCCTATATGTCAGCATTAATGTGTCTGCCTGAGATTCAAATTTGTGGGTGGCATTAGGAAAGCAAGGCCTCGGCCACCATATCTAGACAACAGAGGCAGGCATTCCTCACTCCCTCTTAAAACCATAGTCCTGGGTTCCTTGCAACTTAATATTGTTGAGTCTGAGAGATGAGTATTGAAGATCTAGACAAAAGCTCACTCCTGATGCAGCTTAGTGGTTGTTGCTACTGAACATGTACATGGCCTAATGCTAATAATATCCTCTCTCACTGCTCACCCCAGGAGGCAGATGTCATGGAGGAGGTAGAGATGATGGTAGAAAGCCTCCTGGATGTGCTCTTACAGACTCTCCTCACCATCATGAGTAAATCACATGCTCAGGAGGCGGTAAGAGGGCAGCGGTGCCCGCAGTGCACAGCCGAGATCACTGTTAGTAACTAACACTGAGGTGTTTCTTGCTTTCTTTTCTAACCTGGGGCTCCTCACATCACTCCTGTCTCATCACCCCACCATTTTCATCTCAGCCTCCCCCCTGCAAGTTGTCAGCATGCCACCCTTTTCTTTCCTGAGTCTTATCCCCTCTCCTCTCTGAAAGCTCTAGTTTCATACTCCCAGGAACCTAGTTTAAGGAAGATTCAAGGAATGCTTCTTGTATGGTTTCCCTACCATAGTTTCAGTTGGTCTTTGCCTTTAAGCAAGTCACTTTATATAAATGTTGATTGGATCAGTGATACAATAAAGCTATAGGAAAAAGATAAAAGACAGCCAGGCTATCCCCTGTAGGAAACCTCACTTACAGCTCTCCTAAGTGATATATAGGACAGAATAACTTTCTTGGGTCTACAGATTAGTTAGTTTAGTTCATAGTATCTGTATCTAAATTTATAACATCAAGAAAAATATAATGTGGTATAATATCAAAGGTGTTGCTACGTAATGATTTTATATGACATAATTAAGAGAGAAACAAACTAGAAAAGCATCTCAGGTGGGATAGAGATGGAGGTGGGATAGAGATAGAATCCTTGCATATTTTAGAGTAAATTTCCCAGCCCTTGTGTGGTAACATGATAAACCGTTTGTATGAACTGTTTCAATTGGAAGGTGAGAGATTACAGAACTCTCTTTTAAAAAGTCATCTCTGAGAACAAGCATGCCAGGGTGATTATGTGTTCTGGAAAAGCGTCTCCTTCATTAAGAGCCCCTGTTGAAAAACACAAGACTTAGTGAACTTTTTTTAACCGTAGGCATTATCTATTGCACAGGTAGTTCTGTGGTATTCCTCAGTGTGACAGCCTAGGAAGAGACATAATCAAGAACTCATTTGTGTTGAAAGAAGTAGGATGTCAGGATTGAAAAAAAGACAGTCCATCTGTTCTAAAACGGATCCTAAAGTAAACTTCAACAAATTAGATGCCAAAGATTTCAGATGAAGAACTTTTAATTTGTCATCACTATGTCCATAATTCAAGTAGAGATGAAGCTTAAGTAAATCTTAGGGGCTGATAATACAGCTTGGATAGCTGTATTAAGCGGTTCTTTTAGACTGTCTTGAGGAGAAATCTGAAACTACAGCTTAGCACAATAGTGCCCTTAACAAGCAGTAAAAGAATCACAGCATGTAAAAGCCTGTAAGAAAAATTTAATGAGTTTTTGTTTGAAAACTGTTGTTGACACCCTCATTATAGATAAAATAACCATGTAACCTGGCATGTCCTGGTATCCCAGCCTTCTAACCAACACTTACACAGCCCTTGATAGGGGTTCTGACCCTGCTTTAAGCATTTGACAAATGTTATTAATGAAACCATCCATTTCTGTAGATTATGTTTATAACTATAATTTGTTTGGTACCTTTATTATATATTAGACTTTGTGCTTCAATGCTACCCCCACTTATAAACTCATCTAACCTTTACAGAAAATTAATTATGACTTCTTATGCCCATTTTCAAGTAAAACTGAAGTTCATTTATATGGGTAGCCTTTGTGTAGTTTCAGGGCTTTAGAAAGGATTTGGTAAGTTTAAAGGCTACTGACAAGTTCCCATGAATTTAGAAACATTTGAAAGTAAAACACTTTTCCCCTTTCTGAGGAGACAGTCCTTTAAGAATCATGTCAGTACTTGCCATAGCATGGTCTTTGGAATCCTTAAGCGTGTTTTTGTTTTTTTGTTTGTTTTTTTTTCTAATGTATCCTAGTTGGCTTAAAAGACTCATCATTATACTTAAATATGCCTTCAAGTTGATAGCTTGTTTCCTTCCAAAGATAAGTTTTGATTCCTTTGCCTTTCTTCTGATCACCTATGTCCCACTTTCCCAGTTGAGCTTCCGTTCCCTAGAATGTCCTTGTTGAAGGGCTGCTCCCAGCAGATGATCTAAACTGTCCAGAGGAGAGACTCCCTTTCCAAGCAGCCTCTACAGACTTTGGTATTGTATACTGATAATAAAAGACTATTTAACCAAAACTTTGCTGTAGAGAAAATAGTAAGACTTTGCTTTGCAGTACTCCATGTTATAAGTGAAGTGCTTTTTTTGTTTTTTTTTTTTTTTTAATAACTCTGTGCTGCAAAAGCTTTATTAAAACTCCAAAGCACTCCTAGAAAAAAGTTCATTTTCAGGAACACAGTTGTCACCTTTTTCCATGAACATTTGGGGCCATCTCAAACCCTCCCTTTTCTTCTTACCCTCTGTGATTTGGAGAACAAAGCTCCTGTGACTGGCTGTGCTAAGTGTTTTTGGTTTTGTTTTATTTTGCATTGGTTCCCAGGGTGAATATGTGTCCTGCCTCCTCTCATTGCTCCGTCAGATGTGTGACACCCATTACCAACACCTTTTAGACAACTTCCAGAGCAAAGATGAACTCAAGGTAGGCAACAGAGCACTGGCTTTTACCCAGGAAAGGAAGCAGGCATCCACAACTTCCAATAGGCTTCTCCTTGCAGGGGATTATGTTCAAATGGCCATTACTGCCTAGGGCACAGAATTCAGCAGCCCCAGTTTAAAGCTGAGTACATGACCTCCAGAAGCTGAAATCTGGCAGTGCCCTCTATATGCCCTGAACCTCGGGCTGACACTTGAGAGTTTTTATCTAGCTGATAGCAGTCTTGTGAGCATGTGTCTCTATTAGAGAATAACCTGAAACACACTGGGTCAAAAAGCCAGGATGCTCCCTTTCTTACATTTTTCTTCTGTGCAAACCAGGCATAACTGTGTTAATAGCTATAATACTAATGATGATGATGACAGCATTTTTTTATTTGAATGTAGTTCTGGAAAATACCTGTCAAGAGCCAGAGTATACCCTTCCTACCTTGAGTTGCCAGATTTTGAATTTGAAGTAATGAGGGGCAGATGGTACAAAGAAATGAGCCTGGAGTCCAGAAAGCAGGAGAGCATTGCCCTGGCTGAGCAGAGCCTCAGCTGCTCACAGACTGCCAGGGTTTGTGTCTACATCAGAGCATGCTGCTTCCTCCCTGGCCTAAGGACTATGCAGACTTTAGGTGTGTGCTCTGCTTTTTTATTCAGAACAAAAGCATTTGCACTTTATAACAATGCATCCCACTATTTTTCCACTAACATTATTTTTATTAACTCTATTGTGTCACTTAATATCAGTTATCACCTTTTGGTGTCGGATTCTGCCTCCTCTCTACAGATAACTCTCTGTAGGTTGGTATCGCTTATAACCTGTAAAGTGAATCAAAAGACAGCCAGAACCCAAATACAGGTCAAGCAATGCTCATGCTGAGATGTAGAGAAAGGAAGTACAGACTTGCCTGTTCTAGATTGTTCTCATCCAATGTGTGATACTGAGTCTGAACAGGCTAACATCATTCGCTTTTAATTATTTATTTTTATTACAGGAACACATGTATATGGTTATAAAAACAAACACTGTCCACAAAGTTTATAATATATTACTAAACAGTGATTTCTTGTTTAGCTTGGCCAATATCCAGTCCCTATTCCTTATTTTTAATTTGCTGTTCTTCGGGAAGCTTCTATTAAAAATGTTGATATTGTTATCTATTTTCTTCTTCCCAAGGAGAATGAAGAGTTCTCCTCAATTATTTCTCTCTCACATGCCCACCTATGCTGCTATTCTTCCAATGTAGACTTTATACATTTTTATTTAAATTGGTTAACTTGTTTAAATTGGTGGTGAGCCAAGAACTGTACTGCGATTCTGTTTTCTTTCTTATGCATGTTTCTTGTCCAGAAATTGATTGTCTCATTTCTAATATGTTTATATTTTATTTTGTTTTCACATCTGGCTTTTGCACTCTAGCTATCACTTAATATACGTCTCCTGTCAGCCTGACTCATTATAAGGGCATTCTTTTTTTTCCCCTTAAAGACATCCTTATCTTTATTTGCTTGTTTCAGTCTGGCTTGTTCTGTTGCGTAATGCTAGGATTGAACCTCAGGCCTTGGTGTGCCATTACCAATGAGTTATATCCTGTCCCCAGTTTTGCAGGGAATGGGATTTTGCTGTGTGGCTCAGGCTGGTCTCAAACTAGCAATCTTCCCATCTCTATCTCTTATAAAGCTGAGATTACAGGAATTCTGCTACCATGCCTAGCTCATTCTCTGTCTTTTGTATTAAAGATTTTTCTTCCTATATAGAGAAGACTCCTCAATGGTAGTATGTATCTAAAAGTAAAGTCTTCTGCTGCTGTTTTGAATACTTAGTTGTGAACAGGGCTTATCTTAATCGTGAATATGTAGATTTGTTCTCTTGCACCTGGAAAAAAAAACTAATTTGTGTCACTCACAAATAATAAGATCAATGTTGAAAATAAATATATATGACAGTTGGAATGGAGACAAAGAACATAAGAGGGATCTATATCTTTTAAAATGTCATAATGAAACCTGTTATTTTGTATGGGAACTAAAAATTAATAATGGAAAAACAGAATCCATGAGTATTCCACTTTAACATATAAACTTTCTTTCAATTCTTATTTTCATTTTTGCATCTCATATTTCAGCCTTTGCTGTATTGAAAACAAATACTAAGTGGTCTCCCAACTCTAGAAAACATTTCTGAGCTTTCTGATGGGATAGGAAAAGGCTAATTACCTAAGGCATGAGTGAGCTAGTAGAGGGGCTCCAGAGAGACTTGAGATTAATTTCCTTACTTTTTTGTTTTTTTGAGACAAATTTTCCAATTTTGGTCCATCATAGCCCAGTCCCACAGAAGTATCTGGTGGCACCTGCAATTGTATGACTTTCTGAGTCTTCTTTTCTTGCAGCTTCCTGGTGCCCACACCTCCAAAGGCCCCATTTTTTCAGGGACTAGGACTTCTCAAGTATGTTAAGTCAGTTACCACACTTTCTTCTTTTAATTTTTTTTATTTTTAAATTATGTGTCGGGTTCAGGGAGTGCTTACATATACGTACAGGTACCCTCAGAGACTTGAGATTAGATCCCCTGGAGCCAGCACTGAGCTGTCCTACATGGATGGTCGGAACAGAATTGGATCCTGTGGAATAGTAGTAAGTGCTCTTAACCACAGAGCCATCTCTCAAACCCCTTTTAAAGTTTTCTGTATTTGTTGCATTCATCTGATTACTATATTCTCTGTTTTGTTTCTGTAAATCCATGTATTTCACTTTCTTGACTGTCATTTTTAAAGATTTGAAGAGATGTATGAGCAAGAGAACATGTTCAGTCTACCATGTTAAATATGGAATCTGTTCATGTGATCTTTATCTAGATATAATTTATAACTTTTTATCTTTGTGTGTGTGTGTGTGTAAGAGATGTGTGTACATGTGTATATTCATGTGGGGAGGAAGCATGTATGTACCATGGCATGCTTGTGGAACATAGGACAACTTCAGTGTTAGTCCTTGCCTTGAAACATTGTTTCTTGATGTATGACCCAAGCCTGGCCAATATTATGCTTTTTGATTACCATTCTTTCTTCCTAACACCAGCCCCAGTGTGTCAGAAGCCCTTTTCAATTTAGTACATCATATGAACATCATTGAGACAGCCAGCAGTTTTGCTTTGACAATGCCTAGGGAAGACAACATAAAGGTCTTGGTTCAGATAAGTGGTTGTAGCAGGCTTTCTTGGACCATCCTGCTTTCCTGTTTCCTCTCTGTCTGTTGCCCCCACCCATTTCTCTACCTGCCAGCCCCACCTATCCCTCCTCTGTCTAGCTGTTGACCATTCAGCTTTTTATTAGACCAATCAGGTGTCTTAGGCAAACAAGGTAAAACAGCAACACATCTTTACATAGTTAAACAAATACTCTCTTCCATAACAAATGGTAGCTTTCGTGAGTGTCAAGTACAAGAGTTCACGTTATATATTACATTAGTTTTATTTTTGGAAGAGTGGTAAAATAAAATTAAAGTAGGAAAAAATAATTCTAGGCTGAGAAGATGGCTCAGTCAAAATGCTTGTTGCAAATATGAGGACCTGAATTTGGATTCCCAGCACCCACATAAAAAGCTGGATGGATATAGGTGTGCGCCAGTAGTCCAGGTGCTAAGAAGGTGGAGACAGAAGGGTCCTCAGAGCTCACTGCCCAGCCATTCTCAATGAATCAAAGACCCTGTCTTAAAAAATAGAAGGCTGGGTGTGCACATATGTATACCACACAAATAAATATAACTAAATAAAAACACACATGTATTATATCAAGATGAATAAAATAATTAGGAAAAAATCAAAACTCAAATAGATAAAAATAATCCATGTCTTCCTGGATTAGAAAATTTTATGCTGTAAAGATGGGAATACTTTCTAAATTGATCTTCAGTTTTGCTGTAAAACATACCAAAATTCCACCTCCTTTTTTGCAGAGACTTATGGAGTTTTTATTGAATTGAAAGGGACATTGCTGAAAAAGTACAATATTGGAAGATGAAAGCTCACCCACTTCAGAACTTAACTACAAAGTAACAAGTAATCAAGATTGACACTGTCAAGCTGAGGCATGATGACTCACACCTTTTATCTCAGCTCTTGAGGTAGAGGCAGGCATATTGCTGTGAGTTCAAGGCTGAGCCAGTCAGGGCCACACAGTAAGACCTGTCTTTAAAAAAAGTGCAAAAAATAAACACATAAATCAATAAAACTGAGACGAAGAGTTCAGGAATAAATCTTTATATTTACACTATTAATTTCCAATGGTAAAGCCAAGACAGTTTAATGAAGAAACAGGAGTCCTCAACAGACAGTCCTGAAATGGTTTGATATCTGCATAAAATAAGGAAACTGCTCCTTTATATATGGCTCAGTGTTTCTTCCTTTCTGCTTTCAGTGTATTTTCTTTGTTCTATACATTTCATAGTTTAATTACGGTATGACAAGGGAGCATTCTTTTCTGGTCTTGTCTGTTATTCTAAATGTCTTTCCTGTATCTGGATTAGCATCTCTTTCACTAAAATCTGCAAGTATTTCTGCTATTATTATGGTGAAAATGTTTCCTATGGCCTCAGTATGCAGTTCTTATCTTTTCTATGTCTGTGACCTTAGATTTGTTTTTCTTCAGACTGTCCCACAATCTGAAGCTAGATATTTATGTAATGTGGCAACTCTGAAAATCAAATTACTCCCACCACAGGGTTTGTTGTGAATTTTTGTTGTTTTTGCTAGTAATGGTGCTTTTAGCTTTTTTTTTTTTTTTTTTTTTTTTTTTTGGCTTTTTGGTGTTGTGGTTTTGTTGTTGTTGTTGTTTTGCTTTGTTTTGTTTGTTGTTGGGGTGGTTAATTGTTTGTTTGGTTGGTTGACTGGTTGGTTGATGTTTTTAAGACAGGGTTTCTCTGTGTAGACCTGGCTGTACAGACCAGGCTGGCCTCAAATTCAGAGATCTACCTGCCTCTACCTCTCGAGTGCTGGGATTAAAAGTGTGTTCCACCATGCCCAGCTGTAATGTTTCTTTATTGACTGATTTTTTTTTCCTGAACTAATTCTTTATATTTTAGAGTGTTTGTATATACAACTGTTTCCAATTAAATTGGTGATCATGTAACAAGTAGATATGTTCTTAGTTGTTCAAAATCAACAAATCTGCTTTGCTAAGGGCTCTCTGTGTGTGCCTTTGCTAAGGGCTGTGGGTGTGTCTTTGCTAAGGGCTGTGTGTGTCTTTGCTAAGGGCTCTGTGTGTGTCTTTGCTAAGGGCTGTGTGTGTCTTTGCTAAGGGCTCTCTCTGTGTGTGCCTTTGCTAAGGGCAGTGGGTGTGTCTTTGCTAAGGGCTGTGGGTGTGTCTTTGCTAAGGGCTGTGTGTGTCTTTGCTAAGGGCTGTGTGTGTGTCTTTGCTAAGGGCTGTGTGTGTGTCTTTGCTAAGGGCTGTGTGTGTCTTTGCTAAGGGCTGTGGATGTATATCCTGGGTCTCCTCTTTAATCCTTCAACATGTTACAGCTCTGTCTCTTTAGAATACTATCTGTACAGAACCTCATGTTAGGTAAGAGGCGAGAGACTTGAGCTTCTTGAGTCTTTTCTGGCAATATGGGCAGCCCAGCACATGTGTGGCCTTCTAGAATCCAAGGAATGTATCAGATCTTTTCACAGGTCCCTATAGATATATCATTCATCAGATTTTCCCTGAAGTTTTTGGCAGATTTCTTTTTGTTCCAACTAATGCGAATGTGTTATGTATCTGGAGTGTTAAATTATATGACTTTTTTTTCTTTTCAACAGATGTCCTGAGGATAGCTAGATAAGCTCTGAGTTAAATTAAATAAAAACAAACCCTGACAATATACTTGTCCAAGAAGCTGCCAAACAGGTCAAATAATAACAGTTCTGTAGAGAATGGGGTTTTGGGGGACTCTAAAACTATTTTGTCCTAATAACTGCTAGGCTCTTGGTTTTTGTGGCTGCTGTAGTTCTAGTTGAATGTTAAGGTAGGTAGAGAAGGTATGAACAGAGAAGAGTGAAATGTAACAAAATTCAGTGTTTTGTGATATTCATCTTTTTTTCCTTACTAAACTTTTTGTTTTCTTTTGTTTGCTGTGATAAAATTCTGACCAAAACTGACTTGGAAGAAGAGAGGATTTATTTTCTTTACAGGTTACAGTCCATCATTGGGAAGCCAAGGCAGGAACTAGAGGCAGGAATCTGGAGGCAGGAACTTAAAGCAGAAGCCATGGAAAAGTGATGCTTACTGGCTTACTTTGCATTGCTTGCTCAGTTTGCTTTCTTAAGACCACCAGTCCAGAGGGGCCACAACCCACAATTAGATAAGCCCCTCCCACATCAAACATTAAGTTTTTTTTTAAAAATGCACCACAGACATATGCACAGACCAATCTGATGGAAGCAATTCTTCAATTAAGGTTTTTTTTTTTTTCTTCCTAGCTGACTCTGACTCTTGTCGAGTTGTCCAAACTAGCCAGTACTTTCTCCTCAAATTATGTAATACTGAATTATTTAATCAGTCTTAGCCACCTCATTATTTTCATGGGCACAGATTTATTAGAGGATTTGTAGTTTTTGCTTTGTTTTGTTTTGGGGTTTTGTTTGTGTGATATTGGGAATTAGACTCTGGTTATCGGGTATACCTATACCTTCTACCACTGAGTTCAGCCCTAGGAATTTTTGGATTTTATGCTCCCATTCCTAAAGTGTTTTTCTCAACAATTAAAGTGCTCCTAATATGCAAAAAAAGCATGTTCTTACTATCAAATGCTTGACTGGGACCCTCACTTAGAGAGTGATTTCCATGGGTTCAGTCTAATAGTTCTGCTGGATGCTAGTCTTCCCTGGGCTGTAGGTTTTAGGTGTGGATCTAGAGTTGATGTAAAGCTATCTTGAGTTTGCCAAATTTGACTCTGGTCCCATATGATCTGGAAGAATGTCCTGAATTCATTTTCAAGTAACCTGTAAGATGCAAGCAATTCAGAGAAGGACCGGTATCTAGTCCACTAGTACGGCATATTCTCTTAGTAGTCGGGGACAGCAGTAGTAACATTGTCTCACATTGCTTTTCTTCTGTGGTCAGGAATTTCTGCTGAAGATTTTCTGTGTGTTCAGAAACTTAATGAAGATGAGTGTCTTCCCTCGAGACTGGATGGTGATGAGACTGTTGACAAGCAAGTAAGGAAAGTCCCTGTACTAGAATCAACAGAGCTCTAGGTCAAGCTGGGGGTAATATGTATATATGAGTGAGATGAAGATTAAGACCAGGACTGGGAAGAGAAAGGAGTTGACAAACATTACATTTGTTTGGAGATACAATCCACAGGGTTTGCCCACTGGCCATAAAGACAATGAAAGAAAAGAATCAAAGGTAATTCAAAACACAGAATCTACAGAAGTGAGGATAGAAAAAGTACATTAAAGATGAGAAATACAATACTAAGAAAGAACCATTGCTCCATTGCTCTTTATCTTTAGGCAGTGCTCTAAGCTCCCATCCTGATTTGAGTTGTATTGTTAGCCAGGCAGTACTTACCTCCTAGTGCTAACTATCCACCTAAGCCCCAGCTCTCTGATCTTCTGACTATAAAGATAGAATACTAAGACTGTCTTAATATGTCTTTCCCACTCATATTCGTAACCTGTGCTTCCTCGTAGCCAACTAGACAAGTGATGTACACGTAGTAAGAGGTTTGTTAATTTGGTGTCTGTCTACTATCTATTACTTACTTGGTCTGCACTATTTAGCCTACTGTCTCACTGGTTTACCTTTGTTGTCAGCACTGTGTAGAATGCAGTCAAATTATTTGTTAGGTATATGAGCAAGGCAATGTAAACTTTTTTCATGTTGAGCTCTTTATAGGGCCCTTTTTCCCTAAAACCTAAAAATGCTTTGTCCAAAACAAAAGAATGATAGGAGATTGCACAAATATTTCCTCAAATAGTGGCTTTCTATCTAGATCCTTCTTATTTCTGTCCCCTAGTTATACTTAGAAAACTTTAGATTTTGTAGCCTGTCCTGCAGGAGTAGCCTCTTTATCTTTTACCCTTACTCTTGCCCCCTGCTCTGCTAGAGGACTAGTCTCCTTTATATGCTATTTTTGCTTTGTTCCTCTTTTGTATAAAGACCCATATAGGCACTTTTCATTGAAAATAGATTATTTTTCACATAATATATCAAGCTTATTGCTTTCCATCACTCTACTCTTCTGAGGTCCTCCCTACTTCCCCTCCCATTCAGATCCACTCCCTTTCTGTCTCTCATTAGAAAAGAACAGGCTTCAAGGAGATGATAATAAAATATAATAAGATAAAACTATACTACTACATTAGAGCTGGACAAATATGATAAACAGAAGGAAAACCAACAGGAAGAAAAGAGCCCAAGAGATGGCACAGGAGTCAGAGACCCTCTCATTCACATACTCAGGAGTCCCATAAAAAGCACTAAACTAGAAGCCATAATATACAGGCACAGGACCTGGTGCAGACCTATGTAGCCCTGTGCACGCTGCCTCAGTCTCTGTGAGTTCATATATGGGCTTTGGTCGTGTTGATTTAGAGGGCCTTGTTTTCCTGGTGTCCTCTATGCCCTCTGGCTCTTACACTCTTAAGCATAGTTCTTTAAGTCAAGGCCTCTGCAATAAAACCCTTAACTTCCCTTTCCTTAACATCACATTTCCCTTCCTTTACACTTCAACTCATGATCTTAATTCTCACAGGCTAGCTTCCTATTACTACCCTTATATGTTCCAAGTTAAGATTAAGAGTGATATTATAGTTCAAAGGCTGAAACCAGATGAAAATAGTACATGACAAAAGGAAATACTTAATCACTATAAATTCCTATTATCTGGGTAAAATGTAAAATTATGATCTAAGTCCTACAAAGTGATCATAATTTGTTGTCATCCAGAGATTCCCAGAATACTAAAATTACCTTTTGAGCTAGAAGAAATTTTAAAGAACAACAAGACTTAGAAGAATTATCAATGACCCAGTGACATCATTTGCTATCTCATCTTCTAAGAGGCATTTCTCTGAAACTGGTTTTCTGTGGCGTTTGTTCCATTTTCTCTTTTCTTGAAAGCCACATCTTACATAAAAGCAAGTTGTCTTTAAGAAGTTTGCCTACAGGCAGACAACTGATGCAGACAGCTGATGCTAGGCTATGCCACTGTTAATCTTTTAATTCTACCAATGCCTTGTTTCCTCACTGCAGTATTATAGTCACTACTGTCCAGTACCTGTCCTCTGCACTGCACAAGAATTTCACAGAGACAGACTTTGACTTCAAGGTAGGAGCTCCCAAAACTCATCACAAAAACCCTAGAAAGCTAAAGCCCATACTCCCCCCTTTTTGCTTTATTAATATATTCATAGTACTTAGATTTCTAGGCTGATGGTTATTGTAATATGACCTAAGAGCCTTCCTGGTAGAATTATTTGGAGCTAGGCATCTATAAAGATGCCTGTTGTTGGCTTCAGAAAGAATCAAGAAAGCAAAAATGGGGAAAGGCCTATTTTTAAAGATAGTTAAAAGGGAAAACATTTCTTAAGCAAAGAATTTAAGATTGTAAAATGGACTTATGTGCTACATGCATGTATTTAGTTACTTACCCTGCAAGGTTAAGGACTTAGGCAGTCACGTGATTCTTTTTCTGTCTCTCTAGGTGTGGAATTCTTATTTTAGCCTGGCAGTTCTGTTCATAAACCAGCCAAGCCTTCAGCTAGAAATCATTACTTCAGCCAAGAGGAAGAAGATTCTAGATAAGTAAGACAGATGTCTTCTGTTCATCTCTACTACTTGCCCAGATGGAGCTATTTTTTCTATGATAGACTCAGAAGTCCAGAAGTTTCTCACATTGGTGGTTTCCCAAGAAGCCAAATATGAAAGTTCAGTCAATAACCAAATGGCTTAGCATTTCAAGAGCATTAGAGATAATAGTGTTGGTGTTCTGACCTCATTTGATCTTCAGGTCTGTCTTCTTCCACTAACAGTTGGCTTCTGTGTTATTGTTTTCAGGTATGGGGACATGCGCGTGATGATGGCATATGAACTGTTTAGCATGTGGCAGAATCTGGGTAGGTCTTTTGTACTAATTTTTCCTTTCATATACTGCATAGGTAAATAAAAAGTACAAGAAGTAATAATTCTCCAAAGCTTTCTGAATATCAGTTCAGAACTCAAAGACCCTTAACAGCTTTAACATAGCACCTCAGATGAATAATGTAGTGTAGCATATGTATATAAAGCCCTCCTTGGCAGGGAGAGTTTGGCTAAGAGATCCTAGTATGACATGTGTACTCCATTTTGAGAAGAGAAGTTAAAAGAGTAAAAAGAAGATTCAGTAGTTTTTTTTTTTTTTTCCCCAGTTTAGGAATCCATGCTGTAAGAGCCTCTATACTACTCATGCCCCTGCCTATGTGCTAACAGTCTTAGAATTGTAGATAATAGAGACAGCACGAAAATAAGGACAGGTACTGATTTTAATAAAGATCAACATAAATTTTGGATCATATTTCTTTCTGTATCCAGATCATGTATCTGATACCATTTACATGAAAGATGAAAGTTAGAGCCTTTGAATGAGATTGACTTGGGCTTTTTTCTTTGAACACCTCTAATACACACTACTTTGAATCTAAAATGGTCACACCAGTGTTTTTGGTAGAGCCTTTTAGATGCCTGGATGACTAGCTGGGCCACCCGGAATTCTGGAGGGATATGAGTCTTCTGTCAAGAATATTTTTTAAAGATTAGTTATATTTCCAATGAAATGTGATTTAAGCTAAATTGTGCCTCTTAAACCATAGAAATGATGGCATAGAGTCTTAAAGTCACCTATGAACCTTCCTCATCCTGATCTAGAGTTGAAAAGTAAGGTGACCTCCAATAGGGTCCACTGGATAGATGGTTCAGCAGTTAAAAGCACTGGCTACTCTTCTAAAGTACCTGAGTTCAATTCCCAGTTCTCACATAGTAACACACAACCAATTGTAACTTCATTTCCAGGGGATCTGATGCCCTCTTCTAGCTCCTGCAGGCACTAAGCATATGCTTGATAGACTTAACATATATGCAGGTAAAGTACCTATGCATATAAAATAATATAAAAATTTTAGGACAGCAATAGGGTTCTTCATCCCTTAGTAGATACGTGTTTCCAAACAAGCCTTCTAGCTGTATCACTCTTAACACCTGCCCACAACAGAATTTGGATATATATTTCAACATTGAACTTGAATTTGAAATTCCTAGGAACACAAGAGACTGACAACTATACCAGGTACCAAGATGAGAGTATGCATAGTGAGCCTCAGAGCTTACATTTGCTTCTTAGATAGGCTTCCAAAATGAAAGAAACAAAAAAGGTATTAGCCTGCGTTTAATCCCTAATACTGCTGATTATTTTTTAGATAATAGATTTGCTTAAAAAGCCATTCATTGCTTTTGAAGGAAGTAACATTCTCTCTGTGGTCCCCCAAAATTAGCTTTACTTGACTGTAGCAGTTATTGCATAAGCAAACAGTCCCCTCTGTAGTCTCTGGAGACCCAAAACAGATCTGAAGTTGTTATGTTCTGTTACACCATTGCAAAGATAAGTCCTCAGGACTGGCCCTAGGCTCTTGGACTACTCCCTAAAGAATAGACCAACCAGAGGGAAAGCTATATCACTCACCTCAATTCCCATAGGAAAGCCCATTAAGGAAGTTGGGAAGTAAGCAGACTGATCAGAGCAGATATATTCCTACCATAAGAATACAGTGTGAAGAACAGGGGTGGGTGGGTGCAAAGAATCTAGGTCTTCAAGCTAGCCTAATAAGGTGAAGCTATTCAGTAAGCTCTTAGCAACTCAGGTAGAGATTTTTTTAGCATACATACGTGTGGTCCTTTAAGGGGCCCATGGTCTTCAGGCATTTCGTAACTTAAGCCTTGGACTGGACTCCCTAGTCATTGAAATGCCTTCTAGAAATAAAATTGTCAGGAAACACACAGATTCTCTTTACTAAACAGAAGTTGTAGATAAATGTCTGAAACTTATCACATTACTCATCTGTAGAAAGCAAGCTGTTTCCTTGCTCTGAAGGTTTTCAGGTAGTTAATAAAACAAAGAATATTAAGAGCAGCGAAGGAAAAAGGACAGGTAACATATAAAGGCAGACCTATCAAAATTACACCTGACTTCTCCATGGAAACCCTCAAGGCCAGAAGGTCCTGGATAGATGTTCTACAAGTACTAAGAGTCCATGGATGCCAGCCCAGGCTACTATACCCAGCAAAACTCTCAATCACTATAGACGGAGAAAACAAGATATTTAATGACAAAGCCAGATTTTCATAATACGTATCTACAAATCCAGCCCAACAGAAAGTATTGGAAGGAAAACTCCAACCCAAGGAAGTTAACAATGCTCACAAAGACGCAGGCAACAGATAATCTAACTACACCAGAAACCAAGTGTAAAGCAGGACAAATATATTCATAATACCACTTCCAACAACAAATCTAAAACAAACAAGCATTAACAATCAATGGTCCTTTACTCACCCTCAACATTAATAATGGTCTTAACTCACCTATAAAAAGACACAGGCTAACAGAATAGATACAAAGACAGAATCCATCCTTCTGCTGCATACAAGAAATACATCTAAGCTTCAAAGACAGACATTACCTTAGGGTAAAGGGTTGGGAAAAGATCTTCCAATCAAATGGACCCAAGAAGCAAGCAGATGTGGCTATCCTAATGTCTAACAAGTTAGACTTCAAACCAAAATAAATCAAAAGAGATGAAGACAGTCATTTCATATTCATCACAGGAGAAATCCATCAACACAGTCTCAATTCCGAACATCTATGCCCCAAATACAAAGACACCCACATTCATAAAAGAAACGCTGCTAAAACTCAAAGCTCACATAAAACTTCACACACTTATAGTGGAGACTTCAACATACCACTCTCACCACTAGACAGGACCACCAATCAGAAACCAACAAAGAAAAAAAAGAACTAACAGATCTTAAGTCTCAACTGGGTTTAACAGACATCTATAGAACATTCCATCCAAACACAAAAGAACATATCTTCTTCTCTGCTCCACATGGAACCTTCTCTAAAATCGACCACATACTAGGTGGCATATTGGAATACTCCCCTCTATCTTATCAGACCACCATGTTTTAAAATTGGAATTCAACAACAACACAAATAGCAGAAAACCTGCAAACTCATGGAAACTGAACAATGTGCAATTGCACCACACCTGGGTCAAAGAAGAAATAAAGAAATTAAGGACTTTCTAAAATTCAATGAGAATGAGGACACAACATAGCTGAACTTATGGGACACCTTGAAAGCAGTGTTACGAGGGAAGTTCATTGCACTAAGTGCCCATATGAAGAAAACAGAGGATAGTCACATTAGAGAATTCACAGCACAACTGAAAGCCTTAGAACAAAAAGAAGCAAACTCACCCCAGAGGAGTAGATGCCAGGAAATAATCAACTTGAGGGCTGAAATCAACAAAATAGAAACCAGGAAAACAATACAAAAAATCAATGCAACAAAGAGTTGGTTTTTTTGAGAAAAATAAACAAGATAGACAAACCTTTATCCAAATTAACGAAAAAGCAGAGAAAGAACATGCAAATTAACAAAATCAGAAATGAAAAGGGGAACATAACAAGAGACACAGAGGAAATCCAGACAATTTTCAGGTCATACTTCGAAAAAAATCTGTACTCCACAAAATTTGAAAATTCAAAGGAAATGGACAAATTTCTGGATAACTATCACTTACCAAATATTAAATCAAGAACAGACAAACAACTTAAATAGATCTATAACCCGCAATGAAATAGAAGCAGTCATCGAAAGCCTTCCAACCAAAGAAAGTCCAGGGCCAGATGGATTCAGTGCAGAAGTCTACCAGACATTCAAGGAAGAACTAATACCACTACTCCTCAAACTGTTCCACAAAATAGAAACAGAAGGTTCATTGCCAAACTCTTTTTATGAGGCCACAATAACCTTGGTACCCAAGCCTAGCAAAGACACAACTAAGAAAGAAAACTACAGACCAATATCCCTGATGAACATCGATGCAAAAATACTCAATAAAATATTGGCAAACCAAATTCAAGAATACATCAGAGAGATCATCCACCATGACCAAGTAGGCTTCATCCCTGGATTGCAGGGATGATTTAACATATGAAAATCTATCAACGTGATCCACCATATAAACAAACTGAAAAAGAAAAACCATATGATCATTTCCCTAGATGCTGAAAAAGCCTTCGACAAAATTCAACAGCCTTTCATGATAAAGGTCTTGGAGAGATCAGGGATAACAGAAACATACCTAAACATAATAAGAGCAATATACAGCAAACCAACTGCCAACATCAAACTGAATGGAGAGAAACTTAAGCCAATTCCTCTAAAATCCGGAACAAGACAAGGCTGCCCTCTCTCTCCATATCTCTTCAATATCGTACTGGAAGTTCTAGCTAATGCTATAAGACAACAAAAGGAGATCAAGGGGATCCAAATTGGAAAGGAAGAAGTCAAACTGTCTCTATTTGCAGATGATATGATAGTTTACATAAGCGACCCAATAAAGTCTACCAGGGAACTCCTACAGCTGATAAACACCTTCAGCAAACTAGCAGGATACAAGATAAACTCAAAAAAATCAGTAGCCCTACTTTTTTCAGATGACAAAGAGACAAAGAAAGAAATCAGAGAAACATCACCCTTTACAATAGCCACAAGCAACATAAAGTATCTTGGTGTAATGCTTACCAAACAAGTAAAAGACCTATATAATAAGAACTTTGTGGCTCTAAAGAAAGAAATTAAAGAAGATACCAGAAAATGGAAAGATCTCCCATGCTTTTGGATAGGTAGGATAAACATAGTAAAAATGGCAACCTTACCAAAAGCAATCTACAGATTCAATGCAATCCCCCATTAAAATCCCAGCACAATTCTTCACTGACCGTGAAAGGATAACAATCAACTTTATATGGAAAAACAAAAGATCCAGGATAGCCAAAACAACCCTGTACAATAAAAGAACTTCAGGAGGCATCACCATCCCTGACTTTAAGCTCTACTACAGGGCTATAGTTCTGGAAACAGCCTGGTATTGGCACAAAAATAGACAGGTAGACCAATGGAATCGAAAATCCTGATATAAACCCACACACCTATGAACACCTGGTTTTCGACAAAACAGCTAAAAGAATACAATGGGGGGAGGAAAGCATCTTCAACAAATGGTGCTGGCACACTTGGATGATGGTGAGTAGAAGACTGCAGATAGACCCATGTCTTTCGCCATGCACAAAACTCAAGTCCAAATGGATCAAAGACCTCAACATAAATCCAGCCACACTGAACCTCTTAGAAGAGAAAGTGGGAGGTACCCTTGAACAAATTGGTATAGGAGACCGCTTCCTGAACATGACTCCAGGAGCACAGACACTGAGAGCAACAATTAATAAATGGGACCTCAAAACTTAGAAGCTTCTGTAAGGCAAAGGACACAGTTGACAAGACCAAACGGCAGCCCACAGACTGGGAAAAGATTTTCACCAATCCTACATCTGACAAAGGACTGATCTCCAAAATACACAAAGAACTCAAGAAACTAGTCAACAAAACACCAAATAACCCTATTAAAAATGGGGTACAGAACTGAACATAGAATTCTCAATAGAGGAAATAAAAAAGGCTGAAAGACACTTAAAGTGTTCAACATCCTTAGCTGTCAGGGAAATGCAAATCAAAACAACTTTGAGATACCATCTTACTCCCGCCAGAATGGCTAAAATTAGAAACAGTAATGACAACTCATGCTGGAGAGGAGAAAGGGGAACAATAGTGAGATCAACTACTAACTCATCCACCATCATGGAGCCCTCATCTAGTACCTGTTGGAAACAGGAGCAAACACCCACAACTAAACAATGAGCCAAACTAGAATCCAGATGCAGAGGGAGAGGACAAGACCAGGTAGCAGAAACACATAGAGACAGCTGACCCGAACAAGGAGGAGCTAACGGGCCACCAGACTGATAGCTGGGAAGCCATCATAGGACTGACTCAGATCCCCTGAATATGGGTCTCAGCCAGAAGGAATGAGCAGTCTATGGGACCTCAGACAGTGGAACCAGGATGTACTCCTGGTGCACAAAAGGACCTTGTGGGCACATCCCCCATGGAGGGATAACTGCCTTAACCTAGAGACAGGAGAGAAGTCCTAGTCCCTACTTCAAATGACCTGACAGATTTACATGACCCCACCTGGATGGCATTGCCCTACATGTGGAATTGGAGTGGGGGGATGGGAGGGGAGGATGGTCAGGGTGCATGTGAGGGGGCAGAAAGGGAAAGAGGGAGGGAAAAAGGGAGGGAGAGGGATCTGGAATTGACATGTAAAATAAAAAATAATAATAATAAAATAAAAAAAACTTCACAGGTTGGGTTTTTGTTGTTGTTGTTTTGGTTTGGTTCGGTTTTTTAAAATTTTTGAGACAGGGTTTCTTTGTATTGCTTTGGAGCCTGTCCTGGAACTCTATAGACCAGGCTGGCCTCAAACTTCAGAGATCCGCCTGCCTCTGCCTCCCAAGTGCTGGGACTAAAGGTGTGTGCCACCAACACCCGGCTCACAGGAAATTTTTTGAAAAGCGATTTTGTAATCTTTGAACATATGTTTCATACTGACTAGGCCAGTCAATTTAAAACTCTAAAAAGATGAGGGAGTCAGCACTTAAGAGTACTGACGGCTCTTCCAGAGGACCCAGGATTGACTCCAACCAATATGGTGGTTCACATCCATCTGTAACTCTATTTCCAGGGGATCAGATGCTGTTTTCTGGCACCTGGTACCAGGTGGTACCATCTGGTACCAGGCACCCACATGGTGCACATCCATCCATTCAAGCAAAACACTCATACATAGAATAAGATGATAAATGTTTTAAAGGATTTTAAAAATGATAAAAATTTTAAAAGCATAGGGGTTATCTGAAAACCATAGAATAAATCATCTTTTACCCTTGGAAGCTTCTACTGTAAATAAACAATTGTTTTGGCTTTTTTGGAGCTGAGAAATTCAGATCTATCTCAGTATCTCATACATGCTAGGCAAACACTATACCACCACTGAGCCTAGATTTCCAGCCTCGCTATAAATTATAATATGCTTGGCCCCATTTGTGACTCTTCCAGGTAAGAAGCAAAGCAGGAATGAACTAATACTTGTTGGGTTTTATTGTTCAGGTGAACATAAGATCCACTTTATTCCGGGAATGATCGGTCCTTTTCTGGGTGTGACACTGGTCCCACAGCCAGAAGTGCGGAATATCATGATTCCTATCTTTCATGACATGATGGACTGGGAACAGAGGAAAAATGGCAACTTCAAGCAGGTAAAATGTTAACTTCAGTGTTTGATGCACTCTCCGCTGAAATGAACCTGTTTGTATCAGGCAGGTAGTCTAGATGGGGTGGTCATGGGTCTAGTAAGGAAGTTAATCATCTTAAATCCTGCTTTAGAGTTTGTGTATCACATGCTAGCCAAAATTAATATGCAAGTTTTCTCCATCAAGTTAGAGACCAGATCCTCGAATTCAGGAAACTGGGGCAGGAGAATTGCCATGAGTCTGAGGCCAGCCTGAGCTACATAGCAAGTACTAAAGCCTGGGCTACATAGCAATATCTTGTTTCAAGGACAAATCAGCAAAGAAAAGAATTAGAGGAAAGTGATAAACATGTTAAGAACTTTCTGATGAAGAAAAAGCAATAGAGACTGAACTATCCTAGTTGTGGTAAGAAGAGGATTTCTGGGAGCATGCTGTCCTTCCTCTGCCATGTGGCCCAGAAAATTCTAAGGCTAGAGCCAAACAAGGTGACTTTTCATAGCTTTCCTAAGTTTCTAGCCAGCATCAAAACAGATAAGGATCTCCTTTTGATAACTTGCTGGTGAGATGTTCCACCATGAGAGTGGTCTGGTTGAAGTGTTAAATGTTCAACTACCAGCACCAGCACCATTCTTGTATGAGTGTGCACGAAGGTGCTGTTTTAATACCTTTAATACCTTACCAAATAAGTATTACTTTTTAAATTTTAGCATAAACTGTAATGGGTTTCTTTTATTTGTTTGTTTGTTTGGTTGGTTTTTTTGTTTTCTCTTTTTCTTTCCTCGTTGTTTTTTTTTGTTTGTTTGTTTGTTTATTTTGACATCTGTGGCCCTGTTTATTCTCATGGAAACACTGTCAAGAAGCCTCTGGGGACCCAGCAGATTATCCCTGGTCTGCTGTCCTAGCATTCCTGTCAGGATATACTAGAAGTTGAATAGCTGCCCCTTATCTTCACCCTTGAGGCCATGTCCACAGAGCCCAAAGTTCTGCTCTCAGGAAGAGGCACCTCTTGGACCCCACCACCCCCCCAGTCCAAATTCTGGTCAGTCAAAGGATCATGCCCCAGTATCTTTAGCTGATTGGATTGTTTGTTGGTTGGTTTGTTTTAGACAGGGTTTCTCTGTAGATATGGAGCCTGTCCTAGAACTCTGTAGACAAAGCTGGCCTCAAAATCACAGAGTTCTGCCTGCTTCCACCTCCCAAGTTCTGGGATCAAAGGCGTATGCCACCACTGTCCAGCATAAACTCTGTTTTTATTATTTTTGTTTTCAGGACAGAATTAGCACACACACACACACACACACACACACACACACACACACACACACACACACACACACACGGCATGGGGGTAACCCCCGTGAGAGAGAGATGGATAAGGGAGTTATAGGGAACTGAGTAAACCTTTGACAGCCTGATATAGAGCAATTCCTGACCCTATTAACCCTATTAGGATGGGCTGTTGGTTAGAGGATACATTATATCCATATGTAAGAGTTACCAGATATAGATAAGAAGAGATGAAGGAGAAAGCAAGTTTAGTTATGGAAGACTTTTGGATCATTTGTTTGTGTGGTGGCAGAAGTTATCAACATTGAAAATAGAGAATGCCATTTTGGCCATCCGAACTGTGCTGAGGCCAGAGTGAGGCTTCAATAAAATTGGAGACTGTGGAGGAAGGGAGAAGGTTAGAAAAATGAACTCCAATGGAGGGAGTTTCTATAAGCTCCAAGTAGGAGCTGAAAGACAGAAGGAACAAGGTCATAGAGACCCAGAAGGGCTTAAGGAAGCTGCCAGGCTTAACAAACAACTCCTAGGGGAGAGGAAGCCAGAAAACAGGGAGGGTTCCAATAGAGGGAGAGGAGCAAGTGTCTTAATAACTAAAGAGTTGCTCACTTGGTGGGGCCCCAGAGATTATAGCAGGCTCCAGGAGCCAGAGAGAGGACATTTACTAAGTAGGTGAGGAGACATGGATGGCTAGAGCAGGTGTGGGGAAGAGCCAACTAAAGGAGTTGGAACCAAATAGGATGGGTAGCTGAAACTAGCAGAAACATGATCTGTACACATCTTAAAGAGCCAAATTAGCAAACTGAGTCATTTTGAAATATTAAGACTTTTCATGGGTACTACAGGTAAAGGGAAACTACTACTGAGTTTATAAGTTAGAGATCCTGAACCAAGCAATAGGTTCCCTTGTTTTTGTTTGTTTGTTTGTTTGTTTGTTTAACTGCAAGTATGTGGGTATTAAAGGAAGAAATGGGGAGCAGAAATTTCTTTCTTAAGAGGTCAGAGATAAGAGGCTTAAGTCCCCTGAGGCTTTGGAAAGAAAGTGGGTGTTGATCCTGGGTTATATATTTGATGAGATTTTTGTAGTTGAATGCTGATATTTGGCTATAGAGGGGTTTTGGATGTCCAATACTCAGGGATCTACCTGAGAGGCTGGTAAGGGAAAGGGTGTTTCAGATTGTGTGGTTTGGAGGAAAAGGAGGAGGGAAATGGCTGGAGGGAGCAAAAGAAATAGAGGCTCCCACTTTGTCCAGGAGGTCCCTTCCCAGTGGAATGGGCCAGGTTGGTACCACTAGGAAGGAATGCTAAAAAGGATACCTTAAAGAAACAGCTAAGTGGTAGGGTGTGGTGAAAAAGAAAGAGGGTGGGTCTGCAGAACTGCATCAGGACTGAAAAAGTGGCTTTGGTCCAGAGGGAAGGAGATAGATCACCTTGAAGCTATAATAGCTACCTGAGGCTCCCTGTTGGAGATGGTAGTGGTGACACCAAGAGTTTGGTTGAAGGGTAAACTGGGCTTGATGTTCCTCTACACTCCACTATACCTTTAGAGTCTTTCCATTATAGTGTATTTAGTCAAGTTCTTAAGAACCAGTTGCAGAGAGGGAGGAGTGATGAGCAAAGGGGTCAAGAACAGGCTGGAGAAACCCACAGAAACAGCTGGCCTGAACAAGGGGGAACTCATGGACCCCAGACTGAGAGCTGAGAAACCAGCATAAGACGGACCCAGACCTCCTGAGTATGGGTCTCAGTTAGGAGGCCTGGGCACCAGGATGTGTATCCCTGGTGCATGAACAGACTTTGGGGCCCATTCCCCATGGGGGGTTACTCCCTTAGCCTAGAGACATGGGGGAGGGCATAGGCCCTACCCCAAATGATGAGACTTTGATGATCCCTTAAGGAAGGCCACCCTCCCTGGGGAGTAGATGGAGGGTGGGATGGGAAGGGTCAGTGGGGGCCATGGGAGGAGGGTGGTAGGGAGAGGGAATTGGGATCAATATGTAAAATAAGAAAAAATATTAAATAATTAAAAAAGAGCTAGGTTCATTTCAACATTTGGATGTTAAAATTGTCAAAACCATCCATTTTTACTTTCCATTGTGAGAGTATATGTGAATGTATATCATGTGGGTGCCTATGCATTTGACTGCCTGGAGCTCACTAAGTAGTGTAAGCTGGCCAGTGAACATGTCCCAGTGACTACAGTGTTTTCCACCACACTCAGCTTTTTTTTTTATGTAGTTCTGGTGATGGATTTCAGAACACCATGCTTGCACAGCAAGCACTTCATCACTTTACTCCTCCTCTGTTATTTTTTTTAGGTAGCTTTCTCAACCTATAATCACTGTGCCAAAGAGTGTCTCGCTTTGCTTTCTGTTGCTACACTAAAGATACATTGGTCAAAAGCACCTTGGAAAGAGTGGTTTTGTTTTACACATTCTAATCATAGTCCATCACTGGAGGAAGCCAAGGTAGGGACCAGGAGGCAGGAACTGAATCAGAGATTATGGAGGGATGCTGCTTAACGGCTTTCTCCCCAGGACTTGCTCAGTTTGCTTTCTTACACAACTTAAGACATGCCTACTCAGGGATGACACTGCCTATAGTGAGCTTTCCCACATCAATCTTAATCAAGAAAAATGCCCCAAAGATTTGCCTACAGGCCAATCTGATGGAGTCATTTTTCTTAGTTAAGGTTCCCCTTCCCAAATAACCCTAGCTCATTTCAAGTGACAGAAATCTAACCAGGACAAACAGTAAAAAACAATTCTTAAGTTTTTATAGCACTATTTCTTGAAACTTGGCTGTGTGTTGAGATCTCAAATCTCAGACTACTGTTTCTCTGTGAGCTATATCTGAGCACTTACTATGCTGAACTTAGGTCACTGTTGCCTCTGTCTCCCTTACTAAATTATGAGTCCCCAGGAACAAGAATGGTTGTGCATTTTATTTCTCATAGCTCACTGTAATGCCCACACAGTACATGGTGGGTTATGAGAATAACAATCAAAACTTATATTGAACATTTCTCAAAAGCCAGGGCATCGTGACACCATAAAGGAATAGTACCATGACAACTGTTTCACAATAAGGAGATTTGAATTTATAAAGGTATATATCCAGAACTCTATAGCTGGTTATGTCATGGGATAAATGTCGAATGGATAGAAAGCTGTGGCTACCAGTTCTACAGAGATAATAATGTCACTACAGCCTTCCATCATGTATTGCCTAACAGTTGAATATGCTTCTTATAACAGTTTGTGGACTTTAACCCCGACCCTCATTTTCTAGTCCATCAGATTTAGAGAGACCTAAATTGAATTTTTAAGAAGATCTGTGGTAAAACAAAGACTACTGACCCAGGTACCCATTCTACAAACATTTTGGACCCCAGTGGACTATTGAAGCGTATTTGCATTGTTTGTACTCTCTGCTATTACAGGCCCCTTCTCTACCTTTGCTCCATTCTAGCCCACACTAGCTACCTTTGTATATGAACAGAGATTCATTATTAGTATCAGGCCATTTTCTTAGAGAGTTTGTAGCCACCTCATTGTATTAGGGTTAAACATTGTATTAGGGTTACAACTAAATATAGTCTGACTATATTTAGTTATCATTCAATACTATAGTCTTCCAATCAAGAAAAGAAGTTTGTTGCATGATTTGTCTTTGTTCTACTGAGGTTGATATTAGTTGAGTTTGAATGAGCTATATTTCCTTCAGAAACTTTCAGGATGACAGGCTTCGTTTTTGTACCCATAAAACCTAAAGCTGCTGCTTTATCTGTGATGACTGGGCCCTACACTGGGTTACTGGATTCCTCAACTGGGAGGAACAATACTACATTGTTCCTATCCTACAGATCTGTAGATATAGTCTCTGTACATAAATTCCTTTGAATTGATTTTTATTTGTTAGCTTGGTTTTTCAAGATATCGTTTCTCTGTGTGGTTCTGGCTATCCTGGAACTTGCTCTGTAGAGCAGATTGGACTGGAACTCTCACAGAGCTCTGCCCATCTCTGCCTCCCAAGTTCTGGTACTAAAGGTGTGCTTTTTAAACAAGGAAATATTTGAAGCCAATAGAATGGCTCAGAGAGTCTAAAGGTACCCTTCAACAACCCTGATGACTTGCGTTTAATCTGTAGGACCCACACAGTACAAGGGAGAACTGGCTCCTTGCAGATTATTCTCTGACCTCCACATGTAAACCCCAAGCACACACAAAATACTAAATATAAAAAAATTTAAAGAATGAAGCAGCTGGGTGATGTGATACACACCTTTAATCCCAGAATTCAGGAAGCAGAGGCAGGTGGATCTCTGAGTTCGAGATCAACCTGGTCTACAGAGTAGATCTAGGAAAGACAAGGTCTCACAGAGAAACCCTGTCAGAAAGAAAGAAAAGGAAGGAAGGAAGGAAGGAAGGAAGGAAGGAAGGAAGGAAGGAAGGAGAGGGAGGGAGGGAGGGGGGAAAGAGGGAGAGGGGAAAGGGAAAGATTGATTTGAGAGCATTGCAGAAGAGGTGTTGGAAAGATCATAAGAGGCAATGGTCAGAGAAGACTGGGGTGTCACTGTCTTCTCGGCATGGCAGGATTGATATACTCATGAACTCACAGCATTAATGGTTGTCTGCACAAGGCCTATACAAGATCAAGCCTGTCAATTTTCCAGCGTGGAATGGGGAGGGGCTTATGAGTCTCTCACTCCCTAGCTGAGGAACTATTGATGGTTGATGGCTGCTAGGAGAGGGAGAGTCTGTTTACTTTAAGACAGACTCAGACCCCCTGAACATCGGACTCAGTGGGAAGGCCTGAGTAGTTTAGGGGACATCTGACAGTGGAATAGGGAAGTGTCCCTGGTGCATAGAAGGACTTTGGGAGTACATTCCCCATGGAGAGGTACTCCCTTGGCCTGGAGGCAGGAGGGAGGGCCTAGTCCCTGCTCCAAGTAACTTGACAGATTTTGTTGATCCCTCCTGGAAGGCATCACCCTCCTTGTGGAGTGGGGAGGGTGGTGGTGGGAGGGAGAAATACAGGAAGAGAGGGAACTGGGATCAATATGTAAAATAAGAAATACAAATTTAAATAAATTAATTAATAAATAAAAAAACTGTAGCCTGGGACCCTGGTAGGGTTAGAGGCACATGCCCCTTTAATTCCAGTACTCAGAAATGGGGCAAGCAGATCTCTGTGAGTTGGAGGCCAGCCTGATCTACAAGTAAGCTTTAGGACAGCCAAGGCTACATAGAGAAACCCTGTCTCAAAAAACAAACAAAAAAAGTGTAACTTGGTAGGTCACGTGTGCTCCAAAGGATGACCCCACATGCATGCATATATGAGCAGCACAAATTGGATTCAGTGGATTATTTAAGGGGAACACCTCAGGGACAGACCCAGAGGCTCTTAGGGACAGGGTGGAGAGATGAATAAGACCAAAATAAATTGTATGTGAATATGAAATTCTCAGATAATTAATAAAAATGCTCTATTTTAAAAAATAGGAACATTTGACAAAGGACTTTCTCCTTTAAATCTGAAGGAGTCAGATTTAAAAGGAGTCAGAAAAGGAGTCCTTTTCCCTGAAGGAGTCATCTTTTGCTCTTAGATAGGAAATGGTTATCTGAAACATTTACATAAGTAAACTAAACCAGAATGAAAAGCCTTCCTAAGCAAGGGAGACAGGTTTGTTTGTTTTTCCTTTTTTCTTACATAGTTTTCCTGATTAAGGTTTCTGCTCCCACCCAGATCCACTCCATTTCTGTCTCTCATTAGAAAATAACAGGCTCCTAATGGATACAAATAAAATAAGATGAAATAAACTATAGGTAAAACAAAAAGTAACACATTAGAGTTGGACAAGACAAGCAAACAGGTGGAAAAGAGCCCCAAGAGAAGTCAGGAGAATCAAGAGGCCCACTCATTCACACACTCAGGAATCTCATAAAAACACTAAACCGGAAGCCATAATATATATGAAGAGAAAATGGTACAGACCAGTGCAGGCCCCTGTGTGCTGCCTCAGTCTCTGTGAGTTCATGTTTGTGGATCATGTTGATTTAGAGGGCTTTGTATCCTTGGTGTCCTCCATCCCATCTGGATCTTACACTCTTTACACCTACTCTTCCAAAAGTTCCCCGACCTCTGAGGGGATTGATAAAGACATCTCATTCAAGGCTGAGTGTTCAAAGATCTCTATTCTCTGTATAATTTCTGGCTGTGGGTCTCTATTTGTTCTCATCTGCTGCAGGAGGAAGCTTCTCTGATGCTAAGCAAAGTACTGACCTATGAATATAGTACAATGTCATTAGGAATCATTTTATTTCTGTATTATTTTTTTGTTTGTTTGTTAGAAGAGCAGTATTTGGTTTTACTCTAGGTCCCTGGGCTATCTAGTCTCTGGTTGAGAAGACAAAGGTGTGTTTTGTTTTGTTTGTTTGTTGTTTTGTTGTTGTTGTTTTTTTCTTACTGCAATAGGTGAGATCCTGTCTTTGCTGGAATTTACTTACAACTATGATAAAGAGTTTTTTTAAAAAATAGTTTTCCGTGATCCTAGTATAACCATGAGACTGGAGATTTTCCTTCTCTGAGTTCATTTGAGCTTTGAAGTCTCTGCTTCTTTTTAGGTGGAGGCTGAGCTGATTGACAAGCTGGACAGCATGGTGTCAGAGGGGAAAGGTGACGAGAGCTACAGGGAACTCTTCAGTCTGCTGTAAGCTGCTCCTTCCCCAAAAGTCCCATGTTGGGAGAAGGGGTGATGTGGGTAGACATGAAACCTGCACTGGGCAGGCTTCAGAGGTTGGGTACCGTAAGAGATGCAGTTGATTCTGGTGGTAACAGTAGTCATTTTCTATCAACAAAAAAACAAATGGGGTTGGGGATTTAGCTCAGTGGTATTGGGTTCCTCAGCTCTGGATATGGGGTTACGTTAGCCTGGTGGTGATAGTTTTAATCCCAGCAATTGGGGCAGAGATCTCTGTGAGTCTGAGGCCAGCCTGGTCTACAGACCAAATTCCAGAAACAGCCAGGGACACACACACACAGAGAAACCTTGTCTCAAAAAACATACGGGATCAAAGACCTCAACATAAAACCAACCACACTGAACTCATAGTAGAGAAAGTAGTAAGTAGCCTTGAAGGCATTATCTCAGGAGACCACTTCCTAAACATAACACCAGTAGCATAGACACTGAGAGCAACAATGAATAAATGGGACCTTCTGAAACTGAGAAGTTTCTGTAAAGTGAAGGGCATGGTCAACAAGACATCTGACAGAGGACTGATCTCCAAAATATTCAAAGAACTCAAGAAACTGGACATAAAAAAAATAATAATAATCCAATCTGGGGTACATATCTGGGGTACAGATCTAAACAGAGAACTCTCAAGAGAGGAATGTCAAATGGCCAAAAGACACTTAAGGAAATGGCTAACATCCTTAGTCATCAGAGAAATGCAAATCAAAACAACTCTGAGATAATATCTTACACCTGTCAGGATGGCAGTGTATAAGATGTATTGATATTTTTATATGTTAAGATTCTGAGTTACATTAACAGTTATTACAAAAGTACCATTGACTGTGTCTGATCCATAATAATCACAGAAAATAGTACTTTAAATTGAAATATAATTGGTTGTATGACATAATTCCTATGTGTACTTTATTAATCTTACCATATCAAAATGTCAAATTTAACAAATTTTATAGCTCTTTTAAGAAATTTTAAACTCAAAAATTGTATAAGTTGACTTCTAGGCATGATGCTGACAACACACTTGCAAGGGCTGCAGCATGGGGATTATCCTCCCCTTCTTAGAAGTGAGACTGGGCTCGAGGAAGTGCTAGTTCATCATCTGTTAGCTAACCTGTAAAAGGCACCTCTGAAGGAAGGACCCACAGCTACAGTTAAGAGGGGGATTCTTTCTGGTACTCTATGTCTGCTTTGCTCCTTGATGAATCATAAGAATTTTTTTTGAATTTTATGATGAAATACATTCATTTTCTTTCTTTTTTTTTTTTTTGACTTTTTTAATGAATATATTTTACAAATATGCTGGAGAATCATGCAATGCTGCCTGCATTGGATGCAATCCTGGGCCACAAGTCTGCAAATTCCTTTGCAACTGGACCTGTGATAGCAGAACCTTTCATCTCGCCTTTATTGTTTACTATGACCCCTGCATTGTCTTCAAAATAAAGAAACACCCCATCTTTTCTTCTATACGACTTTCGTTGACGAATTACCACTGCTGGATGGACCTTTTTCCTTAGTTCTGGTTTGCCTTTCTTAACTGTGGCCATCACCATGTCACCCACGCCAGCAGCAGGAAGTCTGTTCAGTCGTCTCTTAATGCCCTTCACAGAGATGATATACAAATTTTTGGCGCCTGTATTGTCGGCACAGTTGATCACAGCTCCTACAGGAAGACCCAGGGAAATCTGGAATTTCGCTCCGGAGGACCCACCATGTCCTTGCTTCGACATCTTGGACGCCCGGAAAGAGCCAGAAAAAAAGCGAAATACATTCATTTTCTAATACATCTATTTTAACAAAATGTTTCCAGTTGTGGAAGAAAGACATTAAATTCTCTTTGTTGGCTACTAACAAATAACTTTATTACAAAGGAAAAAGTATACAAATAGCTCACAATTACTAATTACCTATCTAGATTGTATTTGTAAACCCTTTTAAAGTTAGTTTGAGACCTGAGAGCTACTGATACCATGGAGCATCATTTCATAGTTTTAATTTGGGGATGATGTTTGTAGGTTTGGAGGGAGATAAAAATGTGTATAAATTAATTTAGAAAAGATTCCGTTAAAGGAGTGAGGTAGTAATCTGCATTTTCCATGCTTGTGTGCTCATAGAGCAGCATATCTTCCCAATGTCCAGGTAAGTAAAGTGCCACAGAGCTGTTGGAAAGTAGTATAATGTTGTAGTCCACATAAGGTAGATTTCTTCTCTCTCTTTAGCAGTATGATCACAGAAACCCTTACTTTCCCTGAACCTTTGGTCCAGGTGTATGTTCTATACAAAGAGGCAGTGATCATAATAAAAAATATAATGGCAGTCAAGCTGTGAGTTTGAGTCCCCATTGCTTGTCCTCAGTCCTGGGCCAGCCAACTCCAGCTGACTCTTAGAAAATTAGACAGCAAGGAACATGCTCATAAGGAATTGTAAGTAGAGTTGTATGGAATGGGATCTAGACCTGAGCAAGGAGGAAGGATGCAGGTCATTGCCTCCTGGAAGAAGCATGTCCGCGATGTCAGTATATCTTAAAGCCAGGGCTTTGTTTTGCGTTTGTTTTGTTGTTCTTTCTGTTTTGGGCAAGCCACAAGCTGCCTTAGGGGACAAAAGTGTGGTACTGTCGGGTTTTTAGTGCCCTGTACATGAAGCTTCTGTCTTTATCACAGTTTTGGAAGCATTCAATGACCAAGGTGACAACAGAGCACAGCTCCTGAATTTGTCCTCTGTTCTTCGTGCTGGGCTCCTGAAGCTTGTGGGAATCTTTGATTTATGAGAAGAATTTGTTTTGTGTGTTTACTGAAAATGGCTCTGGGTATTAGAAGTACTTAGCCAATTGGCAAAACCAAACTTATTGTTCCATGAACTCTTAACTCATGTGTCCCTTAGGACAGACTTTATCACATATGCCTCTCACCCCCACCTCATAGTACCCTTAGGAACATGCACAGGAAACTGGGAGAGATGGTCATTTATTGCTATCAGTCCAATAATACCCTTGTCTTTGCTTTCTGCTGCATGGAGTAGAACCCAGCTGTTTGGGCCCTACCCCAGGTAAGACTACAGTGTGCCAAGTCTCCTGTCTCCAGATGTATCACAGCCTCCACAGGTTCTTGGACCTCACTCTTGTCACCAGAGAGGGCTCATGAATTATGTTTGCTTCTTCTGCCAACAGCCTTCTGGAGAAGGTTGAACAGGAAACATGGCGTGAGACTGGCATTTCCTTTGTTACCTCAGTCACCCGCCTCATGGAACGCCTTCTTGACTACAGGTATTTTCTTAGTTTGACACCTTTGTAGCCTCTCCTCTAGTACAATATTCTCTTCTGCGAGGATATTCACTTGACTTTAAAACTTAAGACCACACTGGGGACTGGAGAAATGGCTCAAGAGTTAAAAGTACTTGCCACTCTTGCAGAAATCCTGCTTTCAGTTTCCAGCACCCACATGGCAACTTGTAACTGGCTGTAGCTCCCAGTCCAGGGTATCCATTGCCCACTTCTGTCTTCTGTGAACACCAGGTACACACATAATACATGTACATATAGGCAGGCAAAACACTCAAACACATAAAAATAAATAAACATTAAAATAACAACTGCCAGCCAGGTGTTTCTGGTGCAGCTCTTTAATCCCATCACTTAGGAGGCAGAGGCAGGTGGATCTCTGAATTTGAGGCCAGCCTGGTATACAAAGAAAGTTCTGGGACAGCCAGGGCTGTTACACTGAGAAATTCTGCCTCCATAAAACAAAACAAACCAACCCAACCAAACAAACAAAAAATCATGCCAGACATGTTGCCACATACCTTTAACCCCAACACTCAAGAGGCAGAGGCAGGTGAATCTGTGAGTCCAGGCTGGTCTAGTCTACATTGGAGATGCAGGCCAGGCATGCCTATGTAATGAGACCTTGTCTTTAAAAACAAACATGAGAGAACTAGACATGGTGCCCAGCTGTAATCACAGCACTGGAAAAGCAGAGGCAGAAAGAGCAAGACCATGTTTAAAAAAACAAAATTCACTGTGTCTTAACATAGAGAGGACTGTTCTGGTTCCTTGGCTGTCGTTGGGATTATCTGACCAGTAACAATACCTCAGTATAAATTAGAGCTTTTTGGGATCCCCCTAAGGTTAAATGTACCCAGAAGGCAACCCGGAGACACATATGGCCTTCTATCTAGAAAAGTCGGAGATCAGAGGAATAGATATAGCAAGGCGAGGAAAAACTGTCTCCAGAGAAAGTTAGGGAATAACTGTAGTTCCTTAATGAAGACCTTCCTCAGCCATATGGGAGATAAAAAAGGAAATGTCGCCTAGTACCAAAATATGACCAAGGACAATTTTCATTTGCTTCTCTATGGACTGGGGACCTTTTTTCTTATACCTGTATTCTCTTGTTAAAATCTGTTCCTGTCCCCTAACCCTAGCCATGGGAACAAATTAGGGAAATGTTTTGTGAATTCAGGGATCTCTGTCATGTTCAGCCTGAGAATTCATGTGGATTTAAACTTGTTTCATGAAAGCCTGCCTTCCTAGTCCTGTCATGACTGCTGAATTGGTCTAAAAATAACAATGAAACAACCACTTCAGCCTTAATTATGCTCTCAGTAGGACTCAGAAAGTCAGTAAGGATGTTTTCTGGAAGTCAAAAAGAGAGATAGGATAGTAAAGTAATAAAACCAACCCCAAGCCATAATGCTACAAGATGTAAAAACCCCTGAATCAAAAAATGAGGCTGCTTAGACTGCTTCCAGTCTTCTGAAGAAGAAAGCCCTGCCATTCCAAAGACTCAGGTATCCGTGTACTGATCCCATCCCAAACATCCCCTCTTTTCTTTAGCACAGTTGTGTATGTACAGCTCCTATCTATTTAGGGGAGGGGGCCTTAAAAGGTCAAAGCTGGTCTTTGTCAGCCCTTTTTAAAGCAAAAGGATTCCTTTTTACATGCCAGGTCCCAAGCCTCTCCTATACCTGCCATCAAACAGTAAAGAGAAATGGGCTAAAGCTCTACATCTTTGTCTTATTGAAATATCTACTGAAGGTTGTTCATATTCATTATCTACTTGAAAGACCCAAAATTGGTCTCTTAGACTTAAAGACCGTGTGTGTGTGTGTGTGTGTGTGTGTGTGTGTGTATGTGTATATATATATATATTATTTTACATATTGGTTCTAATTCCCTCTCCCTCCCATGCTCCCTGACCCCCCTCCCATCCCACCTCCCTCATTCCACAGGGAGGGTGATGCCTTCCAGGAAGGATCTTCAAAATCTGTCAAGTCATTTGGAGTAGGGACTAGGCCCTCCCTCCTGTTAAAGGCCTTCTTTTAACTGTCTGATTTTCTTTTTGTCTTCTGTAAACAAATGAAGCTAATGGCCAGATCCAATGTCACTCTCCATTTCTTGTCTCAGTGTGGTATCTATACAACAAGTACACAGCCTTTCACAGATCTTCAAACATGAACTGGTCTTTGCCCTGTGTCTGTCCTTCCAATCCCCAGGGCTCACATTCTGCTTTCCAGCCCCCAATTATAACTTCTTGTGAACATGGAGAAAAACACCATGATTTTTGTGGTGGTCTGTCTATTTAAAAAAAAAAAAAACTACCATGTTAATGTTGCATATGCATTGTGACTATTCTCCTTTGCATCTCTGAAGGGTTGCTCTTGTGGTTGTCAGTGAAGAGGTGCATGTGAGAAGTTCTGTTGCCAAAATTGATCCAAGTTCTAGCTAATTCAAAGGCTGTGCTCTAGATCCCCATCCATTTTTTTCTTCATTGATCTCTTCCCTTCGGGTTTCTTTATGCTGTGTAATTTCCTTAGAGTAGCCACAGCTCACCTGGCTTTCTGTGCATACCTTAAGTATACACCATTTTCCATCTCTCTGACACAGTTTGACAGAAAGAGCCAACCCCTTGAAGGCAGGATCCTTGAACTTTTCTGCTGGCACTCTGCTTGTCCCTGATAGGTACACAGTAAATAATGATCAATCAAATGAACTTGCAGGGAAGACTATGCCAATACCAAGAAAACGTTTTCCTTTACCCAAGAATTTAAACAGTTATTGACAGTATATGTGCATACAATAAAAACTATATATATATGTCATTTAGATACAAGTTATATATAATATCTTAATATCTTTTTCTAGTAAGTTGTAGTCTGGCATGACTTGGACATTTGGTGAGTCTTATTTTTAGACTGGCCAAACTTTAAGTCTTCTAAGAAGTACCTCCTCAGCTTTGACAGTAATGTCTTAACTTTATGTGAATTCTAGAATAGATTTGTAACTTCTGTTTCACATTTTCTCATGAAATGAAACTTGCCCTTTAAGAATAACTTTGCCTCCCTAGGGAACTTGGAATTTGGCCTTCTACCTTACAGACACATCCTTTTGTACTAAGGAAATTGGTTAAGTGCCACTTAATGTCCTGATGGTGCATCTGGGCCCTATACTCTGCAACCAGAACAAGGAACTTAACAGAGATCTTTGAACCCCAGGATTGGGTGCAAAGCTGAGAGGGGTCTCAATACAATCCTCTTCTGTTGAAGTACTTCCTGTTAGAAGGCATACTACTTTTAGAATTGACTGTGCTAATATTCCAGTAATGCAGCTGTTTTATGTATTGTCCCAGGAAATATCACTTCACATCACGGCCAGTCATCTCTTTTCTCTCTTTCAGGGACTGCATGAAAGGAGAAGAAACAGAGAACAAGAAGATTGGCTGCACCGTCAACCTAATGGTGAGAGGACATGGGCTCTTCCTCCTTCCCTCCTGACTATACAGCCAGAGTTTTGGCTGGCTGGCTGGAGCTTGGAAATGACCTTAAAAGGATGTAAGACTCTTGCATCTTACATATACTTCATTGTCTTACAGAACTTTTACAAATCTGAGATCAACAAAGAGGAAATGTATATCAGATACATCCACAAGCTTTGTGACATGCACTTACAGGCTGAAAATTACACAGGTGAGTCAGGGAAAGACAAAGTGCTGTGTCTTTCCATTAGGACAGACCTGGCGGCTGTACAGAGAAAGGCTTCAGGATGATATCTGCCAGATCTCAACAGTGTTGGGTCCCAAGTTATTTCTTAACCTCACTCCTGTCCTGCTCCTTTTTAGTGTTGAAAAAGCAGGTGAAAGTTTTGTTCTTCCTGACAGGTGTTCCATGAATGTTTTCTGCTGTCTGGGGCTGTTCCACTCACCTTTGCTCTTAACCATGTCTCTGAGAACCCAAGAGTAACTTCCAAATTCTGGTGCACCAAGTTAAGAACATTTAAAGTTCTGTTACTCCTCAGAAATGAAGCTTTTCTTGGGTTTTACAAAGCTGAAAATAACCAAGACCACAGCAAAGGATTATCTCCTGGAACTTCTAGAACTTGCTGGTAGATCTGGCTCTTCCTCTGCAACTGCATACCAGCTCCTACACTGAGCTTCCAGTACAAAGTATAGACAATATTCATCCTGACAGGCCAAATGAGAGACTTTTCCTTATGTCTACAGTCTATGCAAAGTGTCTGTCAAGATCTCTTTACTGACAGCAGCTCTGAATGAAGAGGAAGGATGTGTGTGTGAGTGTTCTGTGTGATTCCCTTGTATCATTGTTCCCCCAAAGAACCATCTTTTCTACTGTGACCAGGCTGTATTCTTATCCCTCAGACTGAAGGACTTAAATTTGTCATCTAAATATGGAAATGTGTGCTATTCTTACTTGTACAATTTTTAACTAGGATTAGATGAATTAGTAAAAAACAGAGAAACCCCCTTCCTTACCCTTGTCTCTAGATGTTAAAAGAAAATATGTGTGTGTATTTTGTAACTATATGTGTTACATGTCAAAATAATATAGATAAGTGCCTTAGGGTTTCTGTCACTGCCACAAAAGACCATGATCAAAAAGCAAGTTGAAGAAGAAAATGTTTATTTATTTGGCTTACACATCCATATTTCTGTTCATCACTGAAGGAAGTCAGTACAGGAGCTCAAATGTCAGGAACCTAAAGGCAGAAGCTGATGCAGAGGCCATGGATGGGGTACTGTTTATTGGCTTGCTTGCCCTAGCTTATTCAGCCTACTTTCTTGTAAAATCCAGGACCACCAGCCCAGGGGTGAAACCACCCACAATGGGCTGGGCCCTCCCTCTATAATTGCTAATTAAGAAAATGATTTATAGCCAGATTTTATGGAGGTATTTTCTCAATATAGTTTCCCCCTTTCCTATAATGCAAGTTTGTATGTCAGGTTGAAATAAGACTAGCCATCACAACAAGGAAGACAAAGATTTCTTGTAGTCTTCTAAACTCCATAAAGAGGGCCTGGTAGGAGATGTCAGTGTCAGGGCACAAGTAGAGAGAGAAGAATGAGAAGCTCAGAGAGTGGACCAGTAGAAATGGATCACAAGATGATTAGAAGTGAAATTCTTTATATGAGCACTTTTTCGTATGACCTAGAAATCTGGGCAGAAGCTAGAACTATTTATTAACTTGCTAGTGGGGAACTGCCATTAAAAATTACCAAACAGAAGAAAGAAAATTCCTTAATAGGGCTCTGGACCCTGGTAGCAATTCAGTGCAACTTATCTCTTGTAATTTACACTAAGCATCTAAGGACACTGTGTTTTTATGTGACTGTCACTAACTGCTCCACATACAAAGTATCTGAATCCAGTATCAACACATTCCTCCAGAAACAGTCTCTGGTTCCAGACTCATCATATAGTTAATACCACTCACATTCCCTAACTTTCATCCTTTTAGAAACAGTAATAGTAAGAGAAAAGAACATGCCCTGGAGCAGTAGACAAAAGTAGATTAAGAAGTACTAGAAGAAGCCTTGATGAATTGATGCTCACCAAATAGAGCCAATTCTAAGAAGGTTAGAAAGAAAGCTGGAGCTAAACAAACAGAAAGGGATCTAAGAGCTCTCAAGTATCTGTCACCAAAGCAAGCAACTTCTGCATAGCCTTAAAGTGGCTGGGCCATTCTTTTTCTATTTGAAATTTTTCCATAAAATATATTTTTGTTCATATTCTTTCCCCTCCCAATTCCTCCCAGATCCTTCTTACCTCCCTACCCACCCAACTTTATACACTCATGCTCTCTCTGTCTCTATCTCTTTCCCTCTGTCCCTCTCTCTTCTCCCTCTATTCCCCTTCACTTCTCCCTTCTCTGTCTCTCCTTCTCAAAAATAATGAAAACAAAAAATTAATAAGGCAAACATAGCAAAACAAAATGAAATAGAAAGTCCCCCCCCCAAAAAAAACCAAACAAACATGGAGTCTATTTTTCACTGGCAGCTACTTCTAGTCATAGGACCTATGCTAGAGTATAGTTGATATACCCAATGACATGCCATTTTAGAAAACTAATTTCCCTTTCCCCAGAAGTATCAATTACAAATAGTTTCTTGGTTAGGTGTGGGACTTCGATGTCTACCTCCCCTTCTCAGAGTTGGGACTTTGTCTGGTTTGAACCTGTCGAAATCCTATGTCTGCCATCACAGTCTCTGAGTTCATATGTGCATCAGCTCTTTTGTGTCTGGAAAATGCTGCTTCCTTAGAATCATTCATCACTTCTGCATTTGTAATCTTTCCACCTCTTCTTCTACATGGATCCCTTAGCCTTGAGAGGAGGAGTTTGATGAAGACATTCCCATTTAAGGCTGAATCCTCCAAAGTCTCTCAGTCTCTTCCCATTGTTCAGTTGTGGATCTCAGAGTTAATTACCATCAACTGAAAGAAAAAGCTTCTCTAATGAGGGTTGAACAAGGCACTGATCTGTGGGTGTAACAATATGTTATTAAGAGTCATTTTACTGCTGTTTCCTTAGCAGAAAAATAGTAGTAGATCTTCTCCCAGCTCTAGCCTCAAGTTCTTGGCCACTTGAATAATATCAGGTATGGATTCTATCTTACAAATGAGCCTTAAATCCAATCAAAAAGTAATTGGTTGCTTCCCTAACATTCTTGCCACTTTTGCACTAGTATGTCTTTAGGTATGGTGCTGTTGTCGCAGGGTTTGTTGCTGGGTGATATTAATGCTTGCTTTTCACCTCCAGTAATGTGTAGAGTACCTTCCAGCAACATGAATGCCAGTCAGTAGGGAATGAGGCTTCTAGGTGGGCTCAATTGAGTGCCATTTCTCCAATGTTTGATGGCATAAGTGAGTGGTGTCTTCAGCAATAGAGCCTCATTCTCTGCTTGTGGAGAATAACCAATAGCCTTAGGAATAGCCTGTGTTGTTTAGGGGTTCTATGGGACACCTTTGACCAACTACTTAACAAGATGTAACTCATTCCTGGCACTGGCAGTTTTACTTGGTGGCATAAGTTTTCTAGTTGGGACATCATCTCACCTATTATATAGTGACTCCATTTAAATTTCTTTCATATTTGTATATATTTTAAGAAACTTCTAAACTACTAGGTTTCCATATGTGAACCTTTCTTTGTTCTTTATCTAGAACTCAAAACAGGTGCCCAGGTGCTGGGAGCATTTATGGCTCCTTCATTCTGTGAACAAGGGTTATTAGCTTAAACAATCTTACTGTCTTGTCTTTGGTATCTAGTATTCCTGATTTGTGCTACCCATGCCTTGCTCTGATATTCTTGCCCAGCTGTTCCTAGGCCCCCAGAGGACGTCCTGAGCCTCTATTCTCTCTGTCCCTACAGAGGCTGCATTTACCCTGCTTCTTTACTGTGAGCTGCTACAATGGGAAGACCGGCCACTACGGGAGTTCCTACACTATCCATCCCAGACTGAGTGGCAGCGGAAAGAGGGACTGTGTAGAAAGATCATCCACTACTTCAACAAAGGCAAAGTAGGTGTCAGAAAGCAAGACTTTAAGCCCCTCAACTTCTGCTGGAGCGTATGACATCTTTGCTAGAAACAAGGAATAGCTGAGGTTAATGATAGGTAACTAAGTTCATCATGTGTGTAAATTTGAATTACTATTTGGAAGTTAGGAAAAAATGAATTAAATGTCATGTAAACTAATGTTTCTAAGTACTCAAGAGAAAGAAAACACTATAATAATAAGAGGAAGATAAAGGTGTAGTTTAGTGGTAGAGAACTTACCTAGCTTTCATACGGCCCTAGGTTCAGCCCTCAGCACCACAAAGAAAGAAAGGAAGGGGGGAAGGCAGGAAGGAAGGAAGGAAGGAGGAGGAGAAAATGAACAGTTCATTAGAATGAAGTTCACTGCAGCCTTCTTCAGACACCTGTTAGATGGTCCTTTTGCTGTAACAGGAACTGTGTCACAAATAGTCTGTTGTCCCAATGGGGAGCTAATGGACCTCCAGACTGGTAGCTGGGAATCCAGTATTGGACTGACTCAGACCCCCTGAACATGGGTCTCAGTTAGAACACCTGGGCAGTCTAAGGTACCTCTGACAGTGGAACCAGGACGTATCCCTGGTATATGAAAGTACTTTGGGAGCACATTCCCCGTGGAGGGATACTCCATTAACCTAGAGGCAGAGAGAGGGCCTAGTCCCTACTGCAAATGACTTGACAGATTTTGATGATCCCTCCTGGAAGGCATCACCCTCCCTGTGGAGTGGGGAGGGGGGAATGAGATGGAACGGGGGTCAGGGGACATGGGAGGGAGGGAGGAAGAGGGAACTGGGATCAATATGTAAAAAAAGAAAAAAGAAAAAAAAAAAAGGAAGTCTGTTCTCCAACTAGGCAAAGATCATCTGAAGCCTGAAGTGATAGTCTTTTTTCATAAAGGCTTACTGCCATGTCTTTAACAACCCCTTTATGCTTGGTTGCCCTAATTATTCATAATTGGTCTCTATTTGAAGGTTCATAGTCCCTTTATTAACTTATTAAAGAAATAATGAGTAGCTGTCATATCTGCTATTGTTCTAGGATCTGAAGATAAAATAAATAAGCATAGCTTTCTCCCTTACATAATTTATCATCTAATATAGACTAATAGAACAAAAAGTAATATATTTTTAAGAGATAGCATAAGAATAACAGACCAAAATATACTAAGGTAGCAAAGAGAGGCATAGAAGCTAAGACATTTAAGCAGAAACCAGAAGGTTCTGCATGAGCTGGAAAACAACAGTGTCATCTGTTACTCTGTATAAATTGGTTTTGAAGACTATGTTCCTTTTAATACTTGAGTTGGAGCTAGCCTCTTTTTTTTTTAAGTCTTTTATGTGTTCAATGTGGACTTACCTCAAATGCCTGAGGTGCTATAACCATGTTCCTGTCTTTTATACAGAGCTGGGAGTTTGGAATCCCTCTATGTAGAGAGCTGGCATGTCAGTATGAGAGCCTCTATGATTATCAGAGCCTCAGCTGGATTCGGGTAAGCTTTGTCTCTTCTACCATATCTCTGACCAAAGACTCCTGGACTTCTGGCATCGGTTTCTAAGTGATGCCTAGGGCCTTTAGCTTATTGCTGTGGACAGAGGCTAGATTTATGTCTTCAAGATACTTGCAATCTGACTGGAGAACAAAAGCACATATGTGACAAGTGACTTTATCATCTGAACCCTAAAAGCCGCTTGTACTCAGGGAAAGAAGGCAGCATGATAGGATAGTGATTTCTCTGTGTTTGCACGAGAACACGCATGAACATGTATGCATGTGTGTGCTGCCTAACTTCATGAAGAAGTTTTTCATGAAATAGTTTTGTTCAGTGGTATATGAAATGTTTTAATTTATTATTCGTAGGTACAATGATATAAGGTAGGCATACATGATGAGGTGCATGTGTAGAGTAAGAAGACTGCTTTGGGGGTTCCTTCCATCTTTACATGAGTTCTGGAGATCAAACGCAGATCACCAGGCTTGTGCTGCCAGTAAGGGCTTTTATAGTCCACCAGCACCTTATTATTTCCCCACTGCATCTTATAGTTACTTAAGCACTTTGTCCTGCCTCCTTCTTGGGAGCAAAACATTCAAAATTATGTCATATGGATTTTGAAGGTTTTTGTAAGGTCTTTACTTATTGGCAGTGCTATCTTCTAAATCATAATATGTTCTTATTTCATCAGCAAAGAATGACTAGTGGTTTCAGAGCATCATCCACTACACCCTCATCTATGGCTCAGACCTTTTAGCAAAGACCAGAATGTCTGGTCTAGATTGGGATTTGGACATGATTCTCTAAAGTAGCTTTCTGGCTAATGTTTGGGGGCTACTGTCTAAAGATGTTTAAATATGAAGCCAGAATAGCCATACTGAAAAACTTAGTGACTTTGTAATGTTAGACATCATGAATATTAGTCATCTTTTCAAATTTAAAGTATCCTAAATTAGAACCAATGGTAGTGATGCTGGCAACTGAGGCTTCCTCACTGGGGTTAATAGTATCCTAAGTCAATTGGTAGATGAGTAAGAGTGGATGCAAATACAAATGGGCTGGCATATAATGGTAATGAGAGTTGTTGGTAGACAGCTCCCAGCAACTCTAGTCAAGGATCAGATGGTATAGTATCAGTCAAATCATGTTAACTATTTACCTCTCAAGTTCAGATCTCCATGGATCTAGGTCCATGCCCAGGGAGAATATTGAGAGAAACTCACAGGGATGTAATGGGCAGGCCTGTCTTTATCCTATCATCAGATGGCAGTGAAGGAAGACCGAGGGCTCTCCTCTTTGATGATGTAATTCCCTGGAGAGAGGCTGGTACTGTCTAGGGGTTTACTTCCTTGTGGCCTTGATCCCTTTCTAGAAGACAATGTCTAGTTGAGCCTAGGAGAACTTGCTTTGGGTAACAACCATACCTTTATTGTTAACAGAAAATGGAGGCCAGCTACTATGACAACATTATAGAGCAGCAACGCCTGGAGCCTGAGTTCTTTCGGGTTGGCTTTTATGGCAGGAAATTTCCTTTCTTCCTTAGGGTAAGTCCATTCAAGTGGTCTCATTAATTTTTTTGAGTGTGTGTGAGTGGGTATTAGTGGTGGTGGGTAGGTAGTGTATTCTATATTTACACGTGCATGCAAAGCTTAGAGGTAGATGTCAGGTGTCTTTCCATGGTCACTTTCCATTTAATTTTTAAGATTTATATGTATTATTTTTAAGAGAGAAAGTGTATGTGGTTGGGGGGGAGGCTAGAAGAGGGCATTATATCCTTGTAGGGTTTGAGGTACAGATAGTTGTGAGCTGCCTAATGTTTGTGCTAGAAAATTAACTCATACTCTCTGTAAGAGCAATAGGTGCACTCAACTGCTAAGCCATTTCTCTACCTCTCTGTCTTATTTTTGAGAAAAGATGTCTCTTTGAACCTAAAGCTCATTAATTCCATTCGGCGGTGTGGACAGTGAGCTTCATGGTTCTATTACCAGTGCTAACATTAGATGTACTTACCTTCATGACCAGCTTTGTACATAGATTCTGGAGATCCAAGCTTACGTCCTCATCCTTGCACCACAGGTACCAACTAAAACATCTCCCCAGCCCACAAGAACATTTATATTATACACATTTTTACTTAACACCTGTACACTCTCCTCTCAATTTCCTGTATTCTTCAGACTACTTCTTTCCAAAGGACTGATCAGTTAACCAAAGACATTGGCTTTATTTAGCAATACTGGCTGTCACCTTCAATTCTATTTTAATCTGAAGTATTATTCTATGTTTACTAGAAATGTGTCAGGAAGTAACTAGTGCCTAAAAATCTCTTATATAGGTACCTTCCAACATCTGCCTGTAGTGCCTGGAACATTAACCAGTAGCATTAGTTATAGCCCTGACCTCAACAGTACGCATACTGTTGGGTGTTTGTTTAAAGTGGTGGTTTTTTCCTTCTGAATGCACTGTAACCATATTGGCAGGATGGAGAATTGTTGGAGTAAAAGAACCTAGATGACATTACATTCAGTTCCCAGGTCCCTTTGAGAGTTCTATGAGCTAAGTTCAGCTATGAAAGATTAAGAAGCCATTTCCATGACACAAGATAACAACATCAACTTCTGTCTTTCAATGGGAGAAATATGTCCAAATGACTGACTGATCTAGAATAAACACACACAGTGCAGAAGGATAACTTGTGCATACATCTGGTGACAGTAGTTAAGCCACTATGAAGTAAAGGGTGGAAGTTAATCTTTATTTACAAGTCACTGCAAGATATGAAATTATGTATAGATACAAGAAACCCATTCTGAGGACAGACTTCATATAGTATGTGGTAGTTTGGAAATACTGTTCAAGTACAGTTTAATTTTTTTAATGCTACAGTAACAAACCACGTTATAAAAGAATTGTTAAGGCAGGCATAATGACACACACCTGTAAACCCAGCATTTTGAAGATGGAGGTAGGAAGAGCCTGACTTTCAGGCCAGCCTGAACTACACAGACCTTATTTACAGGGAAAAAAAAATACGTGTTAGAGAAACAGTAAGAAAAACTTAACTAAGTATAACAGATAATACAACAGACAATTTGTTGTATTTAAAATTAAGGTCCCAGTAGTGTCATCCTGAATTTGGAAAGTTAAAGCATTCAGAAGTAGTTTCTGACACGTTTTGATCCTTTGTTTGGTGTTGGTTTTTGAGACAGGGTCTCATGTTATCAAAGCTGACCTTGAGCTAATTATGTAGCTGAGACTGAATTTGAACTCCTCCTGGTCCTCCTGCCTCCACCTGTTGAGTGCTAAGAGCCTGGTACTATGCAGTGTTGCAAATCAAACCCAAGGCTTTGTTCATGCTACACAAAGTCCTCTATCAACTGAGCTATATCCCCAGCTCTTGGTCTTATCCTACTCAAGAAATATTTCTCAGTTAAGCTTGATAATGTTTTGTTCATAAACTTATTTTTATGGCTTTGTAGATTCTCAATTTTCTCTAAGACCACATATTCTTTAGTCACTATCCCAAGTTTCTCTGTAGGCTAAAAGATAATTGTAATGATTCACAATGACTAGTATGTTTTGAGAATCTTTCACAGTTAAAAATTCCTCAGGGTGTCTATTGTACTACAGTAAATGGAGTATACAATCTAGGCAACCCTTCCAAGACTCATATGGTCACAGTCTATATAGTTTCCTTTTGTAAATGAAAAATGAGACTAATCCATAATGTATAAATCTTGTTCCTGGTCCTGACAGCCATCTGTGATGCTTGACATTGTCCCTGTCACTTCCTTCTGAATATTATTATTTAAGGTTAGCAATCTGGGAAATATGGCAGATACTCCTGCACCTGTCATAACTTGAGTCCACTCATCTGTTCCAGTGACAATGTTCTCTATAGCTTTTAGCATGGAAGTTACAATTGGAAATTCACCAGATCCTAGAAGCTTCATAAGTTGAAGCCCAACTTGTGTTTGCATGACCATTTCATTGTGTTTGGATCATTGGTAAGGCAGGAAACATCCCAGCTAATGCTTCTGCTTCTGGATCTTCATGACACAGGAGATGAACTAAAAGTAGAGAAAATTTGTTCAACATCATCTAATGGGAGTGAAGGATTCTTAAAGTGACAAACATTTGAAGGTGTCCAGGTTATACCAGTACTACATATGAAATATAGTATGTCAGGAACTGCAGAAAACTAATAGTGGATCTGAGTAACTATGTATAAGAGAACTAAATCATCTTTTGCAGTATTTCCCACAGCCCATATAGCTGCTTACTAATGTGAGCCTGGGAAAATGCCAGCAGAAATAACCATAGCATTGGTCTCTTCTGATTTCCCATAAGCAGTGCTAGCACCCAAACAGATTCAAACAGACAAGGATTGTAATCAGTTCTGCCCAAGAAGGACACAAATTTTTAAATCAATCCTGCCTAGGTTATGTTGCTATGGGGATTTTTTTCCCTAGAAAACAATTTCCAAATGGCTTCAGTAGTTGTTTATATCTTTGTTGCTGTTTATATCTTTGATAATGCCATCGGCAGAACAATTCACAATTCCCTGGATGCTATAGTTTTCCTTCAGGGAAAAAAATGCCATCATCAGGAAACAAGCTTATAGTCTCCTTTACAGCACCTGGTTGTCTTCCCTAGCTTTTTCTTCTCCAGAGTAACTTCTGTCCAGTACCATTCCATTCCTATACTGTCATTTTCTGGTGAGTCCGCATTGGTAAGTCTGGGAATGAGAGACAAAGGGGGGAATTGCATAAGGGATTGATGCTTCATGGTGTAGAAATCAGGTTACAGAATATTTACTATGGCTCAGCCCAAAGGTAGTGTGTGACTCTATTTAATTCAAGTACAAACCATATGATCCAGTATCCTGGGCCTCTAGGCTGTATTCCATTGGCATTTATTGTTCTCAGATGACTTAAGTAAAGCTGTCCTTATGAATTATCCCTGGAGCCGCAGTGCACTAAAACTAGCTCTGATTGTCCCCAGTTCCAATGCTTAGTAAATTTCAATGTCCACAGACCACAGCCAACAGATGGAAAAGGTCACTAAACCCCTTTAATATATTTAAGATCTCCTTTGGAAAATTGCTTTAGCCAGTGAACAATAACAAGTTTAACATAATATCAAGAGTCTGCTGTTTCCCTGAGAGTTGGGGGACAGGGAATGACCCATTCTACAGAGTAGATGACATCTATGTTTTAGATGTAAAGTAGGTCAAATTTCACTTTTTCTAGGAAGTACTCATTTTTAGCTAAAAGAAAAACTTACCTAAATTGTAACAGGAAACTCTTCCTCCTTAATAATTATCCTTAGGAAGGTTCCAACTCTTCCAAAGATAAATTTTCTGAGGACTGACTTGGCTTCCTTGACATATAATGACTACCCAGCCCAGGCATTTCAGAAGCGGTAAATTTATTACTCAGATAATCAAAGATCCTATAATAGTCTGGTGTGGTGGTTTGTGCTCACAACCCCAACACTTGTGACCAAAGACAAATTGTATGTTCAAGGCCAGCCTAAGCTACACAGTAAGTTCTAGAGCAGTCTAGCCTCTTAAATAGGGAGACCCTGCCTAAATAAAGAAAACAGTGGAAACCAAATATAGTGGTGCACACTTGTAATCCTAGCGCTTGGGAGGTGGAGGCAGGATGATCAAAAGTTCATAGTGAGTTTGAGGCCAGTCTGAGCTACATGAGACCCTGTCCCATGTCTCCAAAAGGAAGGAAGGAAGGAAGGAAGGAAAGGAAGGAAGGAAGGAAGGAAGGAAGGAAGGAAGGAAGGAAGGAAGGAAGGGAAAAAGGAAAAAAATAATAATAGTTGAACTAAAGGTCAGTAAAAGAGATGGAAGGAACTAGGCAGCGGTGGTACACATCTTTAATCCCAGCACTCAGGAGGCACAGACAGGCAGTAAATTCAATACCTGTTGTCTCATGTTTCTGTCTTCCAAGCAAGAATACCCTATCAGATTCAAGCTCACTTTCACCTTCTCATGTACATGTCACAGAATATACAATGTCTCAGATTCTTAGAACTTTGGGACAAGAAGGCCTGGGCATAGAACCTATATTGTCTGCTTGCAAGTAAAAGTCTGGCTGTTCAGTGTTGTTCCAAAGGCTGCAGTCATGGGAGAGAATGTTAGAAAGTGCCATTTGTCAGTCCATCCCTTCTGTTTACAGAAAGGAGTTCTTGGCAGCTGATTCAAGCATACAGATTTCTCCTGGCTTGACCTCCTATCTTCCCTTCCTTAAGCTGCTCAGTTCTGTGGCAAGTGGAAATCGCTGGCACAGAGTGCAGAGTAGTGGCAACTAGATGTGCCTTCTTGTGGGGGTGCCTGCATGAGGGCACAAGTGACTGTGACCAACAAGCAGCCTCAAGGTCCGCACTTGTGTGCCTTCTCTTACTGGGCCTTCCCCATAAGGTTCAGCTCTTCCTCCCCATCCCTGGATACATGGGACATCCACTTCTTTAGCTCAGTTAGCTTGTTTCTCTGGGTTACCTGCTTCCCTCACCTCACAATTATGATTATCTACTAATCTTGAAGGAGTAGGGAAAATACCCAGTCTTCCTTTCTTGGGAGAACTCTTTTCACTTGATCCATGAACAGTTGCTTGTGGGGATTATTGTGTATGTTAGTGGATGTTCAGAAAGCCAGTTCTTCAAAGTTACAGTCAGCCTTCTCTGTCCATGGGTTCCACATCTGCAGATTCAACAGAACACACGTGAGGGAAAGTCACCCTGTATACAGACTTGTTTTTCCTTGTCATCATTCCATAATAATGCAATATGACAACAGTTTTATAGAACTTACATCCTGTTATTTTAAATACCCTAAAGATGATTTGACGTGTACAGGAAAATAAACTCTGCTTATATATGAAGGTAACCTTTATATAAGGGACTTGAGTTCTGTAGTCTGTAGAGTCTTTGCAGGTAATAGTTTTCCATTTTGATTCACTCAGATATATGGCTCAGTCTTTTGCGTTTACCCATAGATAGGATGGTGTCCTCCAAAGTCTAAGCCGTGACCAGTGCTGCCCTTATGATGCCTTGCCCCTTCTTCTGTCTCTCTTTCTTTTGTTCTTTACCTCCCTGTGAAACTTCCCCTTTCGCTAAGATATGTCAAAAAAAAAAAAAAAAAAGGCGGGGGTGGAGTTAGTGTGACTTGCCAAAGGGGCCTGGTGAGCCAGCTGGGTAGGCAGTGTGACTAATAGGCTTTTTAAATTTTTTGTTTGTATGAGTGTGTGTGTTTGTGTATAAGTGTATGGGCATGAGTGTGTACACATAGAGGCCAGAAAGGGGGCATCAGGTGTCCTTCTCAATCACTCTTTTTCCTATTCCCTATTTCCCTATTCCCTATTCCTGAACCTGGGTCTCACATTTTTTCCACTAGGCTGGAAGACAGCAAACCTCAGCAGTTCCTCTGTCCCTGCTCACCTCAGAGCTGGGATTATAGGTGTGCCTACAATACCCAATGTTACATGGGTGCCAGGATCTGAACTGTTGTTCCTCATGGTTGTGCAGCAAGAGCCACCTTTGAGCCACCTCTCTAGCCCTCCTACTAGTAGGTTTTATTGGGGCTTCTGGCTATTCATAGATGACCATTTGTGAGGTAGACAGAGCAACTGGAATTGAGGGTGTCTTGTTTACAAGGATATTTCATTCCTCAAAGAGAAAAACTGAGACCTAACCCAAACCAAATGTGTGCATGTCTGTAACCTCAGAATTCAGAAGGCTATGGCAGAAGGATCACCTCTAGTTCAAGGCTAACCTGGACTGTATAATGAGGCTGAAGGAGGTGAGGAAAGAAAGATCTACATTTGTTCTGCTTACGGAGAGAGTGATAGTGATTTGTTCTGCTGACATGTTTGCAAAGAATTTTGCTACCAAAAGGACTTATCAAGTGTAATAAATAATAGATACCTGCTGTATAAAGTTTAGGTACACATGGTCATTCCTAATTTAAAATTACTTTTCAACATTCATGGCACTCACTCTTTAACATACATTTGCCAGTCTTTCTAGCCACCCTCTCGCCAGTTCTACAAACATACATTATTTCCATCTATGCTTTCTCATAGTTTGGCTGTTGTTTGGGTTGTTATAATACACACAACTTTCTTGTTCCCACTCTTCTATACCAGGTTAATCAAGTGGACACTTTGGGTTTTTTTTTTTAAACATTGATTCTTCTAAAGTTCCTCCCCTATTTTGCTTTCCTTTCCTTAGTAAAGTATTCCTCCTTTCCCCAAGTTCCTGGATGCCTGTACATTCTCCCCAAGGATTGCCACTCCAAGGAACAATCATTTCTTCATCTGTCCCTCTCCCTTTTCAACTGTCATTTCTCCTAAGACAGGGACTGAGTACTATGTCCTGTTTAGTGCAAAGGAGGCTCCAATGTATGTTTAGGAATGAAAATTTCTTCTATGTAAAGATGGAGACAGGGTACATATAAGGCATAAAATGTACTTTCATGTTTTTGGCAGAACAAAGAATATGTGTGCCGTGGTCATGATTATGAGAGACTGGAAGCCTTCCAGCAGAGGATGCTCAGCGAGTTCCCACAAGCTGTTGCTATGCAGCACCCCAACCATCCTGATGATGCCATCCTACAATGTGATGCTCAGTGTATCTTTTGAAACTTGGTAGAATGGGAAGGGCTGGGATCCTGAGATGTAAGTCCCACCCACCAACCACTCATCTACCCTGTGGCTGGCCTCATACCTTTGTTTAGGTTACCTGCCATCCCAAATCTAAGTGTGTCTTTACCATTGAACCCACATTTAGCAAGATACTCAGTCCTTGCTATGCTATTAGCCATGGATGACCTCATAAGTTATAAGCTGAGCTTCAGGGACTAGTTGTCATGCTAGTCAATATCATGAGTTTAGTCTCCACCCTGGACTCTATGTGGCCTGGTCAGGTAGTCAGGGCCAATCACTGCATAAGATGACTGTGGTCCCAACAGGGCTCTTGGCATGGGTTTGCCACCTGCTCTGCTTTCCTGTGCAGTTTTTGTCCCTTGTCTTTGTTAAAATTCCTGTAGAAGAGTACCAGGGAGGAGATCGAGAATGCCTATGATTTGATAGCATCTGGAAGTTTCAGTGCAAACACTGGCCTGCCCCTCACTACCCACTTTACACATTGAAAGTTATATGCTCGTCACCAAATGGCAAACTTGTTCCAGAGAATAAACAGCAAGTAGACTGCCATTCATGTTCTCTTCACAAAGACCTCAGACAGTATTTTTATTAAAATGTTGTTTTGACTGGGCTGGAGGCATAGGCCTGTAATCCCAATTACTTGAGAAGCTAAAGCAGTAAGATACTGAGTTTAAGGTCTGTTTAATCTACAGGGTGAATTCAGTGTTAACCTGGGTAATTTAGTGAGACCCTGTGTCAAATACAAAAGAGGTCAGAGATGTAGCCCAGTGAATAAGCATTGAGTTATCATTCCCACCCCAAAGCCTTGGTTTCAAGCTCTAATGCCACAAAAAAGGAAGGAAGGAAGGACGAAGAGAGGGAGGGAGGAAGGGAAGGGAAGAAGAAAGGAAGGAAGAAAAAGAAAGAGGAAGGAAGGAAGAAAAAATAAAAGAAAAATGAAAAAACAAAAATAAAGGAAACAAAAAGTCTTTTTCATATAAAATCCATTTAGCTACAATGAACACTTATCCCTATGGTGTGGATACTACATCTCCTGCTTGTTGAATCCCTCTCCTGCATGGGCACTTGCCATCTCACCTTGGCCGAATGCTCATGACATTCACTGCTGTAGCAGGAGGGAAGGGGCAGATGGGGGGGTTTGTCTAACGCGTTTAGTTCTGATCTGCACCTCAGGATGCTGCTGCCTCCATTACAACACCCAGTAAGGAACAAGGCTGCAGTGTACATCATCAAGGAGAGGACAAGAGGCTAACACATCAATCATTTCCTTTGCCAAGTCTAGATGTTCTCCTTCACCTCATGTCCAGATTTACAGATCTATGCAGTGACACCTATTCCAGACTATGTGGATGTTCTACAAATGGATAGAGTACCTGATCGTGTCAAGAGCTTTTATCGTGTCAACAATGTGAGGAAATTTCGGTATGATAGACCTTTCCACAAAGGCCCCAAGGACAAAGAGAATGAATTCAAGGTAAACAATACAGGAAAGTGAGTACAATACATATAGCAAATCTAGGGGCACTCTTGGGAACTCATCGCTTTTGCATCCTTCCATTAGGGCAAGTATAGCAACACTTGTCTAATTTCTTACACTTGTCTGTGCCCTCCCTGCAGAGCCTGTGGATTGAACGTACCACATTGACACTGACCCACAGCTTGCCTGGCATTTCTCGGTGGTTTGAAGTGGAAAGGAGGGAACTGGTAAGCTAGGCCTCAGAAGGTTTAAACTTCCTAGCCACTCCTCAGCCCCATTTTTTAGGGAGCTTTCTCTAAGGACTAAAGAAAGAACAAACTCTGACCACCTACTGGCCTTAATTCTCTAAGGCCAATCCTATGCAGAAGCTTTGTTATTTTCTCATCTAGACCACAGGGCAGTCCTAAGCATCAGGTATTTTCAGTTTACAAATGAAAAAAAATAATTCTAGAGATTCTAGAAGCCAGAGATCCCTGACTTCAAAACTAATACTCCTCAGTATTCTGTGCACTTCCAAGTACCTGAAGTCAGAAAAGTAGAGAACACCTAGGAAGTCTCTGGACCACAGGAATGAGGAAGGAGGATTAGCATCACAAGTTATCACTCTCTGTTCTCAGGATATGATGAGGGGTTATTATCCCTGAGAAGACTCTGTGTGTGTGCCCACAGGTGGAGGTGAGCCCTCTGGAGAATGCCATCCAGGTAGTCGAGAATAAGAATCAGGAGCTTCGAGCTCTGATAAGCCAGTATCAACACAAACAAGTACATGGCAACATCAATCTGCTCAGCATGTGCCTGAATGGTGTCATTGATGCAGCTGTCAATGGAGGCATTGCGCGCTACCAGGAGGTAAGACGGAGACCTTGACCAGACTTAGTCAGTCTGCCAGGCTAAGAACACAGTTCATAGGCTCCTCTTCCCAAAGGTATGGTCTCCTTGGAAAACCTTCCAAGCTTGCCCTCTTCTGGATGAGGTGGTTCTGAGATAAAAGTTGTAAGCTCTTAGCCACTCTCTATTTCTGTAGCACAGATTTCTGTGGGGCTTCCCCCCACCCCAATCTCTGTCAGATGGATAATTCATATTATCATAGAAATTAAGTAACTTTCTGGGGCCCTTAAGAAACCCAGTCCTTCACGAAACAGACTACCTAAGAAACTGGTACACATCCTCAGGATACCAGCTCTGACTGACCTATCCAAGCCATCCAACCTTTGTGAGAAACTAGAGCTAGCCTCCAGCCTCAGGAGATTAGGCCACCTCTACTCTTTCCCAGGCACAGAAAACACACAATAGCTAACTGTTAGTAAAACACCTGTGAGGAAGCAACCTGGCTGCCTTTCAAGGGTTCCATCTAAACCTAGGAAGAGTCTTCATTACCTGAACTTTCTCTCCACAGGCCTTCTTTGATAAAGATTATATCTCCAAGCACCCGGGAGATGCTGAGAAGATTGCCCAGCTAAAAGAGCTAATGCAGGAACAGGTATGGCTTGTAGAGTTTGGAAAGTCCAAAGCCAGTGGGAAAAGTTACATACTACAAAATGACCCAGCTCTCAGAGGCTGCTTCCTGCTTATCAGAAAAAGGCCTTATTTTGCAATTCTCATAGGTCCATGTTCTTGGAGTTGGGCTGGCAGTCCATGAGAAGTTTGTGCATCCAGAAATGCGACCTCTGCATAAGAAGCTGATTGATCAGTTCCAGATGATGAGGGCCAGTCTATACCATGTAAGCTGATCCCATGCCTGCCCAGTAGAACCAACTTTCACTTCCTCTAGACATACCACGGTCAAAGAAAAGTAGGAGTGGAGTAAGCAGGAGAGAATCTAAACTTGTCACAGAGGGATGGGAGGTAAGGGTAATGGGTACTGTATCTAACCGAGGTACTCAGTATTCTCTCATCCGTTCACTCACTCCCAAGGAAGGAGTCAGATTTGGAGCAAAGAACATTTTTCTGGGCACCGTGCTAATAGAGTTTTCCACATGCAGAAAGAGCTCATATACAGGAATTTCTTTGGAGGTAGTTTTCTTACCAAGAACCTAAAGAATAAAGGCATGGCCTGAACTGGCCCTCTTGTCATCTCTGTTCTCTCTCTCCCTACCCATTTTCTTCTCCCTGTCTTTCATTCTTTCTTTCTTTCTTCCTATCTACCTTCCCTCCTTCCTTTCATTTCCTTCCCTCTAATTTCCTTTCTCCCCATCTAAGTTTCCTCCATAATGTCTTATGACCCAGGATCACATCTAAGAAAGTTTTTGGTAGGAAGTACTTTCATTCTGGCTTCTCTTAAAGGTGTCAGACAGTTCTAAGGCCACGGCAGCCCCCAGATTGTCTACCTATGGAGGGTGACCTGGCTCTTTACCCTCCATAGCAACTTTGGCCCAAGAAATACACACAGGCAAGACCTGTATTCCAGGATCAGCTTTCCTTGGCATGGTCGTAACATGGAATAATGGCTGATTGGAGTTGAGATGCAGGCAACCCTGAGCCCCTATTCACATCACATACCCTTATCCAGTTTTTAGCCACAAGGCTGACTAAATTATTTCTGGTGTAGACTTTCTGTTAAATATCCTGGCTTCCAGAGCTCAGTGGCCATGACCCAAATTACTTGCCAAGCTACTAAACTTGCTTCTCATTTTACTGAGGGCCACCAGGTATAAGTATTAGGGAAACAAAGAAATATATCACTGTCAGATGCTGCACCATGCTATCATAGAGAAGTTCCCTCTTTAGAGATGACATAAAGGCCTGGGGGTTGAACCATCCCAGGACTCAGTGAGTCTGCCCCGCCTGGAACTGGCCTGTGTTGTTCTTGGATGCCGCGGGTTGTAGTTCTCTTAGTGTCTCCAGACTCCCAGTGCAGGCCTCAGCCAATTCACTGCAAGAGTGGACAGCATGAAAAGCAGAATAGAGAAAGAAGTTCACCATAGTTTGAGAGACTGGCCCACTTTGCGGAGAAATTTCTATAGTTCATAAAATGTCCCCTTTTTGGTAGGGTTCTCCCGTGGCCTTTCAAAGTGAAACATGCAAAACATAAGTGGTTCCCTTTAAAACTGAGGTGGCTGGCTAGTGAAGAACATGAGCAACATTGCTGAATTGGATGGGGAACTCACCACACTACACTGCTTCCTGCCAATGTGGCTGGTCTCTGCTCTATACAGACTTTTCATCCCAACTGGCAGCCCTGGCAATCCTAGAGCCTGGCACCAGGGGAGGTTTCCTGCCACATCTCTATAGTCAGAACACTACAACAAAAGCACAAAGTGTTGTCCATACACATCAAGGTCCCTATTGTGCACTTTGAAGAAGCATACTGTAACACTGTGCCTGCTCTAGAAGAAGAGATTAGAAAATGTGCCACTTTAAGCCTACTCAGAAACATACCCAGTATATAAGAGCTTTTGTCCATAATATTTTATGAAGAACTTGAGAAAACCTGGATAAAGTTATGCTTTACAATTTCCTCATTGTCACCAGGCAGTGGTGGTGCACTTTAATCCCAGCACTCAGGAGGCAGAGACAGGCAGATCTCGTTAGAGGCCAACATGGTCTACATAGTAAGTTCTAGCACAGCCAGGAACATTACACAGAGAAACCTTGTTTCAAAAACAAAAAACAAACAACAACAACAACAAAAAACAAAAGAAACAACAACAAAATATCCTCATTGTCACAGAGACAGAGACCATTATGCTTTCTGTCACCCAGCAGGAAGTTAGATTAGAAGTTTCTGCCAAGAAGTGTACATACTTAGCAAGAATTTAATTATGCTGAAATACAACTGTGCTGTTTTCAGGGACTTACATCAGAACTTTGTTTCCTGTTTCTCTATAGACTGTGTCTCAGGCAACTTCACTCAGATCACTAAGAGCTGAGCCATTTAGCAATCCAATGAAATCCAGCACCAGTTCTTTTTTTGTTTTTTATATATTATTTATTATTTTTTCTTATTTTACATATTGATCCCAGTTCCCTCTCCCTCCCTCTCATGCCCCCCAGCCTCCCCATCCCATCCTCCCTTATCCCCCCCCCACTAGAACCAGTTCTTATGTAAGAGTTTGTATTGAGTGGCAGCTGATAAATTCTTCCTCTCCTCTTCCCCAGTCATTGTTCTACTTACTGTGAGAGGATGTCTGTTAACACTCTCTGCTGAACTCAGATTCACTGCAGCCTATTCCAGATGTGTGTCTCTATAGCATCTGCTCTAGGCTCCAGTACACTTGCAGGGGTATTTAGAAAGAAGATGTGATTGTCCAGAAGAAACCAGTGGTATATCCTATGGTTCTATTTTTGTTTGTTCATTTGTTTTACATTTTTTACCAACTGTCAGCTCATCTATCCTACCCCTTATCTATTCATTGCAATCTATGAATGAGCATTCGTTTCTTAACAGGAGTTTCCAGGTTTGGATAAGCTAAGTCCTGCATGCTCAGGCACCAGCACACCACGGGGAAATGTTCTGGCATCCCATAGCCCCATGAGCCCTGAGAACATGAAGATGACCCACAGGCACAGGTATGGCATTAGGCCTGGGGAGGCTTCCTCCAGAGAGGCGGGTCTAGGAGGGAGACATCAGAGGGAAAGAGCTGCAGAGGGTGCTTGTGTACTTACATCCCCTTTTATCCCCTAACCCCAGCCTTGCCTCAGTCAGCCCCTGCACTAGTTAATCAATGCCATCTGACCTGCATCTAAGTAGTCAGATTATCCTACATAACAGAAGCATGCATATGGTATCATAGGTACACAGAGGAGGGGACATTGGGACAAGTCTTAAAGGACAGACAGAAGTTTACTAGGCAGTGAAGAGTTCAGGTTAGAAGAGTGACGGGACAAGATCCAGGCAAAAGAACATACAAATGCATGGTGTGAATAATGCCACCTGGCCGGTACTGTGAGTACAGGTAAGAGCTGAGTAGAGGTTAAGAGGCAGAAGTGCAGAATTCCTTAGCATGGTAGGGGGCAGGGACAGCTGGGTATGGGCCTTGTTCATATATGCCTTTGAACATGACCCCAAAGAGAATGAAGAACTTTTATTGTTTTCAAGGAAGAGAATAATGGTGATGGTATGGGCATTCAAGTAATGACTGCTTAAAATTCAAGAAGTCTGACCTGAGCAGGCTTTAGTGAGAAAACTCAAAACCTTTGGTATAGGAAAGCCAGGTTTAAGAAAGGAAACTAGTTCACGGAGTCTCTCACTTAGATTTATTTTCCTGTGTGAGCAGCAACCCAGAAGAGTGGCTACTCAGCAAATAAGAACAGGAACAAATGAACAAAAGGCCTCCTGGTATTGATAGAGGGCAGAAATCCACAGAGAGTTAGTTTACAACTATCTCTTTGATAGTGTCTTCACACCAGTAAGACCCCTCTGATCTCAGAGCAGATCTCTTAATAGTGTATGCTGGCTTAGACACTATTCAAACTGATACTCCATAGAAAGGATATAGGATTTTTTATCTGATTTATCATCTCTCTTTCATTCCTCTTGTTATACTGCTAATGCCTTCATACTGAATGGCTATCATCCATTTAACTCTGAGGATTGTACTAGCATAAGCCTTCTCAGGCCAGTGGCAGAGTGGAGCTCAGGATCCAATCTTTTAGACCTCAGACAGATATGAACATTGCCTATAGAACCCTCCAAACCAGTGCTGGTTAAGGGTGTATATCACTGTCTCACAAATCTCTCGATTTCTCATACTGCCTAGCATGCTTTCTTAGCTATTGCCTGATTCTTCCCTATTTCCTACTCTTGTTCACAGCCCCATGAACTTAATGGGCACAGGCCGTCATTCATCATCCTCTCTCTCCTCACATGCATCCAGTGAAGCAGGAAACATGGTGATGATGGGTGACAGCTCTATGGGTGAAGCTCCTGAAGATCTCTACCACCACATGCAGGTACCTGAGCTATACAAGAATGAGCAGGGTATCATGGCTAGAGGACTTGCCTTTCTGGAGTCTGGTCTGATGGCTGGAAACTATCAAGTTCTGTAGTTCCTGGATTCAGAACACACTTTTCCATAGCTAGCAAGGCAGCCTTCTTTCTACATACCATCCCAAGCCTTAGTTCCTATGCCTTATTTTTTGCAAGCAGGAATTCTAGCTTCAGACCTAGCTGCTATTACAGATTACATGGAAGAGATCTTCTGCCAAATTAGACTCCTGCTTTGCAGTCCTGATAGCTAAGCCCTACATTCTTCTCCATGTGCAGCTCTATAAAGACAACACAACTGTCTTGCTTTATATGGGTGGTATGGGTAATCCTTAGTGCTTGCCATTAGTCCAGCCTCCAGCAGGGTTCAGAATACAGAATCAGTTACTTGGCCTGGGTACTTCAGGACATGAATACATAAGCCAGTGTGCTCTCTCTCTCTCTCTCTCTCTCTCTCTCTCTCTCTCTCTCTCTCTCTCTCTCTCTCTCTCTCAGCTTTAGAGTACTGATCATTCAGAAGGCTGATGTTTTTTTCCTTTGCAGCTTGCATATCACAACCCCAGGTACCAGGGCTCAGTCACCAACGTCTCTGTTCTATCCTCATCCCAGGCAAGCCCTTCCTCCTCCAGCCTGAGTTCCACTCATTCAGCACCATCCCAGATGATTACCTCTGCCCCTTCTAGCACCCGAGGTAAGGATGACAAGATGTTACTTGCTGAAGGAGAATGGGAAGTTCTGTAAACCCCACATGTCTTCCTTTCATCTGTGCCTGTCTGTATCTTTGAGAGTGACCTTATTGTCACCAAGGGACACTGAGTCCTTTTTATAGATTGAAAAAAAAAATTTAAAAGCAGACATAGAAGAAAAATCAAAGGCAATTTAATTGGAGTTAGAGAAAATAACAGAGCAAGTAAGCTGGAGTTCTCACCAGCTGCCTGAAGGAGAGAGATGGAAGGGGGAAGAGAAAGTTACTCTTTCCAAGTTAGAAGGTTCAGCACTGTAAATCTACAAGAAGCTGCGATGAGGAGTGGGAATCACTGGGGTAGGGTTGCTGGGAGAGGGCATGCCCAGAATTTCAGAGAAGTGGGTTTATGATTGAGTAGCTGTCTATCTCTAATAGAATGCAAAGTAACAAAGATGAGTTAGAAAACAAGTTGAGGACAAAAGAGAACTGAGAGGGTCCAGAGCCTTTATGGTTGGGATGGGAAGGTGATTTTTTTTTTTTTTTTTTTGTGTGTGTGTGTGTGTTTTGGATTTTGTTTTGAGATAGATTCTCACTTTGCAGCCCTAGCTAGCCTGGAACTCAATCACTGTGTAGATCCACCTGCTTCTGCCTCCCAAAAACTGGAATTAAAGGTATGCCACAATGCTTGGCCTGCTTGTGTAGTTTTATTGATGGAGTGCAAAATTGCCTTCCTAAGGGAGTGAGTGACATAGGCCTTGAGTGTGAAGCCTTTTGGACCCACTAAGGGAGGAATAAGTGAGTTTGGCTTAGCCTTGTGGTTCGATAGCCTAGAATAGAAGTGATAACTGTCTGCATTTTCTGTTGTCAGTTTTACCTTCTTTATTTCTTTGCTTTGGGCCAGCAATGAATAAACAACAGCATATGTTGCTGTCAATTTTTCTTTTGGCTTTGTTTGTTTGAGGCCAGTTTGAAGCCCTTGTCACTGATTTAGCTAGGAACCAAACTCGGGTTTTCTGAAGATCAGCGGGTGTTCTTAACTACTGAGCCATCTCTCCAGCCCTGATACTGCTTGACATTGTTCTGTGCTGTGGCTGCTATTAGAGACAGGCTAGCTGTTACCACCTGTATTGGTTACTATTATCAGTGCTGTCACTAAGTACCTGACAAGCAACTTGAGGAAGAGTTTATTTTGACTGTCAATATGAAGGTATTGCAGCAGGAGTGTAAGGTAGCTGGTACAATCACTGGCTTCCCCCTGTTTTGTTTTGTTTTTTTTTTTTATTCAGCTTAGGTCTTTGGCCCATGGGGTGGGTGGTCCTGCCTCACAGCTTTCTATACCCAGAAGCCTGTCTTGTAGGTGATCCTTAAGCCAATAACAATAAGATTACCCCTTACACTATCATTTGTCCTTGTAGCCAACTTGTAACAGATTTGGTCCCTCATAAGCTTTTATTGGTGCACAGTGGAGAGTCTGCATGGCTCTTGTCTAATGAACACATCAGAGTAAAACAGGAAAATTTTCTCCTGCTTATCTCTTTTTTCTTTCTAATGTCTTTGTTATCTGTTGCTGCATAATATAAAGTGTTCTCAAAACTTAGATATATTAAAACAGTTGTTTCTTAGAATTGTAAATTAACAGCATGTTTCTTGAGGAGTGGAACACACAGTTGAGGAAGGGAGTCATTGATGATCACCATTTTTAGAGACAAGCTCCCACAATGGCTGACCTGCAGACTATTATTACACAGAGGACAGTTGAGAAAAGTGCCTTCCCTCTCTGAGGCATTAAGTATATAAATAAACAAAATGCTTTAAATAGAACTTGACCCAAAGTAGGGAACTAAGAGCAAGGGCAGAAGCAGTGAGAAAGAAAGGGAGCCACTTTTGACTGCAGTGTGCCTGTACTCTATATCCCAGCCATCTGGGGAAAGCTGCGCACCCACAGCTGTCAGGCACAGTGCTGACCTTTGGGGGAAGACAGACTGCATGGGGCCAGTGAGACGGTTCAGTGAGTAAATGCACTTGTCACATGGATCTGCATTACCTGAGTTCAAGCCCCAGTACCCACAGTGGCAGGAAAGAATTGACTCCCAGAAGTTGTTCTCTGACCTCCACTCACATACTGGGGCCTGTGTATGTTATCAATAGCACACAATTCAAAAATAAATAGTTTTTAAAAAGACTGTACAACAACATAGGGTAAGACAGATGATTTCAAATAAATGTAGCAATGTAATAATAGATGCACTGTTGACAAGCAAGGCAGTGAAGGATCTGTTCGTTCATTAATGGCCCTTGTTACCAGTGAGGGGAAAGCTTCCTTGAATAAGGTCTGGAATGGAATCACCTTCCTTACTCCTAAGTCATAAGACCATTGTCCTTCCTTGACACCCTATGTTATGACTCCTGTAACTGGAAATCTGTAAGATCAATGGCCTGCAAAGGACAGTCTAAGTCTTTGTAAGTCCATGGCTCCCCCTGCTGGTCTAAAGGCTGATCAGGCCTGGGAAATAGATTTGTAATCCAGTGGCACTAGGACCCAACTTCCCTATTGGAGTGCAACTGAAGTAGTTCAAAAGCTCCATGAACAGACAAGCCCTCCTGATAGAATGTATTGATGAAAGTCAACATCACCCTGTCACGCCAAGGGATTGGCTGCCAAGGGCATAGAAAAGTGAGGTGGCTGAATTGGAGAAAGCTAGCACACAGTACTCCTTTGTATAATACACCAGGGGCCCCCACACTTGAATGTCAGTCCTTGCCAGAGCCCCAGGCCTTCAGCATGAATCAAGGCAGCACATAGGATGCACAGTTGGTCTCACTCGCCATGCTTCCTGAGGTGAGAGAATATAGCCCAAGGGAAGCAATCCCAACCCAACTTCCTGGTGTGCAATAGATACTAAATAGACTTTCTGAGGGAGCTCATGTCAAAATGATGTTTGTGTTTGTCGCAGGCAAACATAGAGGTTTCCCACAGGCTTAGAGGTATTCACAGTCTCAACTGAGAAGGCAGAGACAAATCAGTGCGATTTGGAGCTTCTTTAAACCTTTCTTTTCTTTACATAGCCATCTTCTTGAGATTGCCTAAAAACACAAATTTTAAAAGAGAATAAAAAAGTCAAAATTCTAAATAGCCATGTTCTATGCATCCCTTTACTAATAAAGGGTATTATAAAAGCAGAAAGTCCTAAAGCCAGTCCAGAGGTTCTCTCAGAACAGCTACAGAAAAAGTTACAAAATACCTGGGAAAGTTACATCGCTGCTATTTATGCAGAATTTTTAGACTAAAATGAATGCCTGGACTTCTTACGGACCCCTGCCGTAAGCTGGCTGAAGATCTGCTTTTGCTTTGATTTGTTGGAGTTTTTTGTTTGTTTTTTGTTTTTTTAGTACAAGCACCACAGGCCTAGGGGAGAGTCCTAGAAAGAGTGGTTTCAGGACCTCAGAGGCCCTCTAGGAGCTACAGGCTCACCTCTCAGCTGCAGCCCATAGGCTAGTCTCCACTATCAGCTTTCTCAGAGCTGAGTCAGCCAGCAGCATTGAGGTCCAGACGACTTTGCCCTGGAGGGACATCTAATACAGGAATAGTGTGCGTTTGCAGAACTGTTCATATTACCTTCCCACGGGAAAGCCAGCACACTGTCTTACTGTTTTTATAGTGTTCTTAAAACCCCCGGATGGGAAGGCCTTCAGTGCTTTAATAACTCCTCAGCCAGCAGCCAGCAGTGGCTTCATAGAAAAAGGACATGAAAAGCAACAAAAGGAAAATAACTTGAAATAAGTCAACTCAAGAGCCTGTGACTACCTGAATGGTAGTGGTGCATACCTTTAATCCCAGCACTCAGGACAGGCAGATCTCTGAGTTCACTGCCAGCCTGGTCTACTGAGCAAGTTTCAGGACAGACAGACAGACAGACAGACAGACAGGCCGTATGGGAGCATGTGTGCGCACGCGTGTGCGCGTGTGCGCGCGCGCACACACACACACACACACACACACACACACACACACGGCCTGATTCTAAGTTCCTTGCCTTCTGGTTGGTTCCATGCCCCTGAACTTAAGGGCCAGCAAGTATTACCTGTATACAGGGCCCTGGGCTTCCAACTAGCCTAGCTTTAGAGCTGCAGTATATCCAACAAGTAGGCAGAATCAAGACAGTGGGAACCTACCATCTGGAAGGGATATGCCAAAAAGGTAGTAGGAAGCCAGCTGAAAATAGAACCACGGGTGTTTGGAGAAGGTAAGTGTATGTGTAGACCCAGTATGTCAAGTCAGAACTATGTAGTTGTTATTCCAAGTGTCTCTTGTCTTTGTGTGATGGTACCATCACAAGCTGGTTTTGGCCAACACCTAGGACCTCTAGAAGAGCCTGGTGTTCAGGCCATACTGCTGCCCTGAGAACACAAGGTTCAGAATCCCCAAGCACCCTGCACCAGGCCTCAACTCTCCTTACCCTTTACCTCCAGGTATGGTGGTAGCCTCTGTCAGTGGGTATACCTCAGCCAAGATACCAGATACAATCTTCACCATCACATCACTAGATCTGCTTCATTCCTCTTGTGTTTTGCTGAGTTTACCCTAACTATAAAGGATACCTACCCTAGTCCCAAGTCCTAAGGATGCCTGGCTACTGAGCCCTCCATCTGTGGTTTGTCATCTGTTCGTGATTGTTCTCACTTGGTTACAGGCTCTCCCTCTCTGCCAGATAAGTACCGACATGCCCGGGAAATGATGTTGCTGTTGCCCACACATCGGGACCGCCCAAGCAGTGCCATGTATCCCACAGCTATCCTAGAGAATGGACAGGTAGCAGACCTATCCTTGACTAACTGTCCTTTGCTACAAGTGTGTTAGCTTGGGCTCCCTCATTGCATTTGCTAAACCTTTGCATGCACAGTCTTGCATGCCTCCCTCATTCTGTTATAAGCTGTTGGACTCCTAGTTGGGGAGGACAGTGAATCTGAGGACCAGAAATCCAGTCAGAGTGCAGGTATAAGTAGACTGGCTACAGTATTGGAACTTTACCTCATTGGGTGGCTTCCTAAACCTCTGCTCAGCTTTCTGAACTACTGGTTCCCTATTCCTCTGGCATAAAACACCAGGTTTTTATAACATCCGAGGAGGCTGTAGTAAACATGGGTAGGAAGAAGTCTGTATCTTCCTAGGGTTGCCTTCCTCACATAGTTCTCTAGACACCCTGCTTGGACCAGCAAGTAACATGTGACCCTGTGCAGTTTGCCCCTACCTTTCTACCCAAGCCCATAAAAGTCACTTCCAGGTAACTGTCCTAGGCCCAAAGTGCCAGGAGTTTCTCAGTGGCACCCCTCTGCCAGGCAGAGAGCAGATCTGATGGAAATTGCTCAGAAAAGTAATACGACCTGCAAACTCCAGGTTTGGGTGCTGCCTTTCTTTCCCCTTAGTGCCAACCTGGATCTGGGTGGGGCCCTCCAAGAATTAAGACCTATCTGTGATTATGGAGCAGACAGACTTTTTAAATCCTGTCAGTGGTCTCCCTGGCAACTAGAAAGATGTGACAGTTAAATAATGGAAGGTACCTATGTCCTGCACAAGACAACCTGGGTAATGCCTCAAATATCCATGGCAGTGCTCAGATGCAAATACCTGGACTGTTGTAACAGCCTTCCCAGGACTGAGACGCTATCAGCACATCTCAAGCATGAGCCATCTTACTGTTTGGATATCGTCATCTGAGCTTAGAATGTCCTGGCTCTTGTAGTCTACCACCCTGCTTCTCAGATGTAGCTGGCTGCTTTTACACTCTTTGATATTTTTCTCCTTCCCTCAGCCACCAAACTTCCAGCGAGCCCTGTTCCAGCAAGTAGTTGGAGCCTGTAAACCCTGCAGTGATCCCAATCTGTCTATGGCTGAAAAAGGTATTTTCCTCTCTCTAGGAGATCTCTCATGTTTGTCCCATCTTGAGTGTCTTACTCTTGTTCCTGAGTTACCAACTAAATGTCCAGTCCTGAGCCACGACCCATTGCCCAGGTCTGTCTACCTAGAAATAGTGCTGACCAACTCCTCAGGTCACCATTTAGATCACACATGGCCTGGAACCTGTTTGTCTGTCTGTATCTCCCTCCCTCCTGGGCTCATCTTCAGAGAGGCCCAGCTGCCATCTGCCTTGAGTAATTTGTTATAACTCTGGCTGCTATTGGCATCTACTCTCCTAGGTTCTTTCTAGCTTGGTAGTCCCTCTGGGGCTTCAGAAACTTCTCCTTGAGCTCAGAATGGACCGGCACCAATGAAAGCCCCAAAGCAATAGAAAATATACTACAGTGAAAGCAAGTTTCTACAGGGAAAGCTCTGGGTGTTTAGCCACTCTGGTCAGCGACTACTGTGTCTGTACTACACTATGCCATTGAGAAACTCTACCTAGAACTGCAGCTTTATAGATGGTGCCACATTACCCCGTGTTCTCAAGCTGATGTGAGAACCAGCAGCCACCCTCTATAACCTTGACTGAAGCCCCAGACACCTAAATTAATTTTAGCACAGCAGTACCTAAATGGGGACCATGTTGAGCTTGGCTGTCAGCCAGAACCTGGTCCCATAGTTCTCTCCTCTCCTCCATCTGCTGTGCTAAATGTATGTTCACTTCCCACCAATATGGTCTACTGCCCCTTAGTCCATCAGACCATGTCCCTTCAAAGCTTTCATCGTGTTGTCACTGCACCTGCTTACCAAGTGCTGTCTGCTGTCTCCACTGTCATTATTACCCCTCTTGATTGTTGTAGAGGACAAACTCTGTGTCCTTTTTAAGGAGTCCAAACACTGGGTCCAAAACCTTGGTTCCTAGTGGGCATTAGTGCCAGATGCTCAGCCATGAAGGGCCTACTGAAGATGCCTTCCTAACCTCACGGCTGCACATCCCGAATGAGTGGCTTCTTGGATTCCTGCACCTATGACCCCAAAACAATGGGCCTTTCGGCCTGGAAGGCCAGAATCCACAATGTGTTTTCTTCACCTAAGATGCAGAACAATCTCAAAACTAGCCAAGAGTCACACAGCTCACAGCTCAGATGAGTACCGGTGGTCAACCAGGATGCTACATCAGCTGGACACAGAAGAGCCTCAGGCCTCAAGCTACACTGCAGCAAGGAGCTGGACACACCCACCCTAGGTGTCTGAGGGAAGGACAGGTGTCTCAGAACAAAAGCTGAGCCCAGAGCTACCATATCCATATCAGCACTTAGTGCCAACAAATTAGACAACTTCCCATTGGTAATACACAAGCCAGAATAGCTCCCATTGGTAATACACAAGCCAGAATAGCTCCCATTGGTAATACACAAGCCAGAATAACTTCCAGGTTCCCCTAGAAGCCTACCTCTCACCTATAGGTTCTTTTCTTGCCAGTCACTCCTAGACAAGACAAGCCTTCCCTCAAGCCAGGGACTGTGCACTGGGGACCTCAGGCCAATGCTGTAGAGCTTTTAATGCTGACAAATGACAGTACACAGGGAGTTATTGCTCTTCTCCTAGAATAAATTGTTCTCTTGGCCACTCCACATGGCAAAGGTCCATTGGCCTCACTGCAGATTTGTGATTTATAGTTGACATGTAATGACTCACCCAGACACCATCTTAAGTACACCATTACAGATTTCCTAGTATTTCTCCCCTAAAGCATCCCTGACCTCGAGTGGACCCTTGGGGTAACCTTTTTGCAGCCCCTTCGGTTCTCTCGGGAGATAAGGACATGTCTGAGGCCTTGGATTGTTAGGTCCTTTTGGAGAAGCTTCTCGGATCGTCTCCAAGCTGCTGCTTCTGACACCTGTAGCTTTCATAGTGAATGTCATCTTTGTTTGGGGGAGGAGAGCTTGGGTGCTTAGAACCAAGAAGCCCCTGCTGCATCTTGGAGAACCTGGGAGAGGAAACACCTATTCTTGGGCTCAAGCTTCTGAGGAAGCCATCTGATGCTTTTATCAGATTCAGAGTTCTGTCCTGCAGGTAACAGCTCTGTGGCTACTCATCAGATTCAGATGCCCCTCTTCCTGCAGTTAGCCACCAATATGTCATGAGATTAAGCAGCCCTTATAATTGAAGTTTTACCTGTGCTAGTCCCTGAGCAGAGAAGAAAGCTGATGTCATCCTTCTATCCATGGAATGCATTGGGCCCAGCGCTTTGGACCATCTCCTACTCCGAGGCCAGATTCCAGCTCTTTGTACAGGCTCCCAGCTCCTATCAGGCCTTGAAATTCTCCATTGAGTGTCTGAACCATAAAAGCCCAAACCCTGGATACCTTGAGTGAGCTCCCTTCAGCTACCACTGCCTTAAAACAGAGCTCTTCCAAAAGGCCCCGTCAGAGGAAAGACATGTTTCCTCTTGGTAGCATTTGATCTCTGAAAAGAACTGATTAGATAAACGTGCTTCACATGTCCTTTTCTGCACCTGCAGAGTAGCCAAACCCCAAATTGCAAAATCCAGCCACTGCTCACTCTCCTCTTTTACAAAGAACTTTCACCCCGGCTGTACCCAAAGAGCCAGTATTGAGGCAGCCTACTTTGTTTGGGGCCTGCTCTATTCTGCAGCCATGGCCTTTATTGCCTACTTTGTTTGGGGCCTGCTCTATTCTGCAGCCATGGCCTTTATTGCCTTCTCCTTCCTCAGGAGGCAGTGTGTTCCCGAGTCTAGGCTGAAAATCCTGGGCTTTTTAACTTTACTCCAGTGGGCACCTTAAATACCTCTCCTTGCTGGGAAAATGTCTTGCTCCTAAACCCAGCCAGTAGACATAAGAACAACAGGAATAGGTCAATGTTCTAAGGCCCTTTATGGAACTTGTGGAGCTGTCTCTCAAAGGATGCTGTTCGCTGTCTCCCATCCTGCTCCCTGCTTTTCACACAGGGCATGGGGAGTGTAAGTGCCTTGACTTAATTCTTGACTTGTGAAGACTCTGTGTTCTTGATCTCTTTGACCTACCTACCCTGCTCTCTCCTGTGGTCTTCTGGTTTTTCTTCTGACAGATCCCAGAGGCTACAAGTGTTTACTCCTTACTGCACTGTCTCAGTCTGCCTTATCCTGAACACTCTTCAGAGTCAGCTTGCTCTTGTTATCTTAAGCAACTTTAAGTCATCTCTATGGGCCACAGTGCCTTGCTTGGCCAATATCTTCATCTGTAGGGCCTGACATGCCTCTTATATGATGGCTACACAGAACACACCTAGAGAAGGAAGCCTCGGGCTCTAGGGCAGCTTCTCCAAGTGGGAAGCTCAAGAAGTAACCTCCGTTCACTCCGTCTCTTTCCACCCTTCAGCGGTGCCAGCAGCCCCCAGCAGCTGGAGCCTGGATAGCGGAGCCCAAGAGGCCCAGCCCTTCCTGTCTGCCCTCATGGGGCACATCCTGGCCCCCCCAGTGCCTCCCCGAAGCCTGCTGCATGGTAAGCGGGTCCCCCAAATAGTTTCTGGTCTCGAACTCTGACCAGGGGCTAGATCGGAAGCTGTGTAGGCCATCCCAGCCAAGAAAAAAACATCCACTCCGCAGGAAGGAGCCTGCCGAACATTGGGGCCAACAAGGTTTTGAGTCCTGCAAGCTAGCTCGGTAAAGCCATCCCAGCCAGGAAGGCTGAAGACAACAAAATCAACCATGCCAGATCCACCACTCACCAGTCTGCCATCAGCCTTACCCGTGGACTAGAACATCTGCCTGAAGCCTGTTTCGTGGGCTCTGAAGCACTCGACCTTCCTGGCCTCCTGTGTAAAATGGAATTATTTTACCCCAGCAACCTGTATTTTACAGACTGTCAGTACAAAGAAAGGCCTTCAATGCTGAGGTGTTCTTGGGGGACTTTTCTACCTCTGCCCAGTGCCCAGCAAGGTGATACTGCTGTGCAACTTGTGCAGGGGTCCCCAACTGAGGCTATGGTTCTGTTCTCTTTTCACAGGTCATTACTCCCTACACTTTGACGCCTTCCACCACCCTCTGGGTGATGCCCCCCCAGCCCTCCCTGCCCGGACCCTGCGCAAGGTAATGTACTGAAGCAACTGTCCCACCGCCTCATCTGCTGTAGAGTCACCCTTGGGGCCTACAAGAGGAACCTGCCTCCCCTGCTCCTCTGCCCTGAGAGCCTAAGCTGGCAGAAGCTGGGGTGTCCAGAGCCACACTAGAGCAGCAGTGACCCATGCATCCTGCCACGAATCTGATGAGGACAGGGAGGTCAGAGGGTCTGGACAACACATGACAAGAATATGTGCATAGGGAGCACTGAGAAACTTGGGGGCTCTCTGCCAGTATCACAGGCTCTCAATACACTATAATGCAGTAGCTAACTAAATGTACCTGTGGTGGGTTATAGTTTTTAAAACTAGTGTCAACTGAAAATGAGAAACATCAGGCACTAAAGTTTTATGAAAAATTCAAGAAGTAAAATCTGAGTCCTGTTAGCTTAATTTTTCTGTAAATGGGAAAAGACCAAGTCTGTGACAGTCTTAGCAACAGAATAACATTCATCTGACCTGTGGCCCACCAGGGTTCCTTCTCCCCGGTGACCCAGCCCTCCTGTCAGTAACTCAGACCATACCCAACCTGGGACTTGGCCCCAGGTGCATCAATGCCCAGCAGCTAGGGCAGGGGCATTTATTGTCCCTCAGAAATAATAGTGATTCTGGGCTCCACTAGCTTGCTTTGGGGGGAAGTCACTTAGGGGGAGTCATTGCTGAAGAAAGACAAGAAGCTGCTAAAACTTTAAAGTTCGTTGATAAGCACACTCTTGGTCTCCACGTGGCAGGCCAGTCCACCTGTCTAGAGGGGAATTCTAACTTACCCACCCTTTCCTTCGCACAGTCTCCTCTCCACCCCATCCCAGCCTCCCCTACAAGCCCCCAATCGGGCCTGGATGGCAGCAACTCTACGCTGTCTGGCAGTGCCAGCAGCGGTGTGTCCTCCTTGAGTGAGAGTAACTTTGGGCACTCCTCAGAGGCCCCGCCTCGAACAGACACCATGGACTCCATGCCAAGCCAGGCCTGGAATGGCGATGAAGACCTTGAGCCACCCTACCTCCCTGTCCACTACAGCCTCTCTGAGTCTGCTGTCCTTGACTCCATCAAGTCCCAGCCATGCAGAAGCCACTCAGCCCCAGGGTGTGTCATCCCTCAGGACCCCATGGACCCACCTGCGTTGCCACCCAAGCCCTACCACCCCCGCCTGCCAGCCCTAGAGCACGATGAGGGTGTGCTACTGCGGGAGGAGGCTGAGAGGCCACGGGGCCTGCACCGAAAGGCCTCACTGCCTCCTGGGAGCATCAAGGAGGAGCAGGCCCGCATGGCCTGGGAGCACGGCCGAGGGGAACAGTGAGGAGCAGAGAGGCAGCTGCACCACCACCTTCCATAAGCAGCTTGCCCAGGCACTCCGGGTCTGAAAAGCAAGTCCCTCCCAGGGAGCTAGAGGCTTGGCACTCAGGAGAAAACCACCAGAGTCTCTGTTCTACTGCCGTGAACTCATGTATTGCCATGTCCAGAGGCCACAGCAGCATGAAGGCTTGTGGCTTCTCTTTTATTTCATTTTTTGTTTCCATTTTTCTGGGTTTTCCTTTATGCAGTAGTTGCTTTCTTCCTCCTGCAGTTCCAGACCACATGGAGCTATATGGAGATATTGCACAGACAGAATTGCTTTGCAGCATTGCAGAGTCCAGGAGTAGGAGCCCAGGCCTCCTTCCAGGGTAGCGATGGCGAAGAATGGAAATTGCACTAGGGACCTCTTCCTTTGCTGTATGGACAGAAAAAAAAAAAATCATGGTTGCATTCAGGGATTGCAAGGACCACATGGACTACATGTCACAGGTGGACTAAGGGGCCACAAGCCGTTTTGCACAAATGCTTGCCTGCCAGCCCACTCTTCCATCTAGGAGTGTGCAACTGAGGGGCTGGTCAGGCACGTGACTGGCCTAACTGCATGCCCAGGGCACACTGCCAGGCTTCCATGGGCCAGCTTTGTCTCTTATCCCACTTTGGACGTAATTCATCACTTTTATTTTGGACCTTTTGCTCCTTTCCACTCAAAACACCTCATGATCTACAGAAGCCTCCCTGGCTTGAATGGACTTGCAAGGGTTGTCTCTTATGCCCAGGGCTTGAATTAAATGAAGCCAGAAGGGCTATCAATCCTTCAGGGAGTTAGACTCCTTCCCTTGTGTTAGAGAGAGCTGGTGTTAAGAGTGAGGCTGGAATGTGGCAGGAGCCAGAAAGCTCTTAGCTTTCACAGGTGGCCCCAAATGCCTGCCACTTAGCGCCTGAATCAGGGATTTTCAGCACTACCTCTGAGCCTTGGGGTTGGCTGCCCAGCCTGGCTTCCAGGCCCTGAGGATGTGTGGTCAGGTTCAGTAAGCTCCTGGGTTTAAAAAATAAAAAAATAAACGATGTTGGGAGGAAACTAATTTTGGAAGCAGAGAGCCACACAGGTAAAACTGTTATCTTCCAAGTAGCCAAGTACTGAACCCTCCACTCCAAACTCAGGGTTCAGGACCGGCAGAAGGGCAGCTTTTCAGACCTCCCCAGTCTGTTAGGCAGGCCACAGTGGTGACTTTATAGGAAATTCTTTCTTGTCAGGGCACTGATTTTTCTCTTGGTATTATGGTGGGGGTATGGTAATATTTTACCAGGGTGCTTCTAAGTTACTTTTAAAAAAATAACTTGTCTTGAGACAGTTGGGTTTCTTTTGTTGTTGTTTTTTGTTTTGTTTTGTTTTTTTCATTTGCTTACACTCACATCAATGATGGCCATGAGACTGCCTTCTCCTTGGTGAGCAGGTATGTTATTACCCTACACCCTTTAACTTGTTGGTCTTCTGGCCTCCTGTGGCCAAATCCTGGGCCTAGCTGCTCATTCTTTCTCCACAGTTCTTTCCCAAACAGAGAAGTCCACGGTCAGGGTGTTTTTCTCTTACAAACAAGTTCAGTAGAACTGCCAGCAAATAACCCAAGGGAGAAGATAGAAGGAAGGCCCATTTTCCTCCAGAGTATGTTGGGGTCCAGGGTCAATAGCGTAGGGCTTTCTGATACCCTCAGGATCATTTAGGCAGACAGAGTAGAGCAGAGGCTGCTGAGGATGTAGGCCAATCCAGGGAGCCCTGGCTCCAAGGGCACACGCCTGCTCCTGAGCCTAGGTTCATTGGTAAGCTTGTCTCTGGACCGTCTGGGTTCACAGGTGTGAGGGTCATTGAACGTGATTCTTAGGTAGGACAGTCCAGGAAGGCAGCCAATTATGACATGCTGACATTTACCTTCTCCACTTGGTGGCACAGGAGGTAGGGAAGGGAATGTAGGTTAAGTTCCTTGGCCTTGCTTTATGCAAGATGAAATATATTTGTGTTGTCCCTCTCCATTTTCCCTAACTGGATGAAATGGCCCTATTCTGAGTACTTTCTATTGAGAAACTAGCCAGTGTGAGGGAAATGGGAGGCCAGAGATCAGAATCCTTTGAAAAGATTGTGAAATACTGATTTTCATTCTTTCAAGCATATTTGTAAATATCTATTTGAATGCTGTGTATTTGTACAGGAATTTGAGCAAAAAAAATGTATAGAGTGTGATGTCTAATTGGTAATAAGCCCTATAAATGTGTTTTTAACCTCTGGCATTCTGTGCTTATTTAAAACAAGAAAACTTCTAACCATTTCCTTTGTGTATTCATGTCTAAAGAAAATTTGATTTAAAAATGATCTTACCTGTACCAGAAGAGTTAAAGGGGAAAAAAAATGTGCCGGTGTCCCAAGAGGTATTTTACTGTATATATTGTGGTAGCATGTTATAAATCCAACAAGTAATGTGAATTTTAGATGTAAATATCTGCCAATTGACTCCTCCCCCTTCCTTGACTGCTGTGATGTGAATTAAAGATGAATACCTGATATTGATCCACTGATTTCACTGAATGGGAGCATAAGTGCCCCTCTCAAACCCTTGTCGCCGGGCTCCACGCCCTTTTAGCTGCAGATACTTTTCTGTACTTAGCCGGCCGCTCTCCGTATTCTGCCTTCGAGAGCAAGTGGCCAAGCCCTTGCACAATAGTTAGCATCAGGGCAGGGCAGGCGGTACCATCTCCAGTTTCCATCTGCGCGTCTCCAAGAGTGGGACACAAAACTTCCCAAGAACCCCTGGCCTGCACTGGGAGGCTATCCCAACCCTTGCTTGCCTGCTTGCGGCCGACAGAGCCCTCAGAGGTCCAGGACAGCAGCCGACTTTGACTGGCCTCGAGGCTTCCGTCTGGGCGGTTCTGCATTCCGACCCAGGATAAGGAGTGAGCAGCCGGCGAATGAACGTGTACGCTCTGAAAGCGTGGATTGGTTCGCCAATCCACGTGGAGACTCAAAACAAGGAACCGCTGCTGATGCTTGCTTGGCGCCGCTTATCCTGCTGGGTGTCTGATGACGCCAGAAATCCTGCGCTGCGCTACGAGTCCGGGGCTCGGGAGGGGACTGGGTACGGAGCTGAGAAGGGGTACTCGGGAAGAGTCACCGGATTCGGAGTGTACCCGGCAGCAGCCAAAGCGGCTGCCCCTACCCAACATGGCGGCCGTGCAGCTTCCGCCCAGCAGTTTGTATGGCCCGCCCAGGCTCAATCAGCAACCGACAGCTGTCTAGGACCCAGACGCCATCAGCCAATGAGGAAGGGGAGCGTGGAGCCGCCGGCCTGGGCTCTAGGGCACGTGGACCAATGAAGATGCGGCATATGGGCGGGCGCGGAGACTACCCACCAATGGGAAGCTCCGGCTTGTGTTCCAGCCCCCTAGGCGGTGCACCGCGCCGGGTGCGGTTCACTCGCGCGGCGGCGGCGGCGGCGGCGGAGGCAGCGGCGGCGGAGGAGGCAGAGGAGATGTGGGCTACGCGCGGGCTGGCGGTAGCGCTGGCCCTGAGCGTGCTGCCTGACAGCCGGGCACTGCGGCCAGGCGACTGTGAAGGTGCGGGGGCAGAGGGGGAGGCCGGGAGGGGGCGGCCTGGCGGCGCTGAAGCCAACGGAACCGAGAGCGGGGACGGAGGCCCGTGCTAGCGGGGTCCCCTGGAGGAAGGGCCTCGGAATTATTACCCGGGCCTAGAAACATTTAGGGGAAAGCGTCGGCTCGATCGCGTTGAAAACTTGGCCGGTCGCCCACAGCGTGGTATTTTTTGTCCTTTTCCATCACTGTTTAGTGGTTTCGGAAAGGGACTCCGTGGGCCTCAACGGTCTCTTTGCCAATCTGCACTTACGGGTTCGGCTTTGTTTTTGGAATAAGGAGCGTTTTGATCGTTTGTTTCAGCCTCTTATCTGCCCCTAATGAGGTCACAGTGAGTTCCCTCTCAAGGACACATGTCCACTTTCGACTTAAACTCGAAAAGAACAAGGATTGTGTGTGGGTCACTGGGGTAATGTTCGTTCCCGGCATGCACTGGGTACTAGGACCCCAGCATCCTAAGTGTTCTGTGCACCCGTGAGTGAGTGCCTCAGAAAAACCAATGACTGGAAACATTTTAAAGAACATCATCCCTTCTACCAGAACTGCTGACACAGTTTCTTCTGGGGAAATGGGGATTAGTAATTGCTTACCATCTCTCTTTTCCAGTTTGTATTTCTTACCTGGGAAGATTTTACCAGGACCTTAAAGACAGAGATGTCACATTTTCACCAGCCACTATCGAAGAAGAACTTGTAAAGTTCTGCCGTGAAGCAAGAGGCAAAGAGAATCGCTTGGTGAGTAGCTGGTGAGCCACCTAAGCTGTCCCTGGCACGTGTGTACTGTCCACTTCATGACAGGACATGTCTGTAAACTAAGTATTTTTAGCCTGTATTTATTTATTAAGTGTCTACTGTGAACTGAATATGCCAGAAGAGAAAAATGACAGACAAATGCAAAGCAGTGAATGGTGTGTCCATGAAGAAAACAAACTAGGATGGTTTGGGGGTGGGGAGGGGCTGTCAGAGAAAGTAGTCAGGTGTCTCTGAGGGAGGGGATGAACCAGTGAAGTGGAGTGAGTATCCAAAGACCAGAAGGAGAGTGTGCTGTGTTTGGGATCAGAAGTAGTTAGGCGCCCCCAAGGTGGCCAGGGCCAAGTCAACGGCCAGGGCCCTCGTAAAGCATCAGGCTTTGTGGCTTTAGTTTCTCTGGCCATCTCTCATTAGAACTCTGATGGTTCTTAAACTCATCTGGAAACTCTGGAACTGAGCACATATCAAGTGCCCAGAGTTTGTAACAACTAGATTTGGGGGGACTGAAACATGAGACCTTGGCAGAGAGCAGTTTTCAGGATGACCTAACAGCCATTGTCTGGAGCTGGAGAGATGATTATAAAAGTGTACTGCTCCTGCAGAGGACCTGAGTTTAGATTCCAGCACCCACAGCACTCTAACTCCAACTCTGGGGACTCAATGCCTTCTGGCCTCCTCCACACCTGCACACACATGCACCTAGTCATGCACATAAACTCTTTTTTTAAGGCTTTTGTTTGGCTTGGTTTTTTGCTACAGTGCTACTACATTGGGGCCACAGATGATGCAGCCACCAAGATCATCAATGAGGTATCGAAGCCCCTGGCCCACCATATCCCTGTGGAGAAGATCTGTGAGAAGCTGAAGAAGAAAGACAGCCAGATCTGCGAACTAAAATACGGTGAGTGTGACCAGGACCTGTGCGCCTCCTGCAATGTCTGTGTGCCCTTCTAGGCAGTCATCGCGAGTGTTTACTGCATGATGGGTGATACTCTGTGCAGGGTTCAGAGTTGTCTACATCAAAGCTAGGTGGAGGTCAGAAGTGGAGAGGGTGACTTGCTATCATACTTTGAAAGCTGGAGGGTTAGCCAAGAGGCCAGCTCACAGTAGGACAGTGCAGACAGAGCATATAGATAGAGGTATAATACATAAGGTGGACAAGCTGGACAGGGCCTATGGGTTTGGTGAGGAATTTGGGAGCATCAGAAACTTTTGAGCAGAGAAGTGATGTAATGAGATTTTAACAGACTTGTCATGGCTGTACTTTATCTAAATCCTTCTAGCCTAAGAGTGATAGGTGTCACAGCATCACTATGGCAGAGTCCATCTCATTGCACATAACCCCAGCCGAGAGAAGAGCCAGGCCTCTCCCATAAAGTTTAAACAGTGCCAGTGTTTAGTATAGCTCACATGTCCAGGAGTTCTGTTTGTGGTTTGTGCTTGTGGTAATTTGGTATACCCTGGTTGGTTCTGCTGTAGGTCTGTCTGGGTCATATGGGTTATAGAATCAGCTCCTTGATGAGGAGATAGGGGATGTTTGTCTGCTCCATCACCAGCCTGGAACTGTCACATTCTGTGCTGACTGACATGTAGAAGGTCCTTGGAGAACTGGAGCGGTTTCTCCTCTGAACCATGTGGGTTCTCTGAACTGGATACTGCATGTCCTGTAGCGGATACTGACAGCCTGGTGTGGCCCTGCTGGTGAAGAATGCCAGTTCCCTTTTGGCACAGTATGCATGTCTCCCCTGCTGCAAGTCGGGCTGGTCTTCCTCAGGAATGGTTTGGCCTGCAGCAGTTGGGGGCTGCAGCCTCTCCTACCCCGCCATTTACTATCCTGCTCTCCCTGCAGACAAGCAGATTGACCTGAGTACAGTCGACCTGAAGAAGCTCCGGGTAAAAGAGCTGAAGAGGATCCTGGATGACTGGGGGGAGATGTGCAAAGGCTGTGCAGAAAAGTCTGACTATATCCGGAAGATAAATGAACTGATGCCTAAATATGCCCCCAAGGCTGCCAGCGCACGGACTGATTTGTAGTCTGCCTAATCCCTGCTGCTCCTGAGGGAAAGAACAGCTCACCTGTCTCTTCCCCAAACAACCATTTTGTAATTTATTTTTTAAGCGGGCTCCTGACAATGAGTTGTGAAGCCTGGAGCTTTCCTAATGATGATGCTGGCTCTGTGGTGCCCCCTCCCCACAGGGGAGGAATTTACTTCCTTCTTTTGCTGGTTTACTCTAGGACTTCAAAGTTTGTCTGGGATTTTTTTATTAAAGGGGAAAAAAAAAAAAATCTGTCTTTGGAGAGTTGAACTGAAACAGAACTCTGCCCTATAATCTACTGGTTTCTCTTTCCAGTCTGCAAAGGTCCCTTGGCCTGCCAGTGCCAGAAACTCCCAAAACAGGATTTAGGGGCTTGGAGCAGCCATAGTGTGTGGGTTCTGGGCTTCAGAGTATTGTGTACTTGAGCAGGGTGAAGAGTTAGGCTTGACACCATCTTCAAACCCCCATCCGATCCAACCCAGCAGGAGGAGCTGGAGGTGGGCCTATTACTGGGCTTATTAAGTCTAAAGTACATTTACATTGTGGCTCAGCAGATGCAGAAGAGGAACTGAGTACAGATGCTCAGAATTGGCATTTCTTCACTCCATTCATTGAGATGCCAGTCTAGGTCTAGCCTCTTGCTTACTTGGATTTTTGTGAGTTTGGCAGGAATCGGTTCACACAGAAGCAGTGTGAGGGCTGGTAGCAGTAGCCTGAGAGCTACGCGCAGTATGGTTTCAGTTGCGCTGTGACTGGTGTTTAGCAGGGTGAACTGCCAGGGACAGTGCTCCTGCTGTCCCCAAACATCCTGTGAAAGGAGTGACAGCTGAGAAGTTACGTTTTCCAAAGAGCTTGTCTTAGCTCACTGGTGTGGTTCCTTACAGCCTGCCTTGGAGCCCACTGCTGTTTGCTCCAAGTTCTTTTCTCCTGCAACTGTCTCCTTCCAATTGCTTTCTGTCTGTGGGAGGAGGGAAGAGCTGGGTGCACCCTTCGACATCCTACAGATGCTTCAATGGATCCAGCAACCATCTGTGGAGAACATAAGCCCCTAGCGTCCTTTGGGTACCTTGACCTGTACTTCATCCCCTGGATGTAGACAACTCTAGCCAGCAAGATGTCAGCATGGCAAGAAATGATTGCTTCTGGCATTACCTGCTCTTCGCCTTTTGCTCTGCAGACCTACCTTCCCAGCCTCCTAGTTGCCCGGAAACCCACAGCAGAAAGTTGGACCAAGGGGCACCAAGATGCCTGTAGGTTGCAAATGCAGTCTTTTAGTTTCTGTACCTGGACCTAGGGAGGTCTCACGTGCATCTATAAAGTTTGTTTTCAGGGTCTTGCCAGGACAGAGCCTGAAGAATCTCAATGCAGAAGATGCCAGGGATGTGGATCCTAGACAGGGTGTAAGGATCCTTCTAGGATGCCACCTGTGGTCCCAGTTAGAAAACGCCATGGAGGGGAATAGGTCTGAGTGGGATACTTCACGCAGAGGCCACCGGTCAAGTGGCTTTTATTGTTCCAGTGGGCACGGCCTGGAGCTCGCAAAAAAGTAGGCAGTCCTGTAGGCGGACCCGTAGCGGCTAGCCCTAGAGCACAAAGCCTAGGTGCAGCTGTGGCCCGGGCTCGCTCCTGAGGGAATCCGCACACAACGCGGTACCCGCGCCTAAGGCCCGCCGGCCACGGGGAGGCGCCAGAGCGCAGTGCAGCCCGCTCGCGCTTGCCAAGGTGTCACGTGGTGCCGGGCCGCCGGGCCCAATGGCAGGCGCCGAGCGAAACTCTCGTCCCGCCCACCCCAGTCACGTGGTGTGGCCGGCGCAGCTTGATAACGCAGCTCCCGGCCCCCGGCGCCGCTCCCGCCCCGCCCCGCCGCCGCTGCCGCGCCGAGTCCTTTTGTCCAAGATGGCGGCGCCGGGGGCGCTGCCTCCTGGGCCGCCGCCGCTGCCGCTGTGAGGAGCCTGCGGGCCGCCCGCCCGCCGCGCCGGCGCCATGAAGCGGCAGAACGAGCGAGACTCCAGCCCGAGCGGGCGTGGCTCGTCATCGTCCGCGAAGCGGCCGCGGGAGCGCGAACGGGAGGCGGAGGCGGGCGGGCGGCGAGCAGCGCACAAGGCCTCCGGCGGCACCAAGCACCCGGTCCCAGCGCGGGCTCGTGACAAGCCCCGCGGCAGCGGCGGCGGCGGCGGCGGGCATCGCGACGGCCGCGCTGCCGGGGATGCGAACCACCGAGCGAGCGGCGGGCGCTCCTCGGGCGCGCCCGGAGGCGGCGGGCGCACCGGCAAGGCCTCGGGGGACCCCGGTGCTGGCGGCGCGTCGCCCCGCGCATCTCCACTCCCACCGCCCCCGCCGCCGCCCGGGGCGGAACCTGCGGGGCCCGGCTCCACGGCGGCTCCGGAATACAAGACGCTCCTCATCAGCAGCCTGAGCCCCGCGCTGCCGGCCGAGCACCTGGAGGACCGGCTCTTCCACCAGTTCAAGCGTTTCGGTGAGATCAGCCTGCGCCTCTCGCACACCCCCGAGCTGGGCCGCGTGGCCTACGTGAACTTCCGGCACCCACAGGACGCGCGTGAAGCCCGGCAGCATGCCCTGGCCCGGCAGCTGCTGCTGTACGACCGGCCGCTCAAGGTGGAGCCGGTCTACCTGCGCGGCGGCGGCGGCGGGAGCAGCCGGCGCAGCAGCAGCAGCAGCGCCGCTGCCTCCACGCCGCCCCCAGGGCCTCCCACGCCCGCCGATCCGCTGGGCTACCTGCCGCTGCACGGGGGCTACCAGTACAAGCAGCGCTCGCTGTCTCCGGTGGCCGCCCCGCCCCTGCGGGAGCCCCGCGCTCGGCACACGGCGGCTGCCTTCGCCCTGGATGCCGCGGCCGCGGCGGCCGTGGGACTGTCTCGGGAGCGGGCCTTGGACTACTACGGGTTGTACGACGACCGTGGGCGCCCCTACGGCTACCCGGCCGTGTGCGAGGAGGACCTGATGCCAGAGGATGACCAGAGAGCCACTCGAAACCTCTTCATCGGGAACCTGGACCACAGTGTATCCGAGGTGGAGCTTCGACGGGCCTTCGAGAAGTACGGCATCATTGAGGAGGTGGTCATCAAGAGGCCTGCCCGTGGCCAGGGTGGTGCCTATGCTTTCCTCAAGTTTCAGAACCTGGACATGGCACACAGAGCCAAGGTGGCCATGTCCGGTCGCGTGATTGGCAGAAACCCCATAAAGATAGGCTATGGCAAGGCTAACCCCACCACCCGCCTCTGGGTGGGTGGTCTGGGACCTAACACCTCGCTGGCTGCCTTGGCCAGGGAATTTGATCGCTTTGGGAGCATTCGGACCATCGATCATGTCAAAGGAGACAGCTTTGCCTACATCCAGTACGAGAGCCTGGACGCAGCCCAAGCCGCCTGTGCTAAAATGAGGGGCTTTCCCTTGGGTGGTCCAGATCGCAGGCTCAGGGTGGATTTTGCCAAAGCAGAGGAGACTCGCTATCCCCAGCAGTACCAGCCCTCACCTCTCCCCGTGCATTATGAGCTGCTCACTGATGGATATACCCGGCATCGAAACCTGGATGCTGACCTTAGGGTGCGGGATAGGACCCCTCCACACCTTCTGTATTCAGACCGAGACCGGACCTTTTTGGAAGGGGACTGGACCAGCCTCAGTAAAAGTTCGGACCGCAGAAACAGCCTGGAGGGCTATAGCCGCTCAGTGCGCAGCCGGAGTGGTGAGCGCTGGGGAGGAGATGGGGACCGGAGTATAGCCAAACCCTGGGAAGAGAGACGGAAGCGGAGGAGCCTTTCCAGTGACCGTGGAAGGACAGCTCACTCCCCTTATGAGGAACGGAGCAGGACCAAGGGTGGGGGGCAGCAGTCTGAGCGAGGCTCGGACCGCACCCCTGAGCGGAGCCGGAAGGAGAACCACTCCAGTGAAGGGACCAAGGAGTCCGGCAGCAACTCCCTTAGCAACAGCAGGCATGGTGTGGAGGAGAGGGGCCACCATCACCACCACCACGAGGCTCCAGACTCTTCCCACGCGAAGAAGACTAGAGAGAGTGAACGCAATCATCGGACCATTGAGGCAGAGTCCAAGGCTCTTGAAGAGCCAAAACACGAGACCAAAAAGCTAAAGACTCTTTCAGAGTATGCTCAGACACTGCAGCTGGGTTGGAATGGGCTTCTAGTTTTGAAAAATAGCTGCTTTCCAACATCTATGCACATCCTAGAAGGGGACCAGGGAGTTATCAGCGGTCTCCTCAAAGACCACACTTCTGGCAGCAAGCTGACCCAGCTAAAGATTGCCCAGCGCCTTCGACTGGACCAGCCCAAGCTGGATGAGGTCACCCGTCGTATCAAGCAGGGGAGCCCCAACGGCTATGCAGTGCTCCTAGCCATCCAGTCAGCCCCCAGTGGGCCTGGCACCGAGGGGGTGCCCACGGTGGAGCCAGGCCTACAGAGGCGGCTTCTCAGGAACCTGGTCTCCTACTTGAAACAGAAGCAGGCTGCAGGGGTGATCAGCCTGCCAGTGGGTGGGTCTAAGGGCAGAGACAGCACAGGCATGCTCTATGCCTTCCCACCCTGCGACTTTTCACAGCAGTACCTCCAGTCAGCACTGAGGACATTGGGCAAGCTAGAGGAAGAGCACATGGTGATAGTTATAGTAAGAGACACTGCCTAGCCCACACCTGTTCTTTCCAGCTGTGTCTGTGTCACAAAAGCAGTTATTTTAAAAATCTGCTCCCTCCTCTACCTACCTTACTCCCTTGGTTTGAATTCTCTGCTGGGTTGTTCTGGTTCATTTGGTGGCACCCTGTCCACTGCTAAAACTGAGTTCTTAGGTCTGGGGCTTTTTGTTTGTTTTTAACAAGAAGAAACTCCTGTTATGTTTCCTGTGTATGAGATACTGTCTGCTGTATTCTGTATTTTTTTATTTTTATTTTTTTGACTAACTGTATGAAAATCTGTCAGTAAAGCCTTTGTCAGAGGATGAATTTTTAATCCTGGTTTAATCAGGTTTTTTCTTAAAGAATGGAAACCTTCCCTCGGTGCATGCCCCGTGTCTAAAAGTTGTGCTGCGTTGGTGGTGCTCAGCTCTTCATGTCGGGACTCTGCTCACACTTGTCAATCTTAGCTGGTGGCCAGCGGGCTTGTGTGACGTGGGCCCTGTTAACACCACCCTGAGCTGAGCCTGTTAGAGGAAGGGTCTGGGCCTAAGATCTGTGCCAACAGCTACAGGTAGTTTCTTGTTTTGTTTT